TCTTTGTTATGTATGTTATGATTCTATATTCCTACTAATCTAGAATATATCTAGAATATACCTTTTACAAACTAACTAATATATTTTCAAATCTCATTATATCATAATCGACTACCTAGAACTATAAATAAGCGTCTTACCTTTAGCATAAAACTCACCAAAATCGTCTCTTTCTCTTTTCTTATAACCTATTTATTTTGTTTGAGAATCAGTGAAACTAAATCAAAGCATCCATGAAATCTGAAGAAGGGATTCTATTAGATGAAATTAACGACCATTATCGAGGTATGGTTCTATACTTCTATTTGTATATTGGCTGTTAAATGATAACATTGTTGTTCGAAACGAACCCACGGCCCGATTATCCATGTGAACAAACTTAAGCTGAAGCGTTTTCAGAAGCGTCCCTCCCTCTTCGTCTTCTCTATCAGATTCAAAGTTTAGAAACGTAAGCATTTTTAGTACCGTCTCTTCTCTTCTATATTTAACCCTGCATTTGTTTTCGTTTTGCTTGACATTCGTACTCGATCTCAATCGGATTCGGCGACTCTCTGTTTCATTTACCTTCGTACCACGTTCAAACCATTTTCGCCCAAATGATTTTTTTAAAAAATTTATCTTCTTATTCGACTTTTTTCTGCTATTGTATATCCTCATATTAGCTTCAAAAGCAATTTATCAAACATCTCAACATTATTTCAGTAGATTTCAACAAAATTTTGGCTACTATTAATGTTTTTTGGACGCTCACATATAGCAGTTTTGTTTGATAATTAAGTTTTGGCTTATGTATATAAGCGAATTTGGGTTAAACACTTCTGCCTCCTGTTATTATATTTGCACAACAAATCTCTCCTTCTAATTCTTAATGTAGTTTTGCTTTGTGTTATGCTACAACTCCTTAGGAAATACACAAGGTTTTGTATTTCATAGTGACACCCGCTTTTGAAGACTTGAAGCAAACAATCTGTGTATGAAAATAGTATCAAATAGGGAAGATGAAATCTAACGATCAATTCCTAGATTAATTGTTAACAATACTCTTTCAACTCACTCACATGTAGCCCAAAAGTTTGAATGGCTCTTGGAGTAGTTATTTTTGTGGCTGTTTTTCTCTGTAAGTTATTGGATCTGTTAATATAGACGGGTTTATATGGGATGACGGGTTTGGGTCGATATTTGGGTCGATATTAATAAATAACGGTATATCATGGATGAAATCCTAAAATTAACAATAAAAATACAATTATACAATCTTAAACACAAAACAAAAGAAACAATATTAACAAAACAAATCCAACTTAAATTTAAAATTTTTAGTTATAAAAAAAACCGACCCATGGTATACTGCAGGGTAAAATATTCAAAATTTTAAAATCTACCATACATCGTTACTTAAAAAAAATGTATGTTTTCGTATCTATACTTCAAAAATTGATAGATAGATATCTACATTTAAAAATACAAATTAATATGATATATCTTCAGTTAATCTTTTAAAAAATAACATTACATTTTTTAAAAAAATATAGCCCCGCGGTATACCGCGGGTTAAATTCTAGTTTTTCTATTATTTATAAATGTCTATATGAATTATGCAAATAGTTCCTACTCTTTTCCCGTAAATTAGCATTCTAATGTATAGTTTAGTCAACTAACTAATAAATCATTTCCTATATCCTATCATATGAATTTTATAAAATGAATTAGACGAGGATCCGAGTTATCAAAAATATTTCCATTCTCAAATTGAATCCAGTATTTTCTTGTATTTGATATTTAAAAAAATTAACCCTGTCTTTTCAGATGTTAAAAAAACTAACTAACTTTCATTTTCTTAAAGAAAGTTGGGAATTATAGTCAATTTTCTAATTCTTATTCATATCATTTAATTATATATATATTTCTTGTGTTTTGAAGCAAAGTAAATAAACAAAGCAAACAAGCCATATGTTTTTTAGTAGTTTTTTCTTTAATATTTCTTTTGTCAACTCGTAGTATGTTAAATTAAAGAGAGTGAAACATTACATTTACATCCCACACCATTTATTATCGGGTTAAACTCCATTTATATACTCCATGAAATTACATTGTCTCGTTTAGTCTCAGTAGACATGAAATATAGGGAGAAAATCGTGTCATGCCTTTCAAGTTGACATTATTTGAGGGAGAAGAGACTTCATGTTTGAACCATATATATATGTATCCATGAAATTACATTGTCTCGTAGATTTAGTCTTGGAAGAAATGTAAATTAGGGCTAAATCCAACACTCGGCCAAACATGACTTTGAAGGAAAAAGAGTTCGATTCTAAGTTTTTATAAAACTCTATAAATAATCGAAGTGTTCTATGTTTTATTTGTTGTCAGTCTTATATCTTTTTAAGTTGCTGGATTTTTAACTTTCTTATAGACATGACTTTTTACAAGCGTATATTTTCTCGCTCTTTCTCTAATGTCGTTTATCTCACTCTTTCTTCAAAACGTATATAAGTCACTTCTGTCTCTCTTTTCTATATTACTCCTCTATCTGTTGAGAACAGTTAATTTTTCAAGACATTTGTGAAAAATGGTCATTTTTATTTGTTGGTTGTCATTGGGCAGCATTCACCGTCGCTGGCCAGTATGGACAATTGGATTATATATTCCTTTAACGGTCACAACTCACGTGCACAACTTTCATCTCAAAATCTTGATGGCGATTGTGCATTGAAAAACTGGTTTAAAAAGCTTTTTCTCATATATATTGGCTCTTTTCTAACTTTGGGAAAGTCTTTATTTGGTTCCATATTGTTGGAACATTTTGTATGCGTCTACATCTAGCCTTAAACATCCGTAACTCCTTCGTCGTACGTAATTCTGGTTGTCGTGATCTTTGGGTCTTTGGAAAGCTAATTCAAAGAGTTTTCTTTTTCTTTCAGTTATAGGTTTTGCATCAGATTTTGAGAAGAAAATCTTTAGCTACATTTTTCTCCAGCTGGTGTAAACAATTCCAATTACATCAAATTAATATGCTCATCTTTTCCTTTCGGGTCGTAAAAAAGTTTAAATCTGAGTTTATCGTCATTGATAGGTTCTCTTGTAGACAATTTCTGATGGTTCTCTTTTTCACCTTCCAATAGTCCATAACTCCTTGTCCGTAAGTATAATTTCGATGATTTGTTTTTTCTTTTTAGAGAACGTTCACGTCATCAGAAGTATACTATCATCGAAATTAGGTTTGGAAGATTACAGTTTTGTAAAATTCTTTAAGTAATTTGTATACCAATTAATCTTGCACATTAATTTATCTTGTTTCTCGTGATCAGTTAAACGAACACCTAATCTGAAATATATATGTTCTTGCATAATCTATCAAGCTTTGAAATTTCATTAGAAATGAGTTGTTCCCGATTAGTCACTCTTACAACAATTAGTTAATAACTCCCAGAGAAAAATAAGATGGTATCAAATAGCTCTTTTCTTTTACCTGAAGAACTTTTGACATGCTTGCATCTCTTTTTCATGGGAATCAAGTTCAGCAACTTGCGTAAAATCATCATAAAGCTATTATATTTCTTGGTCCATGCTGCAACCTTAATGGTTGTAATTAGTAAATTCATCATAATAAGCTATTATATTTCACATGGACCTGTCCTCTTCATCTTTCACTTTGTCCTTCGCAATGGGTACATCGGATGTGGGTTGTACTTGTTGTTACCTTAAAATATTCGCGCTCATGGTTCCCGAGGCATCGCTGCCTGCTTGTGCAGGAGCTCAATGCCGCGATTCCATGGTTTTAGCCAATGGAAACAAACATTTATCCCTAGAATCATTAAGTACATAGATGTCAGATATAACATTGTTAAGGTTTATATTAGTACATAGCAAAACATTGCGTTTTACTACATTGGTATACTAATAGTTTAAAATGTACTGTGGAATGTTACTTACTATCTTGGTATAGTTATTGATAAATAAAGATCTTGATGTTTGTGATTTCAGCTTTTGTCTCTTTGAACTAATCTCTTATATATGTTACTTGTTCAATCTTAGTTGATTCGGGCAAGAACATAAGATAGTTGAGAAGTGGTCCCAAGAAAGCTCTACATAAACTATAGGCTGCATCTTTCTTTCATGAATTGTTTCTAACTTTCTTATTTATTTGATGATATAAAACTACCCCATTTGCAGATAACCATAAAGCGAGCATGTCATAAGATATACAAATCTTGAAAACTCATATAAAATTTTGAGTTTAGTGAACCCATAAGGTTGAGTGGTCCTCATAGTCTTGGGGTTATTTTTGGAATTCTGAACCTAGTACCCTCTCTATTCAAACCCTAGCCTAGACACTTTTGACTCTTTTAGCTATACGATAAACAAGAAAAGCTCATCATCCCCAAGATTGTTTGTTCTTAGTTCTATTGGCTGTTTTTGCAAGAAGAAATATTGACTTTAACTTAGTTGGAATTTTTTATCTTGTGCTTAAGTTTGTAGAGACCATGATGATCTACTTACATGTGAAATAAAATCTGGCAAGTGTCAACTTTCTAAGCTATCTTTCCATTGATGTGAACTAATTACGTTCTGACTTGTTTAGAATTACATTTTAAAAGGTCAAGTCCCAATGCTCCATAAGGCATATGATGTAAAATATCATTGTTCAAGTACTGAAACAGATATCAATAGATATATGCGGTTAGATACACATAAAGCTCTCTTTTTTTTTTTGCCTAATTATGTTTACGGACGAAGCCTTCGATCCACACCTATGTGGTAATATACGCATAGACCTCTTCTTTTCTTACTAACTTACTACTAGTTTACATACCAAAAAGAAAAGGAAAAACCAAAATCATCTGTCTAGTACCTTGTTTCTGCTATCTTCTCCACTTCCATATCCATGGGATCCTCCACTGGTTCAAAAGTCTAAATTATGTATACACCTTATTTGCTTGCAAGAAGAAATCTCATAGCTTTTTATATATGTAGAAAATCAAAATGATTAGAAAGCAGTTACAAACATGTACATTGTATTAACGATTCAAAACATTAACATTATTGAATCCTTTTAGTCTCTCTACAGATCTTTCTTGTTTTCATATTAAATGATTCAGAACACAGATATCTAGTTCAACGGGCTGAGGAGCTGCTTCCTTTCTCAACAAATCTAATAAATTTTGTCGATTGGTTCTGTACATCACTTCTAGTGTTGGCTTCTTTCTCATTCCCACTATCATTGCTACCTTTGTTGTGCTCAGTTCTTTCTCGCTCAGCTTCACGGTACTTGTGAAGATGCCTACCCACGGCGTCAGCATAGTTATCGAGGCCGAGAGTGCTGAGAGCCCACCAGATGTCGTCTCCATTCACCGTCTTTCGATTCTCCCTGTGGCACTTGTCCGAGGCTTCACATGTAACAAAGCTTATGAACTCTGTTGCACACTCTTGAACTGTTTGTTTTGCTTCTTTTGAGATCTTTGCATTTGATGGTAGGATTTGCTTCATAAGTCTCCCTACATTGGCTATTGGTAACAATCTATCTTCGTCTGTCATTTTTCTCTTCTTGTTTTAGTGATACTATCAGCTCTCGCTTCTCTTATAATCTTTTTATACAAGTTATCCAATATAACCCTCTCTCTATATATAGATGTATATGTGTATTATGAGTAGATGTGCTACTTGAACCTACCTCTTTAATTTATTACATACTATATATAATATGTCTAAGATTCTGTCTCTGTATGTATGTGAATTAAGCATGATATATGATGTTGTGGATGTATAGTTCATTATTTGTATCACTAGTTTACTTTTCTCTAATGAATTACTCATGTTTCTGATCTTTATTTTGCAACCAAGTCCAAAATATTATTCTATCTCTAGTTCTAATAGTGAATTTTCATTGTGGGTATTAATTCGCAGTTTCCATTTAGAGGTACTTATTTATATCCAAAGTAATGTTTTAAATATATATTTCCAAGAGATTGTAATAAAATGAAACAATATACATATATAGTAGAAAATTGTTTATACGTTTCGAATCGGTGAAATATTTGTGATCGTGGCTTAGCTTGATCCATATGCATCATCAATCAGTCTATACTCTATACATACGGATTTCTACGTACAACTTTTATAATATATGACACGTTAATACTAAATTAATAGCTAAAATTAGATCTTAACTCTAATTTTGATTAGAGCTTAGCTACTTTCGTAAAGGAAATTATTCTTGATGAAGCAATGGTTGGCTTATGGAATGTCAAAACCTTAATTGTATTAGAAAATATGAAATTCGAGGCACGCAATCCGCATAATCCAGTACGGATCATATCCCACTCGCATCCATTTGACTTTTGTTTTTAATATGTTTTAAAAACAAATACTTATTAGCATACTGCGCAAAAATTCACCAAATATATATATATATATATATAAACAATAGCTAAGAACAAAATATTATTGGGAAATTTTGTCGTTAAAAGTTAACCAATTATATTGGCCAACATTGGTTTATATATTATGAGCATGTGCATTTTAGATATGGGTTCAAACCCTCAGCGTCTGGGTTATTCGAATATTTTAAAGCCGCATGAGACATTATGAATATAATCTTGGTCATGTTCGTTTGTTCATCTGGCTGAATCAGGCTGATCGATGCATCTAGCAGCGGCGAACTGATATTCGTTTGAGTACAATTTTACGGATCAATTAGATAGAAAATCGAGATGTGTTTTTCAAAGTTTATATCTTGTAGATTAAATTATCAAAATATCATGATTTAATTTTTTTTTTTGAGGAAAACAATAAACCTTTCGTTAGGAAAGAAAAAAAAAATCTTAGGAGAGTTGTGAACACACATTTTTGTTCGAGTTCCTGCTATTTTTTTTTTCTTTTTTGGAAGTTCTTAGAGCATTTCCTTTACATTCTGCACTTTATTCATGGTACAGAGAGGCTTAACAATTATTATAATCTTTTTAGAGACATATATTTAATTTACGTAAGAACTTAGAATATACGTACTTAAAAAAAAAAAACTTAGAATACATCATTTAAAACCGGATTATGCGATTTTTAAAGATGTTCTACATACTTCGAAACTGGGTTGACTTAACCATGCACAACCAATTAAAAAAAAAAGTGTCTGTAAAGTTTGATCGTTCATCTCTTTGTGGAAAGCATTTCACTTTTTCCCTTTAATTTATCAATTGAAGGATTTTAATTGGAAAGTTGTTAACGGTCTCATATTTTTAATTTTTCTTATTGGTAATTATATTGTATGCATGCTTAAATATGATAAATAATTCGCTAATGCTGTCTTTTGTAACCCATTTGAAATATTATATTATTCTCATTTCATTAATATGTGTATTGGTGGTGTATTAATTATTCTCTTTTCCAAGTCAGAACCCAAACTGAAAACAATTTTACGTTTTGCATGCCTTGAATTATGTTAGAACAATTAAAAAAGAACAGAAATGAACATAAAATATGATTAAAAAAATAATTGTAAGCAGGACACACATGGTCATTTACACACAATGTATGTTTTGATATTTGGTTAATACGCTAAAACCATTTTTTTTCAACAAACCTAGTTCGAAAGACAAGCCAGTTAAGTCGAAGATTGGGACGATCAAATTTGTTTATTGTTTACAAACTTTAGTACAGTTTAATACAGTTTTACAAACTTTTACTATGAAATAGACTACAAAAAATTTCTTTGTGCGGACTACTACTTTCATTTGACCGGACATGTATGTTTTCAGCCTTTCAGTAATGAAGACCACGTACAAGATCAAAAAGATGAAGACACACGACCTGGTTTTATGGCCCTATGGGCTTTCTGTTTTCTAATATCAAGTTTGGTTCACTTTTCTATGGGTCTTACTATATTTAGCCCAACATGAACTTTGAAGCCACAAAATCCATCGACTTTTTTTTTTTTACTTTAGTAAGGTGAACTACTTGTTTTATTTATCTAACACTTTTTTGAATTATTTTGGCAGAAGAAAACTATATGTATAAAATTACAGCACTTCAAATCAAATAAAACTGTGAACATTTAATAATATAGTAATTAAGTAAAATTTCAAATTATTTGACTAAAATTGCGAACATTTCCATTTAGCAAAATTTCCCTAAAATAGTTTAAAATGTGTATGTATACAGTTCATACAATATATATTAAAAATACTCTAAATCTTTTATAACCTTTTTTTTACATCATGATATGTTAATATTGATTGAAATTATAGCATGAAACGATATATCATCCATTGCCGTAAAAACTAAAAAGAAAAAAAAACGAAAAATAAACCTAGGAGTAGCACACCGAATCAAATAATGATGGAGAACACAAAACACGTCCACAACTTTAAAGTAATTTTAACTTTGAACACTTAAAACTGAAAACAATAAAAACACTCAAATAAACCCTTAAAATAGCCAATGAAATCCTCCAAAGTGCATATAAAAAAAAAAAATCTTTATATTCGACTCTCTCATATTTTGCTCTCCTATGTGCCTCATTCTCCTCTCGAAGACTTCGTGTTGAAAGAGCGACCAGTGCTGTTTCTCTCTATCCACAAACACGAACAATTCTTCGTTTTCTTTGTTCCTGTTGCCAACTCCAGATTCTTACAGTGCCACAATCTCCAACATTGCAAAGTTGAGACATCTCATAAACTAAGTCAGGTTATCAAATCTATCTCTTATGCCGTGTTTGGCAATTCACGTTTTCGGGTTTACTTTCCTCTTTGTGGGTTTTCTTGTGTCTCAACGCTACTGCTTTATGCCTAGAAATCGAGGAAACTAACAATCGGAGATGCTTTTGAGATCAAGTACCCAGCTTTTGTTCTAGAATTTGTGTTTCCATGTTTTTGTCTCTTGCGTAAAGATTTCGACTTTTGCTGCTTTTCGTTCTTACCATTGTCATATGTTCGTCTCTTGGGTTAATCCTTTACGAGATCATTGAGAATTACATACAACTTGTTCATGTTCGGATCGATGCTTATGGGTTTTGCGTTGATCAGGTCTGATTATGAATCTGGGTCAGTGGTTCTTAGGAATTTGGCTCTCAAAACACTAGATTTTATCTCTTTCCTCGTCTTCGTGCTTTTGTGGGTTTTGCTTTAATACCCGTGTCTCTGTTTATTTCAATGATCATGTCTTCTTGGATTGAATCGAATGTATTTGGTATCCCTCAACAACTTCTTTCACGATCTGAGGTAGTTTCATCTTCAGTTTGATCTTAAATATCTGAGCTTTATACTTTACTCCGTCGTGTTGGTCTGGACAATGTATGTATTTGAGCTCCTTGCGGTTTGTTTGTATCGTTCATAAGTTGGGTCAGTGTTCATACTTAAAGTAATGAATTTCGAAGTTGGGTCTTTTATCTTTGTATTTTTGCTTCTTAATAGTCAGATCTTGTCCGTATCTATTTGCCAGGAAACTATGATTGATTTCCCTTTGCTGTTTGATTTTAGATATTTACAGTTTGTATGTTCTTGCAAGTTTACATTTTTTCAACAGTTCTTTTGAGATTCAATGTTGAAAATGCAGTTCTTTTGCGCTTCTTCAGGTTTCACTACGTTGAGAATGGTTCCTCTCATGGGTGGGGAAAATAATCTTATGGAAGAAACAGCTGTTGTCGAAGAAGATTCCTATGATGACGAGTTTGCCTGCGGAGATCCACAAGTTGAGCCTCGTGTTGGAGATGAATTTCAGGTCGAGATTCCTCCTATGATGTCTGCATCCAAGCGTGCTGTGTTTCTTTCGACTCCTGTTGCTTTGGATGATTCTTCGAATTCTTTTCTCGTCGGACTACCTGTCCAAGTGATGTGGATAGACAAACATAGAAGAGGACAAGGAAATGGAGATGATAATGTTGACATGAACCAATCTTTGAAGTCTTTAAGAGCCCAAAAAAGCCGTTGCTCTGCCAAGATCAGAGGAAATAGTGACAAGAATTCGGCCCCCAAGAAGCAAAGATTGAATCTTGAGGCTGTTCCTGCGATACCGTCCAGTTCTTGGGAAGATTTGGAGGTGGCTAGCTTTGTTCTTGGTCTGTATACATTTGGGAAGAACTTTACTCAGGTGAAGAATTTCATGGAGAACAAAGGAATAGGAGAGGTAATGTTGTTTTACTATGGGAAGTTCCACAATTCTGCAAAGTACCACAGTTGGTCTGAATCCCGCAAGAAGCGCAACCGGAAATGTGTATATGGAAGAAAGATCTATTCAGGTTGGAGGCAACAACAGTTGTTAACCCGTTTGATGCCTTCTATTCCTGAAGAACCTCAGAAACAGATGCTTGTGGATGTGAGTCTCTTTCACATCTTACTGCAGAATGCTTAATCACTATATATTTGTTCTGTTCATTGATCTTACTATTCGCAGGTCTCAAAGTCATTTGCTGAATGTAATATCACTCTGGAGAAATACGTAAACGCAGTGAAGAATCTTGTGGGTCTCAGGCTTCTGGTAGACGCTGTGGCGATTGGTAAAGAAAAAGAAGATCTCACGGTTCCTACATCAACACCAATGAAGACCAAACCATGGTTCACTGTTTCTTCAAAACCTTCTTCTGTCCCGGGCGTAGGGGATTACAATTCACTCACATCCGCTGGCATAATAAATCAATTAACTGGCTGTTCGCGTCTGAGCAAAGCCCGTTGCAATGATATATTCTGGGACGCTATATGGCCGCGTTTGCTAGCCAGAGGATGGCGTTCACAGCAGCCCGAGGACCGAGGCTATTTCAAATCTAAGGATTACATTGTTTTCATTGTCCCTGGCGTGAAAAAGTTTTCAAGGCAGAAGCTTGTTAAAGGCGAACATTACTTTGATTCTGTCAGTGATATCCTAACAAAGGTTGTGTCTGAGCCTGAACTTCTTGAGTATGAAACAGGAGGAGAGATCAGAGACGTGGCTACCAACGAATTCGTTGCTGCTGAGAACTCTTCTGACCAGTCAGATGAAGATTCTTCCCCTTCTGATAGTCAAAGACACCGTTACCTCAAGTCTCCATGTTCTAACCGTGGAACTCTGGGAATGAAATTCACTGTTGTGGACACTAGTTTGGCTGCTGGAGGAAAGTTGTGTGATTTACGGAATCTGAATGCAGAGTCTCTAGTAGTTTCTGAGCCAAAGGCTCGTCTGGGAGCTAAAGATTCTTCTGCGCTTAAAAATTCCCTGGACAGTCAGAATGTGGAAAAGTCTCAAGTGAGGCCTTTGGATGCCAAGAACCAAGTGGATGATCCAATGCGATTCACGATTATTGATACGAGTGTAGACCACTGCAAAAAATCATCTGGGTTTAGAAGATGGAGGTATTTACCAAGTGATGACACAAAAAGGGGTTATGTTGGGGCTGATTCTGGTATAAAGGAGGAGAAGAATTTGGAGAAGGCTAAGGATCCATCAAAGAGGGTGATTAAGCCTAGGTCTACCCCTCGAGCAGAAACTAACTATCATTCAGTAAATTCTGCACCATATTTGAAACGCAGACGGCTCAGTGCTTGCATTTCAAGAGAAAGTCCAGTGGTCAAGCATTTACCAGGTGCTGATGACACAAAAAGGACTGTTTGTCTTGAATCAGAGCAGCAAAGTATATGTGCAGTCCAACACCAAAATATCACTTGTGAAGAGATGAATCTGGAAAAAGAGACTGTGCTGTCAGTTGAGCATATGAACTTAAAGTCTGATCAATCAAAAAAGACTGGAACTGGGCCGTCTTCTTCGCTTGTTGAGATTCAAGAAACGACAGGGATTGAACCAAGTGGGTTAAATTCCATCTCCGGTGTAGACAAGAACTGTTCTCCAGGGAAGATAAGAGCTGCCCATGAACTCATTTCGGCAGAACAAAAAACAAATGGGCTCTGTTCAGTGTCAGAGTCGGACAAAAAACGAGCTTCTTCCAATGATCTGGAACAAAAGCAAGCAGTTGAGCTCCCTTCCGTTTCAGGCTCGAACACCAATGGGTCTCCTTCCAGTGATCTGGGAACTACTCAAGAAGTGGGTTCATCTAAAGAACAACACGACCAACAGGGTAATACAGATGGTCCTAGAAGACAGAGCACAAGAAAGCGACCATTGACCACTCGGGCTCTGGAAGCTCTGGAATCCGACTTTCTTACAACCAAGAGGATGAAAAGCACGACTAAACCAGAACCGAGAAAACGTGAAAGTTCAACGAAGAAAAAGCGCTCAGCTAAAGCATGTAACAGAAATGGGAGTGCAGACTTGGAGCACAGAAGAGAAGATAGAAGCAGTTTTATAAAGAAAGCACCAACAAGTAAGCCCTTGGATCAAATAGAGGATTTAAAGCCTAGCTATCTTCTCAATGAAGCAAGAACCGAGAGTATGGCTCTGGATCGAATACAGGAGTCAAGGCCGGTCCTAACTGAATACCGTAAACTTCCACCGATTGTTTTGAAGCTTCCATTCAGACGTGGCTAAGGAGCTTCACGGACTTAAGTCTGAAAGTTTTGATCGCTGGATGCGAGAAGATTGGCCTTGCTGAAGAATAAATGTGTACAGAAGAGAGAATTTTACACAAAGGGTTTAATTCCTTTGTTATTCTTATTATTTCCATTATTAGACAGAAGTAATGTTTCTATTATTGGTTTGCTTGGGAGTTATATGAAGTAACTTATCATATGGTTTATATCCAGAAAAATTAAGTAGAAGATTGATGGTCATGAACATAATTGATCGAGGATGATATACAACAAACAAAATAAATTTTTTCAACAAACTTAGTTGGAAGGACAGGCTGAGTCAAAGATGGGACGATCAAATTTGTTTACTTTTTACTAAAAATTTATTTAGCAAATGGTTTAATACAGGTTTACAAACGTTTACTATGGAATGAACGACAAATTATTTTCTTTGTTCGGACTACTAACTTTCATTTGACCGGTCGTGTTTTCAGCCTTTCAAGGAATGAAGACCACATGCAATCATGCATGATCCAAAAGAAAGAAGACAGACGACCTGATTTGATGGCCTTATGGGCTTCCTGTTTTCTGATATAAGTTTGTTTCACTTTTTTCTACGTCCTTGGGTCTTTCTATTTTTAGCCCAATATGAACTTTGAAGCCACAAAATCTTTACCTTGGCTTTAAGGTGAACTACTTGTTTTATTTATCTAAGACTTTTTTTTTTAATTATTTTTGCAAAAGAGAAACAAAAAGTCTAAAATTACAGCACTTCAAATGAAATAAACCAAACTAAATTGAGTGATATATAATATTTATTGTTTATTATGAAATAGTGAAAAATTGATGGTTTTATCAATTTAATTTTAGATGGTTTTACTTTTACCTATGTAATTTATACATGGCGCTAATTTTTTTCTTTCTCTAATATGAATTTATATTTATATCATACGAAAGTTCATCATAAAATGTGATAAGTTCATCATAAGTTTTTCGGTACATTTTTATCATTTGATAATATAGTAATTTAGCAAAATTTCAAATTATTTGACTAAAAATGCGAACATTTCTATTTAGCGAAGTTTCCCTAAAATAATTTGAAACGTGTCAGTATGCAGTTCATATAAAATATATTAAAAATACTGTAAATCTTTTGTAACTTTTTTTTTTAGAAAAACCTTTTTTACATCATATTATGTTAATTTTATTTTTGTGTGCACCAAATCATATTGTATGTTAATATTGATTGAGCATGAAATGATATCATCAATTACCGTAAAAAGAAGAGAAAAAACGATAATTTAACCTAGGAGTAGCACACCGAATGGAATAATGGAGAACATAAAACACGTCCACAACTTTAGAGTATTGTAACATTGAACACTTAAACTGAAAACAATAAACTCTCTCTACTAAAAAACCCTTAATATAGCCAATGAAAATCTTCAAAGTGCATATAAAAAAAGATCTTTATATTCGACTCTCTCATATATTTCTCTCCTTATGTGCCTCATTCTTCTCTCGAAGACTTCGTGTTGAAAGAGCGACCAGTGCTCTTTCTCTCTATCCACAAACACGAACAATTCTTCGCTTTCTTTGTTCTTGTAGCCAACTCCAGATTCTCACAGTGCCACAATCTCCAACATTGCAAAGTTGAGACATCTCATAAACTAACTCAGGTTATCAAATCTCTCTCTTATGCCGTGTTTGGCAATTCACGTTTTCGGGTTTGCTTTCGTCTTTCTGGGGTTTCTTGTGTCGCAACGCTACTGGTTTGTGCCTAGAAATCGAGGAAACTAACAATCGGAGATCCTTTAGCATCGAAGTACCCAGCTTTTGTTTTAGAGTTTGTGTTTCCATGTTTTTGTCTCTTGCGTAAAGATTTCGACTTTTCCTGCTTTTCTTGCATACCATTGTCATATGTTCGTCTCTTGGGTTAACCCTTTACGAGATCATTGGGAATTTCATACAACTTGTTCATGTTCGGGACCGATGCTTATGGGCTTTGCTTTGATCAGGTCTGAATTTGCGAGATTATGAATCTGGGTCAGTGGTTCTACGGAATTTGCCTCTGAAAACACTAGATTTTATCTTTGTGCTTTTGTGGGTTTTGCTTTAATTCCCGTGTCTCTGTTTGTTTCAATGATCAAGTCTTGGATTGAATCGAATGTATTTGGTATCCTTCAACAACTTTTTTCACGATCTGAGGTAGTTGAATCTTCACTTTGATCTTAAATATCTGAGCTTTATTTCTTTACCCCGTCGTGTTGCTCTGGACAATGTATGTATTTCAGCTCCTTGCGGTTTATTTGTATCTGTCATAGTTAAATTCAATGTTCATACTCAGGGTAATGTATTACAAAGTTGGGTCTTTTATCTTTGTGTTTTTGCTTCTTAGTTGTCAGAAACTAGGATTGATTTCCCGTTGCTGTTTGATTTAGATGTTTACAGTTTGTATGTTCTTGAAAGATTACCTTTTTCAAACAGTTTGAGATTCTTTTGATGTTGAAATGCAGTTCTTTTGCGCTTGTTCAGGTTTCACTACGCTGAGCATGGTTCTTCTGATGGATGGGGAAAATAATCTTATGGAAGAAACAGCTGTTATCGAAGAAGATTCCTATGATGAAGAGTTTGCCTGCGGAGATCCACAAGTTGAGCCTCGTGTTGGAGATGAGTTTCAGGTCGAGATTCCTCCTATGATGTCTGCATCCAAGCGTGCTGTGTTTCTTTCGACTCCTGTTGCTTTGGATGATTCTTCGAATTCGTTTCTCGTCGGACTACATGTCCAAGTGATGTGGATAGACAAACATAGAAGAGGACAAGGAAATGGAGATGATAATGTTGACATGAACCAATCTCTGAAATCTTTAAGAGCCAAAAAAAGCCGTTGCTCTGCAAAGATCAGAGGCAAGAGTGACAAGAATTCGGAAACCAATAAGCAAAGATTAAATCTTGAGGCTGTTCCTGCGATACCGTCCAGTTCTTGGGAAGATTTGGAGGTGGCTAGCTTTGTTCTTGGTCTGTATACATTTGGGAAGAACTTTACTCAGGTGAAGAATTTCATGGAGAACAAAGGAATAGGAGAGGTAATGTTTTTTTACTATGGGAAGTTCTACAATTCTGCAAAGTATAACAGTTGGTCTGAATCCCGCAAGAAGCGCAACCGGAAATGTGTATATGGAAGAAAGCTCTATTCAGGTTGGAGGCAACAACAGTTGTTAACCCGTTTGATGCCTTCTATTCCTGATGAACCTCAGAAACAGATGCTTGTGGATGTGAGTCTCTTTCACATCCTACTGCGGAATGCTTAATCACTATATATTTGTTTTGTTCATTGATCTTACTATTCGCAGGTCTCAAAGTCATTTGCTGAAGGTAATATCACTCTGGAGAAATACGTAAACGCAGTGAAGAATCTTGTGGGTCTCAGGCTTCTGGTAGACGCTGTGGCGATTGGTAAAGAAAAAGAAGATCTCACGGTTCCTACATCAGCACCAATGAAGACCAAACCATGGTTCACTGTTTCTTCAAAACCTTCTTCGGTCCCGGGCGTAGGGGATTACAATTCACTCACTTCCGCTGGCATAATAAATCAATTAACTGGCAGTTCGCGTCTGAGCAAAGCCCGTTGCAATGATATATTCTGGGACGCTATATGGCCGCGTTTGCTAGCCAGAGGATGGCGTTCACAGCAGCCTGAGGACCGAGGCTATTTCAAATCTAAGGATTACATTGTTTTCATTGTCCCTGGCGTGAAAAAGTTTTCAAGACAGGAGCTTGTCAAAGGCGATCATTACTTTGATTCCATCAGTGATATTCTAACAAAGGTTGTGTCGGAACCTGAACTTCTTGAGTATGAAACAGGAGGAGAGGTCAGAGAAGCGGCTACCAACGAATTCGTTGCTGCTGAGAACTCTTCTGACCAGTCAGACGAAGATTCTTCCCCGCGTGATAGTCAAAGACACCGTTACCTCAAGTCTCCATGTTCTAACCGTGGAACTCTGGGAATGAAATTCACTGTTGTGGACACTAGTTTGGCTGCTGAAGGAAAGTTGTGTGATTTACGGAATCTGAATGCAGAGTCTCTAGTAGTTTCTGAGCCAAAGGCTCGTCTTGGAGCTAAAGATTATTCTACCCTTAAAAATTCCCTGGACAGTCAGAATGTGGAAAAGTCTCAAGTGAGGCCTCTGGATGCCAAGAACCAAGTGGATGACCCAATGCGATTCACGATTATTGATACGAGTGTAGACCACTGCGAAAAATCATCTGGGTTTAGAAGATGGAGATATTTACCAAGTGATGACACAAAAAGGGGTTGTATGGGGGGTGATGCTGGTATAAAGGAGGAGAAGACTTTGGAGAAGGCGAAGGATTCATCAAAGAGGGTTATTAAGCCTCGGTCTACCCCTCGAACAGAAACAAATTATCATTCTGTAAATTCTGCACCATATTTGAAACGCAGACGGCTCAGTGCTTGCATTTCAAGAGAAAGTCCAGTGGTCAAGCATTTACCAGGTGATGACACAACAAGGACTGTTTGTCTTGAATCAGAGCAGCAAAGTCTATGTGCGGGCCAAGACCAAAATATCACTTGTGAAAAGATGAATCAGGAAAAGGAGACTGTGCTGTCAGCTGAGCACCTGAACTTAAAGTCTGATCAATCAAAAAAGACTGGAACTGAGCCGTCTTCTTCGCTTGTTGAGATTCAAGAAACGACAGAGATTGAACCAAGTGGGTTAAATTCCATCGCCGGTGTAGACAAGAACTGTTCTCCAGGGAAGATAAGAACTGCCCATGAACTCATTTCGGCAAAACAAAAAACAAATGGGATCTGTTCAGTGTCTGAGTCGGACAAAAAACGAGCTTCTTCCAATGATCTGGAACAAAAGCAAGCAGTTGATCTCCCTTCCATTTCAGGCTCGAACACCAATGGATCTCCTTCCAGTGATCTGGGAACTACTCAAGAAGTGGGTTCATCTAAAGAACAACGCGACCAACAGGTTAATACAGATGGTCCTAGAAGACAGAGCACAAGAAAGCGACCATTGACCACTCGGGCTCTGGAAGCTCTGGAGTCCGACTTTCTTACAACCAAGAGAATGAAAAGCACGAGTAAACCAGAACCGAGAAAACGTGAAAGTTCAACGATGAAAAAGCGCTCAGCTAAAGCATGTAACAGAAATGGGAGTGCAGACTTGGAGCACAGAAGAGAAGATAGAAGCAGTTTTATAAAGAAATCACCAACAAGTAAGCCCTTGGATCAAATAGAGGATTCAAAGCCTGGCTATCTTCCTAATGAAGCAAGAACTGAGAGTAAGGCTCTGGATCGAGTACAGGAGTCAAGGCCGGTTCTAACTGAATACCGTAAACTTCCACCGATTGTTTTTAAGCTTCCATTCAGGCGTGGCTAAGGACTGAAATGGACTTAAGTCTGAAAGTTTTGATCGCTGGATGTGAGATGATTGGCCTTGTTGAATGCTGAAGAATAAGTGTGTACAAAAGAGAGATTTTTACACAAAGGGTTTTATTCCTTTGTTATTCTTATTATTTCCATTATTAGACCGAAGTAATGTTTCTATTATTGGTTTGCTTAGGAGTTATTTGAAGTAACTTTCATATGGTCTATATCCAGAAAAATTATGTGGAATACTGATGGTTATGAATATACTTTATGAAGCATGATATACACAGAGTCATAGATACATTACAAATCCTGAATAGTAGTCTAAACTAAAGTCACAACAATGATATTTATACTACTATACAAATCTTGACTGATTTAAGTGCAGCTCATTTGCTGAGGCCGCTTGGTTGCCTTGTTTAAGTTGTGAGAGACTGCTTTGGTTAAGTTCGAGTCCTCAAAACCAAGCTCTGCTCCAAATCTTTTGCAGCCATAACAAAAGGAACCAAATTTCAAAAATTGTCAGTTCAAATTCACTTCATACTCTTTAGATTAGTTTTGGTGTCAATTCTTTTTTACTTACTTTGGATCCAAGACCAGTTTCTGAACCTCTTTAATGGCTGAGCTAGCTGCGTATAACGATATCTTTCCAATCTGAATTAAGAACCCAAACCATTTCCAAGAGTTACAACTGAAGGCACTGAGATGGTTAATAGTTTGTTCTAAGGGAAGGCAGAATCAAAGATTTGTTACCTCTAGAATCTGAAGTTTTGCCTCGTGGTCGTTTGGTAAACACCGGATTTCTTCAGCTAATCTTGCTGACTCTTCAACGCTTTCAGGGCACAAGAAGTCAAGTGCCACCTGAATATTCGACTGAGAATTGTATACATGCGAAAAAAAGTTTAGTTTAGCTCAAGGGAAAAGAAACTGAGTGGAATAATGTTGCATAGAAATAAATTTACCTGAAGATTCTTGATTTGGAACGGACATCCAGCCGGAATGAAGATAGCCTCACCCCGATGTTGCTCAAATGTCCATGGCTCAACTCCTGAAACAATAGCAAGAGTCATCCCTCAGGTTTCCAAGCAATAAGTGTTTGGAAATAGAACAGGGAACAGAATGTTTGTTTTTCCTACCAAACTCGTCTCTTAGTTGTCTCTTGTGGTGTTCATTTAAGAACAATCCTTCATACAACGGGCGTGACACCTGAAACAAGCGTAAACAAATAGGAAACTCAATCATTCGACATACAAGACTTACACACTTCATTTATTTGATTTAGCAAGTAAGACTTACAAAATCAGTCTGGATATTATCAGGCTTCTGGAATGTTCTCAGCAAATACTCGGCCAGCTTTGGGACGTCTTGCCGTCGAAAGACATCCCACTGGGCTCCTCCTGCACCTGAAGATGTGCAAGAAGATTCCATGTTGTGACCGTTTTCCGTTAAGTTCTCTGGATTCATAGTCAACGCCAACTCAGGTTCATTCTTCTCCATATTGGCTTCACCAAGTGATAGATCATGTAACTCTCCGTCCCTTAATTTTTCCTCAGGGTTAAGAAGTGACTCATTTTCGCTCATCTTCTGGTCGGGTTTTTCTGGACCAGGTTTCATTTCTCTCACCTTTTCAAATGTTGTTTCTTCAGATGTGTGCACCAAGAGGTATACCTGATTAACAGTTCCAACGACTCAATCCATTATATATTTTAACAAGAATCTTAGTTGACCTAACAAAACCAGTTTCCCTTATTAACCAAAATAAGACAGATGTGATCAATTATAATCCAAGAGCTGAATAATGTACCATGTCACGCATGTTGTAGTGAATACTAGTCAATGAATCGCCAGTACCAATTTCTTGGTATGTCCCACAAGACACATAAATCTTTGGACCTGCATCGTTTTGGAGGGAGTAATGAGGTAACTTGGCTGCAACATTCAGAAGGCCTAACCGGGGATGGATGTACTCTAGAAACGGAAAACTTCTGATAAACTCAGGTCTTTGGTAGAAAATGAACTCCTCAGAAGCACTTGGGCTTGGCCAGTCCTTTAACTTCCATAGTAGTGGAAGACCTGTCTCTTGGTTTTTACCATCTTTATATGCTTTTGTAAACTCCTCAAGTCTTACATCAACCTGTTGATCAAGTTATGAACATTACTGAATCTGTGACTCAACAATATGACGGTAAGGAGATAAGAAGAAATTTACCTCTGAACCGTCCACGCAATTAATGGCCTTCAAGAATGGATCATGTTCTCTCAGTTTCTCGTCTGAAAGCTCGTCTATATCCCTCCAAATAGTCTCAGGATCCCATCTAGAGCAAGATGAGTCGTGAAGTACCCTTTTCACAGTAACAAGCCGACCCTCTGCCCATTGTTGCTCTAAATTAGCTACTCCATCAGTTTTAATTGTTTCAAGCGACGGGCTGTACACGTAGTTGTCACCGCTCACTTCTCTCTCAGCAAATTTGCAGAAACTGGAATCGCACATATCAGGGTTCCGAAGATCAGATAATTTGCAGCCATTAACAATTTCCTCAGCATTTTTCACAAGCTTTGCGACCCAATTCATCTTGAAAATGCGAGCGAGATTCAAAGAACGGGAACCGCAGCCTCCATACTCATTAGGAGGGCAAGGGATGCTCCCATCACCGTTGGCTTCCCACTCAGGAAACTTGTATGAAAAGTTTAGTTTTAGTTTAGGAGCTCCTTTACTTTCTCTTATGTTTTGGTTAGTCCCACTAATCTTAACTGAAGACTCTTCCCGTAGATCTTGACAGCATCTTAGGCAAAGGTCATATGAGCAGTTCGGACAATGACGGTAGTAGTCAACAACTGGTATCCGACACACGTTGCTGCAAGAAACAAAACTTCAGTCATGTACAATAATACAAAGTGCCAACAAGAAATAGTTGCAGTGTTAAGTCAAAAGAAGAAAGGCATGTGAGATAGATCAAAAGTACCAGCACATCTGCTCATCTGCTTTCAATCTTGCCCTGACAAGATCAATCTCAGCTCCTATAAAGTAAAAACAAACTAGTGTTAACCGCAAGAATTGTTAGGGGTATATATAATTCATCAATAGTCACTGTAAACAAAACAACTCGTCTCACCACGAAGCCTCTTCTCTAGTTCAACTTCCGTACATTGTTCAAGATGGATCTGCTTTATCACTGGGAGGACAGCTGATAATAGACGATAAAGATACTGCAACTTGTCCAAAACGGGTTTTTCCCGGATCCGAACCTGCAATTTTTCACAAAGAATCAACATCTCATGGTCCTGAATTTTAAACCCCAACACTCGTTTGAATCTGATGGATATACAAGAACACACCTTTATTGTATTATCAGAACGCAGGCAAGATTTGCAATCACACAAACCACGACATGCAGGGCAAACTTTCTCAACTTCTTCAAGTGATATCTCCGAGTACCTTAAAATGCATGAGACACCATCAGTACCGTTGAACTCTTTCTACCAAAGGTTTACAGAATTCTGTTATATACAGAGTGAAAGAAAAGAAAGCACACCTTGTCGATATACAATTTTCGCAGAAGGCTCTTTGATTGCATTTGAGGCAAGAAATGATTCTATCTCTATCTTTTCTCTGGCATTGATGGCAGATTTCCCCCAAAGACTCTGCAGACACATCTGTGCTTGCTGCTGAGTATTCCTACAACACATAAAAGGAGTTACTCTAATCCTTATAAGCAAACAAACACATATGGGTGTACAAGTTCTCTGTCTAATCAATGAGGAACAACAGATTTACCATAGGACTCGTGCTTTGGTGTGATCTGTTGCGTGATGGATCCATTACAGCAACAGATGGTGGTGTCCTATACGATCTGTAGCCCTCTTCAAACATTACAACATCTCTACCCAAGTCATCATTCAAATCAACTGCAACACGTGGAGAGAAACTCCTCATCATCGGTGTCTCGGGCGAGTACCGCATCAAGCTTTTGTTATGTCTCTTTTCTATTCTACCATTATTCTTGGAAGCAGAGGCAAGACCGTTATTATAGTGGTCAACGCTGGTGACTGGTAACTCGAAATCATCCATCTTCCCTTCCGAATATGTATCTGTTTCGCCTAATGATGATCTCCGTTTCGCTTTCTTCTGGTTCGCCCTGAAAGCCGAATTAGCTGCCCGTTTCTTTGCTTGGATGTAGTGCTTCTCACACACGGTTTTATCAGCCATGGACATTGCAGTGCATCTCCACTGTTTACCATCCGATCTCTTGCACCGTAAATCATCTGGAATCCCGAGAATAGACTCACCATTGCCATTGGCGGATCGAGTTTGCTCATGAGCACTCATTCTAATCACTGAATCACAAATCTCATCAAAATTGACCTGCATTGTTAAAAACACTAGATCTTTCAAACTAAAATCACAAATTGAGCACTCACTAAGGGAAAAAACACTAAATTGAGTGAGACGATCAACCAAATTACAATCCCAAAATCCAAAATTTCTAGCAAAATCCCCCAATTCAACGAACACATTCAATCTAACCAAAACTAAACGAAACAATAAGCTAAGGAGAGTAAAGAGAGAGACCAAAACGAAAGAGAGTTGCACACACATGATCAATCACTGAGCCTAAGAGCTCTACAAACACATGCTATAACAGAATCTCTATACCGATCGATATACGTATACAATAAAAGAAAGTGCGTACAAATTCAAAGACAGAAGAAGAGAGCTCTGAAATCGCTAATAGCACAAATCGAAGGAAGAATTGAAGAAGAGTGTTTAGGATTGGGAATTCGAGAGGCTCCTCAACAAGTATATGTGTATGTCGATGTGTATATATATATAGGTACATTAAAAATAATTGCTCATACTTACAGTGAAAGAAGGAAAACCCAAAACCTGAAATTAGGGTTTTGCTCGAGAGAAATTGCAGAGATGATAGATGGGAGAGAAACCTATCATGTTCAGGACCCTTGTGTATTTTTATTTTTGCTCTGGTTTTTTTTTTTTTTCTTTTTTCTTTTCCCTGTCCTCTTAGGTTTTCCTTTTTCTCCTCTGTAACTCGGATTCAGACAGAACATGGATGGGTTCACTTGTTTTTCTTCTTTACTTTATTTTCTTTCAGTGTGGTGTTTATGATTCAAAGTGGATCCCATTGTACAGTCATGTTATATATTACAGATACCAAATATGGATATAACCCACCAAAAAAAAAATTTAAGGAAATTTAATACTACAAAATTAATATTAAATTTGTTTTGATATTGTAATTTACTAATTTTATTAAAATAAACTTACCAATTGATGAAACACAAAAGAAAAAATAGGCATGAATAAGATGGTTTTACACTAATTTGATTCTAAACCACTTGATCTATATTGCACTTTGGATTTCGGATATAGTTCCATAAGAAAGATTATTTGGTTCTAAGGTAAAATTATGTTCGTTTCATAGTTGCTAATGATAACAACAATGACTATATCATAATCGTTTTTTAATTGTCAGCGATTAACGATTAAATTGTGTGCGTTTTATAGTAACTGTGGATATCCATCAGCAATTGATTGGTAATTCAAAATACTAAACGCTAAAATTTTCATTAGTCAAAAAATTAAGTCATTAATCGTTAAAGTTTGTTATTAAAAATTTTGTTGATCGATTTTGAGTTTTGACTGCAAAAAGCACAATAAAATGGGTTGTTGCTCGATGTTTGTGTTGCCACTTGCTAGTAACTACGAAACGCACATCACTTTATTAGAACTTGAAAATTATTTTGTTGCAGTATAACATAAAGAGATAGGATCCAATGAAACTTTGAAATTTCTTTCGAAACTGGAAGGTGTTTATCAACTTCGTACGGGTTGCAAATTACGCATTTTCATATTAATCTAAATCTGGATAACTTTTTATTTTATTGGCAACATAAGAAATATGAAAAAAAAAAAAAAAAACATATGAAATATGATCGTGTGATATAATATGTTTGTTGGGTTTTAGTAATTATCATTGAATGATTTTTTGCTAACACAAATTCTGAATTGTGAGTTGATGATGAGTTTCTAGACTTTCGAGTAATTGAGTGATCATGTACTAGAAGAAAAATCAGCAAAACTTTTGTTGTGTTATATATCAAAATTTGCGAATATGGGCTCCATTATATGGACTAACGTGTATATTTGGGTTTAACTTAAATGGTCCTGGAGGAGAATAAAGTGGCAAAGAATATGGATAGTGTGCGTCAGGGCCACGCGAGGTGAGGCTATCGTTGAATTAAAAAGATGATTCAATCGAGAAAATGAGAACCAATCGCCTTTGAGAATAAGCAAGAATAGTAAACGTATGGGTTATTCCACGCGTATTGCTCTTGACTACTGAAGAAGATACCAAGAAAGATGCTTGAGATTATTCTGCTTTTCAAAAGATTCTTTGTAATTTCTCTTTGTTATTTTCCATCTTATATCACAATTTATTGTATAGGAAATTCCTGCATGTTTCCTAGTTTTAAGTTAGTACTAGTAATTTTTTTAGAAGACAACTAATAACTACGCACCACTAGTTGATCAGTGTAATTCAATGTAGAGTTATTAAATACACTGATCAACCACTAGTTAAATAGTACTCCTTCCGTTTCGTTTTAGTTGTCGTTTAAGGTTTTTGCACACAAATTAAGAAAATCATTAATTTTTTAGTTTTACCCTTTATTAATATATTTTATAATTTTTTCATTGGTCAAAACATTAAAATATTAATGACAAAACATTAATTTTCACCAAACATTTGCATTGAAAACCTAAAACGACAACTATTATGAAACAAAATTTTAATCCTAAAACGACAAGTAAACTGAAACGGAGGAAGTATTAGTACTAGTTTTTTGGTAGGATAGTATTAGTATTAAAGAATTATTTTTGCTCAACTTAAAAAGTGAAATTGACGTCTGACAGACTGACACTCCAACTTGTGCAATAGATTCCATTAACCACCATGTCATTATCGATACTAAGTCAATATCTTTTGATTGATCATAACAATTTAATCTATATTATTTATTGATAGTACGAATAACAAGTGTAGTAATGTTTTTTTTTTCTTAAGTGTAGTAATATCCAGTATTTAGTGCTTATTATACCGTAAAAATTTTGAATGGTTAGTTGTAGAATTCGTACTCGTCCGGTTGATATTTTATTTTTCGACTATAACTGTTAGTGATGTTGATCATATCCAATCCTAGCAGAGTAAAATGCGATATGATTCCTACATATCATGATATCAACATCAAACAATTGTAAGTCTAACTCTCCGGTGTGTCTTGTCCTATTTTACGTACGTACCTGATTACGTTGTCAAGTAACCAGGCATATGGAGAGCACCCATTGATCATGGTCTTATCATTTGAGGCAGTCTTTAAAACGTTTATTTATAATTTCCATTATCTCTGAACGTTTAGATTGCCATTATCACTAAACGCTTAGATATACATGAGTTTATTATTTGTTCCATGGTCAAAATAATAATTAATTAAAAACAGCAAGGTAATTAAACTTCAGATAAGAATAAACTAATATTAGGAAAGAAAAAAACTATTTCCATTTAAAGAAACCGCGTCCTTAAACAAAAAAAAATCTCGTACGTGTCCCTCCCGTGTGTACAAAAAAATCTCCTCTAATCCTTGAACCGACTTTAACATAAATTGCATATATATACATCCATACCCTCTTATCTTTTCTTTTCCTCATCATAAAAAAATATAATCTCTGCTTAAATCGATTTTCGATAAGATCATTCTCAGAACAAATTTCAAATTTTCGATCCGAGTAACCAACCATGGAGTGTAGATCATTGGATCTGACGATTATATCGGCGGAGGATCTCAAAGACATTCAATTGATTGGTAAACAAGACTTGTACGCTGTCGTTTCAATCAACGGTGACGCTAGGACGAAGCAGAAGACAAAGGTGGACAAAGATTGTGGCACCAAACCTAAATGGAAACATCAGATGAAGCTCACCGTCGATGATGCGGCGGCGCGTGAGAATCGTCTTACTCTTGTTTTCGAGATCGTGGCGGATCGTCCCATCGCTGGTGATAAACCTGTCGGTGAGGTTAGCGTTCCGGTGAAGGAGCTTTTGGATCAGAACAAAGGTGACGAGGAGAAAACGGTTACTTACGCCGTGAGGTTGCCTAACGGGAAAGCTAAAGGATCTCTCAAATTCTCCTTCAAATTTGGGGACAAATATACTTTTGGATCTTCGAGTGCTCCTCACGCGCCGGTTCCATTGGCTATGGATCATAAGACTATGGATCAGCCCGTCACCGCTTACCCGCCCGGACAAGGTGCGCCGTCTGCATACCCTGCGGGTCCTTCTTCCGGATATCCACCACCAGGACATGACGATAAGCACGGTGGTGTTTACGGATACCCGCAGCAGGCTGGATATCCGCCAGCTGGACCCGGTGGTTATCCTCCACCTGGTGGATATCCGCAACAGGGAGGTTACCCGGGATATCCGCCTCCGCAACAGGGTGGATACCCGGGTTATCCGCCACAGGGTCCATATGGTTACCCGCAACAAGGTTATCCGCCACAGGGTCCATACGGTTACCCGCAACAGCAAGCTTATGGTAAACCGCAGAAACCGAAGAAGCACGGTAAGGCTGGAGCTGGAATGGGACTAGGGCTTGGGCTTGGAGCTGGTTTATTGGGTGGGTTACTGGTGGGTGAAGCAGTTTCTGACATCGCAGATATGGGTGACATGGGTGACATGGGTGGTGATTTCGACTTCTGATTGCTATGTTATCAACTTTTTAATTTCTTAGGATAAATTGCTTATGTTTTTCGTTTGATGAATCATGTGTAGAACGTGAGAGATCAAGTTTTATCTTGTGTTTATGTCTCTGTTTACTTCTTTTTCTTCTAATGAATGTATTGAACATTATGATGCTATTTCCAATCACTGCTGTTGAATAGAATGCAATGAAACATAGCAAAGTTCATGCCAAAGGAAAGTTCCACATAATTTGTCTGTGCTTTGAGCTTGGTAAAACTCAGAGCCTGAGTAGAAAAAATAGTTTTGTAGCGATACAAAAGGAACGTTTGCTCGTATAAACTATTCACCAATCATATGCAATAAATAGTCCAACACCATTCTTTCGCAAAACGAAATCTCTCTCAAACTTATTATAATTCGTAATTTTTTTACATATTCTAGCTACCCTGGAAAAAAAAGAGCAAGAACAGGGAAAAAATGAAATAACAACAGCTGCAAATCCTATAGCTAACCGGTCAATAACCGACTCAAACAACCTTCAGTTACACGACTCTATAACTCATCATGATCATCTCCACCGTCGTCTTCACTCTCTCCCCCGGTTTTCTCGTAAACCGACTTAATAACCGGGTTACAAACCGACTCCACCTCCTTCATTTTATCATCGTAATCTTCCTTCTCTGCATTCACATTCTCTTCTAACCACTCCAACGTCTCCTTCAAAACCTCTTCCATCTTTTCTTTATCCTCATCACTTATCTTCTCCTTATCGGCCATTGTACTTTTCATGTTGTACACATACGTTTCAAGCTTGTTCCTCGCATCAATCTTCTCTTTCATAATCCTATCTTCCTCAGCAAACTCTTCTGCTTCTCTAATCATTTCCCCAATCTCTTCTTCTGTCAAACGACCTTTATCATTCGTTATTGTAATCGACTGTGACGTCTTTGCAACTTTGTCTTCGGCCTTCACCTGCAGAATCCCATTTGCGTCCACTTCGAAAGTCACCTCAATCTGTGGCACTCCCCTGAAAAAATGTTCCTTGCGTCTTAAGTAAACCAAGAACCCAATTGGTTTAGTAGCCAAGATTGACTTAGAGTTTACCTGGGTGCAGGAAGAATGCCTGTGAGATCGAATTTTCCGAGCTCGCGGTTATCTTTAGTCATGCTTCTCTCGCCTTCATAGACGTTGATGCTCACAGTAGTTTGCTGATCTTGGTAAGTCGTGAACACCTGAGACTTCTTCGTTGGGATCGCCGTGTTCCTCGGAATAATGTTTGTCATCACGCCTCCGACAGTTTCAATACCGAGGCTCAAAGGCGCAACATCAAGCAGCAGAATATCTGTTTTCAATAAGGTTAGGTTTTTTGCAACTCAAAAACAATGGAGTCTCAACTGTTGTCATAAAGAGAGTTAAAAGAGTCACTTACTTTGTGTTTCTTCTCCACCTTCACCACTTAATACTCCACCTTGGACCGCGGCTCCATAGGCCACAGCCTCATCAGGGTTAGTCCCTTTGCTGGGTTCCTTGCCGTCGAAGAAATCCTTCAACATCTGCTGAACTTTTGGGATTCGAGTACTTCCTCCAACAAGAACAATCTCGTCAATTTGGGATTTCTTTAACCCTGCATCTTTAAGAGCCTTCTTTACTGGCTCCATAGTCTTCTTGAACAAGTCCATGTTGAGTTCCTCGAATCTTGCTCTCGTTAAAGGCTCAGAGAAATCAACTCCATCAAAGAGCGACTCAATTTCAACACGGACTTGGTGCTGGTTGCTCAAAGATCGTTTCGCAAGCTCACATTCGCGCCTAAGTTTACCAAGCGCTTTGTGATCCTTGCTAATGTCTTTGTTATACTTCTTCTTGATCAGTTTGATGAAATAGTCCATCACTCTGTGGTCAAAATCTTCTCCACCAAGATGAGTGTCTCCGCTTGTGGATAAGACTTCAAAGACTCCATTGTCTATGGTAAGGATACTAACATCGAATGTCCCTCCACCGAGATCATATACAAGAATGTTTGACTCCCCACCTTTTTTGTCTAAACCATAAGCTATGGCTGCACCCGTTGGCTCATTGATTATACGAACCACATTAAGCCCCGCGATTGCCCCTGCATCCTTTGTGGCTTGCCTCTGCGCATCATTGAAATACGCTGCAAAACAACCAAGAAGCAAGAAATGCATTCTGATTATCAATACATTCAAGGCACTACACACTTATATTCAAACAGAGTAAACCGCTCTGTTTTTGTGGACTGGTGTTTTTGTTTCTTGTCAAAAACTTGTGAATAGACCACTCCGTATCAGTTTGCTGATACCATTAACATCTACATAGTTAAGAAAAGTGTATACTAACACATACCTGGAACCGTGATGACAGCATCTTTGATCTTCTTTCCCAAGAAAGCTTCAGCTGTCTCTTTCATCTTGGTTAGTATCATTGCACTTATTTCCTCAGGGCTAAACACTTTCTCTTCACCTTTAACCTTCACTTGAATGTAAGGCTTTCCATCTTTGTTCACAACCTTGTATGGCAAGAATTTGATATCCCTTTGTACATCAGGATCATCAAATCTGTAGCAAAACATCGAAAAAACATAAACAAAAGAGCAAGATATGTATATGGACTAGACAGACACTTGGAAACTAATTAGTACTAAACACTTACTTTCTTCCAATCAGACGTTTCGGGTCGAAGATGGTTCGCTCCGGGTTCTTGGCTGCTTGATTCTTAGCAGCTTCCCCGATGAGACGTTCAGTATCAGTAAATGCCACCCAAGATGGTGTAATTCTGTTTCCCTGATCGTTTGCTATGATTTCCACATGTTTGTTATGATACACACCAACACATGAATATGTAGTCCCTAGATCGATTCCTATCACCGTCCCCAGTTTCTGCTCTTCGCTTTCTATTGCCATGCTTGACATCAAAGCTGCTCCAATATTCATAAACAATCAAACGCCTTAGCCTAAAAAGAGAAACAGAAAATTCCAAAAAATTTTGTTTTTATGATGAGATTTTACCTGTCAGAAAAAACAAACACGCAAGAGCTTTGTTCGTCGTCATTGTTGTGTTTTTCTTGATAAAAATCATATTTGGTTGTTGAGAACTCTTCTTCGATCTCGTTTGCTTGCGTACAGAAAAGAATAGTTCGCTAGTTCTTTGGAAGAGTATGAAGTTCCTAGTCCCTCTATTTATATGTGCTTCAGTATGATTCGTATTTAGCCTGGTAGAGTGTCCTCTCCAATCATTGCTTGACACGTAAGCTTAATTGCATATTTTGTGTTGGCGCGCTCCTTACTTTTTACACACGTAAAGTACCCAATGGCAGAGAGACACGTGACATCAAATCGTCATCTTACAATCTCTCGAAAGTTTCACGACTTCTTCGTATAGTAGTTATCCTTTGTCAATTACCGGATCTAAATTCTGAAATCCCGATCCGGCCCAATCATAAAAACTTGACTCAGGCCTTTACTATATCTAACATGAAATATTAAATTGTACACTAATTAATAAATAACAGTGTTGTTACACATGCATAAAAATATTAAATGAATTTTTGTATACTGATTAATAAAATAACAATTTTTGTCGCAAAAAAGTCACATAAATTTTCATTACATTAGGATATTTTCTTTTGTTATTTAGGAATTTAGTGTAATGCCAAAACTAATGCATATGCGGTGAGGTGTAATTTTTGGAACAACATGACTATCGCTTAACGACTCCATTAAATTATCACGCAGACATAAGAGATTTATAAGAAATTTGCCATTTTCTAACTACTCTCAGTGTTGTATTTTTATTGGAATCAAAGTACAATAAGAATTGGATAACAACAAAACAGGCAAACCAACCCTATTGGCGGCCTAGGTTTTTGGCTATCTATTAATATTCCCTTTCAAAACTGAATAATTGACCATATATATCATATTAAATTTTTAAAAGATGTGATTGAAATAAATAAATATTTTAATATATGAATGATATAAACATTTACTGTAATGAATTTTGTTTTTGTTGGATGGAATAATGGAAGTCTAATTCGTCTACAAGTGCAAGATATGGTAAATATATATTAACTATATTATATATAGTATATGATTGAGAGATCAAAGAAAACAAATATTAATTATAAATCATATGATATACTCGAAATTGTCAAAAGGGTAATATGGTCATTAAAATCCGTATTGTTGGACAATCTATTTCACTAATAATTATTTAAACTGGATTACAAATTAAACAGCGTGGAGAATGCAAGAGGAAGGAATGGAATCTTGGTCAGAAGAAGAGAAAATCAAGATTTCCCGATGCAAAGCCACTGGACCAGAAAATTCTGAAGAGGACAACGTCGAGATCACACTCGAAGGTTCGGACAAATCTGATGACTACGTCGAGATCACACTCGAAGTGCGAGACGAAAGCATCAGCACAACGAAGGCCAAGGCGACACTTCGGTCTCTTCTTTCCGGGAGACTAAAAACGATGGTTAAGACGTTGTCCTTTGCTTCACGCCGGCTCGACCGTAGTAAGTCATCCGGTGCTATGTTTGCTCTTCGAGGTTTGAGGTTCATTGCCAAAACCGACGCCGTTGGCAGAGGCTGGGATGAGGTTGCAAAGAGGTTTGATCAGTTGGCCGTTGAAGGGAAGCTCCCTAAATCCAAATTTGGACATTGCATAGGTGAAAATTCTCTAAATAATTTACTTTTTGGTTTGTTAATTTTTTTTTTGGTAATTTCACTCCAATGTAGTGCTCAACTTATTTCCCATATAATTTTATATTTTTGTTTTAACGTAAATTTAAAAAGAATAATTTCAACTAAATAGGAATGGTTGAATCTAGCGAATTTGTGAACGAGCTTTTTGAGACGTTGGTCCGAAGGAGAGGGACTTCGTCATCGTCAATCACCAAAACTGAATTGTTTGAATTTTGGGAGCAGATCACAGGCAATAGCTTTGATGCTAGACTGCAAATCTTTTTTGATATGTAAGCATGGTTTTATATTTATTTATAGTATTTAAAATACTGTATTTTGAATAGTATAATGCATAATTATCATTTGTTATAATATGGTAAGTTGAGTAGTTATTTCTTTGTGTTTATGTAAATCTATAAGGGTGGACAAAAATTTGGACGGACGTATTACGGGAGATGAGGTTAAGGAGGTGAAAGATAAATTAATAGCGATACCTAATTATATTTCGTTATGGTCCTAATAAAAAAGAGAGAGTTAAAATTTAAGTTTTGTTTCGGCTTAATCGTAGATAATTGCTTTAAGTGCTTCGGCGAACAAACTATCAAAGATTAAGGAAAATGTAGATGAATATGCTGCCTTGATCATGGAAGAACTCGATCGCAACAACCTCGGATATATTGAGGTTCGTTGCCTACTATCTAATGGTTACACTTGTTTAACATCATTATAAAAAAGACAGGTTTAAATCCTTATAATCAATTAAATGTTTTTGTTATTTCAATGTGTTCACAAATATAGTTGAGCAATGGTTTATTTGCAGTTACACAACTTGGAAACATTGCTTCTCCAAGTTCCAAGCCAATCAAACAACAGTCCATTGTCCGCGAACAAACGTGCACTCAACAAGATGTTGAGCCAGAAGCTCATACCAACGAAAGATCGGAACCCGGTGAAACGATTTGCTAGGAATATTTCATACTACTTCTTGGAAAATTGGAAAAGGATTTGGGTGTTAACATTGTGGATATCCATTTGCATCGCTCTCTTCACTTGGAAATTTCTCCAGTATAAACGCAAAACCGTATTCGAGGTGTTGGGCTACTGTGTTTCCGTGGCCAAAGGCAGTGCAGAGACCTTGAAATTCAACATGGCTCTCATCCTCTTGCCCGTTTGTAGGAACACTATAACTTGGCTAAGGACCAAGTCAAAGCTTATTGGGTCCGTTGTTCCATTTGATGACAACATCAATTTCCACAAGGTAAATTATTATGTATATTAATATCATATCTATACACATTATATAATTTTCATTAGCCACTAAATATCCGTGTATTTTTTTTATAGAAGAATACAAAAAGGCATACGATTGTGGTAAAAATTTGGTTATGCTTAATCTTTATTTCCGTGCAGGTTATTGCGTTTGGGATCGCAATTGGAACAGGCTTACACGCCATATCTCACCTGGCATGCGATTTCCCGCGTTTGTTGCATGCAAAAAATGTAGAATATGAGCCAATAAAAAAGTTTTTCGGAGACGAGAGGCCTGACAATTACGGATGGTTCATGAAAGGGACAGATGGTTGGACCGGATTCGCCATGGTGGTTCTAATGGTAGTGGCCTACGTCTTGGCGCAGTCTTGGTTCAGGCGCAACCGGGCAAACGTACCAAAATCGTTGAAACGATTGACTGGTTTCAACGCGTTTTGGTACTCGCACCATTTGTTTGTCATCGTTTATGTGCTTCTAATCGTGCATGGCTATTTTATCTATCTCTCCAAGGAATGGTACCACAAGACGGTACGTATATCCTTTTCTTGCGTCTTAATTAATCATGGAATTTTTCAGAAAATTAGACTAAATGATCATAATAGTTTTTTTTGATGAAAGTATCGTTTGTTATTATTACGTACATTTGGACAGACGTGGATGTATCTGGCTGTTCCCGTTCTACTATATGCATCTGAACGATTGATTCGTGCATTTAGACCAGGTGCCAAGGCTGTCAAGATTTTAAAGGTATTTCTGTGATCTGTTCAGAATAGTATTCTCGTTATAGACAAAAATCAATGATAGATTTCACATTTTTATTTATATTAATTTTCAGGTAGCAGTATATCCAGGAAATGTACTTTCACTTTACATGTCGAAACCTAAAGGGTTCAAGTACACAAGTGGGCAGTACATATATGTTAACTGTTCCGACGTCTCACCATTACAGTGGTATATTAGCAAATACTAAACATGTATAATCATAAGTCTTTAAACTTTGTTATTTTGGTAGTTTAATATATTTTCAATTTGTATAGGCATCCGTTTTCAATTACTTCGGCTTCCGGGGATGATTACCTCAGCGTTCATATCCGCACACTCGGCGACTGGACATCGCAACTCAAATCGTTATTTTCCAAGGTTACTAGTTTTCAAGAATAACATTTATGAATTGATGATATATACGTGATTAGTTAGCTTTATAATTTGTTTTAATTACAAAACCATAGGTTTGTCAACTTCCCTCGACAAGTCAAAGTGGGCTCTTCATAGCTGACATAGGTCAAGCCAACAATATAACCAGGTACAGTATTTGGTATATAATTTGAGTAATCATGTTTTAAAAACATGAGCATACAAATTTTTCTAATGAATTTTACATGGAAAGGTTTCCGAGGCTGTTAATCGATGGTCCATATGGTGCACCAGCACAAGATTACCGGCACTACGATGTATTGCTTCTGGTAGGTCTAGGGATCGGAGCGACGCCATTAATCAGCATAATCAGGGACGTTCTTAACAACATCAAGAACCAGAAATCCATCGAACAAGGCACTAACCAACACATAAAAAACTATGTTGCCACAAAACGAGCTTATTTCTATTGGGTAACAAGAGAGCAAGGATCATTGGAATGGTTCAGTGAGGTCATGAACGAGGTAGCTGAGTATGATAGCGAGGGGATGATTGAACTACATAATTACTGTACGAGCGTGTATGAGGAAGGAGACGCGAGGTCAGCACTAATCACAATGTTGCAGTCATTGCACCACGCCAAGAGTGGCATTGACATCGTATCGGGCACTCGGGTCCGAACCCATTTCGCTCGACCCGATTGGCGTAGCGTCTTCAAGCACGTCGCTGTCAACCACGTCAATCAACGAGTTGGTATGTCATTATCACAACAATTATTCCATAGCTATTGTAGAATCTTTCTAGTAACTGATTTTACTTTTTCTATTTTGTTGGTAGGGGTTTTCTACTGTGGTAATACATGCATCATAGGAGAGTTAAAGAGACTGGCTCAAGATTTCTCTAGGAAAACTACGACCAAGTTTGAGTTCCACAAGGAGAATTTTTAGTTTCAATTCTATTAAATCATCCATCAGACCATTATTAATATTTATAACACATTAGTTATTGCATAAAACTTGCATAAGCAAGTAGAAATAATAAATTAACAAATACGAAAAAAAGCAAAATATGTCAAAATGATATTTTTATAACCACACTTTGAAGGGGTTCCAGATTCAAAAGCTGAGACTACAACTTGAACTTTTCTATAATGTAAATAGGAGAAAGGAGTGTACATAAAAGAGGACTTAGGCGTAGTAATTTAAGCTTGCTTTCTTCTTGGCTTGTACTTGAATTATACCTTCATTGAAATCCTCATGGTTCACCTGCAAACACACATTTACCATTTCCTCCTCATTATCCATCCAAAAGTTACAACCAGTAAGACGGAGACATATATACATACCTCAGTTGCATCCCGGCGCAGGGCAAGCATACCCGCTTCAACACACACTGCTTTGAGTTGAGCTCCATTGAAATCATCCGTTGATCGAGCAAGCTCTTCAAAATTGACGTCTGCATTCACATTCATTTTCCTTGAATGTATCTGCAACCCCATCGCCAACATTATGCAAAAACAAAACAGTACCCAAGATAAGTTTTTCGCCGAATACATAGAAAATCACATCAAGACTTGTCTAAGTGCAGGAAGCTTCTTTAATTTTAGCTTTAAAACGACATAAACAAATAAAGAAAAGATAAAAGTAAAGGATACAGAACCTGTAAGATCCTGCCTCTAGCTTCTTCAGTGGGGTGCGGAAACTCGATTTTACGATCCAAACGACCAGAACGCATAAGGGCAGGATCTAGTATATCAGCACGATTTGTCGCTGCAATAACCTAAGTTCGTAAAATTATGAGTTTATCACGCCTTGCACTAAATAAATAGACGTTTACAGGGATAATATGAGGGGCAACCTTGATGCGATCATCGCTGCTGAATCCATCCAGCTGGTTGAGCAGCTCCAACATTGTCCTTTGCACCTCACGGTCTCCACTAACTTCGCTGTAAGCCCATTAAAAGCCAGCATTAGTCATCAGAAAGAAAAATAAAATAAGACTAGATAAATAAAATAGTTATGACATGATTCTAGATAGAGTACCTATCAAAACGCTTTGTCCCTATTGCGTCAATCTCGTCTATGAATATAATACAAGGGGATTTCTCTTTTGCAAGCAGGAAAGCATCACGGACAAGTTTTGCTCCATCTCCAATGAACATCTATACATAAGTCTACAAAAAGTTACTTTCCGTTTGGTTCAAAAATTTCACAGGAATAAGATCAAAATCAGTTACGTTTACATTAGTTTCCATACCTGAACAAGTTGTGGCCCTGCTAGTTTCAGGAAAGTTGCATTTGTCTGTGCTGCACAAGCTCGGGCCATCAACGTCTTTCCGGTTCCAGGAGGACCAACTTTTCGAACTGCTCTTTATGAGTCATTGGCAACACAATGGCTTCAACAAGTTCTTGTATCTGTTTAAGGACAAGAACAGGAGATTCACCAACGTCAAATATTGTACCAGAGACACTAAAAAACTAAGGAAGCACGAAATAGGAGAATCATCAACTAGCCTGCTTCTCTAGCCCCCCTATATCATTGTAGTCTTCAGTAGGTTTTTCGTCAACCTCCATTGCTTTTACTCTTGAATCATATTCAGACGGCAAAGTATCCAGAATCAAGTAGCTATCTTTGTTAACTCCAACTAAGTCCCCAGGCTTCAATGTATCCGGATCAACAAGTCCAACAACGGGGAGAAAGATGGTCTGAAAAGCATAATCTATGAGATCTTTATACAAAAACTCATACATGTATATTAACTACACTAGTGGTCAATGTTCGTTCCCCAATATTTCTGAAAAACTATCTAGCAGAGATAAAAGAATCTGACACTTCACCTGGCGAGTTGATGTTTTTAGAACGACGCATTTTCCCTTCCTCTGAGAGTCCAGATCGATATTCGCTCCATCTTCCTCTGCATCATCCTCTGGACTCATCTCAAGAATCTAGAAAGCAGGGACAATTGATCAAATCTAATTCCATCACTTCACATAAAAAATTGAATGGTAAAATGTCTGAACTACTGTGGCAAAGATTCAAGAAATTCATCAGGCCAAAACTACTAGTTATCCAAAGCATAGTATAATTGTGGCACTCAACAAAAAGGAATGTCATACATACCAAAACCAAAAGCACCATATAAGGTCTTTATGAGAGTGAAACACCCAAGACAAAAGTACCTCAACGATATTGCCGACTAAGTAAGGAAGCTGTTTGTTTAGCTTAATCTTCTCCTGGTTCTCCTTTATTTTCTCCTTCACTGATTCCAAATCAAGGTTTGCCCTCTGCAATTCTTCCTAAAACAAAACCAACGTATTTGAGAGAAAAGACATCAATATTTCTGGACCGTGAATTTAATCCAATGAGCAAAAAAGACCAGCAAATAAATGCCTGTCTTCTAATCACTTAATAAAAAAAGCAGTTTGAATTTCGATATCTCTCTGACTATAAAGGGTGTGATATGAAATAAGAGTTGACGTTGCTGTAAGATATCATCCATCTTCTTCAAAACTAATCAAAGTGTGGCTAGTCAAATTAAGGTAATTAGTGAACTTGGAATGAGGAAATAGAGTAGTTCCAAGTAGCAGTTTAAAAATATATAGAAAGAAGAGAGAGGGTGGTGACCTTGAGGATGCGAATCTCGTTGGCTAAGAGACGAGAAGCTCTAGGGATGTCATCAGGAGTCATGGAAGCTAGTTGGTCTTCCTCCAAGCTCGTATCCTCCGCCATCGCCGTCGACGTTGCCATCTCCCTTACCAGCCTGAGTTTTATTCCAGTAAGAGCGATCTCAAAATAAAAACAGTTTGGCTTTTGGGCGAAGAAACAACTTTATTTTAATAATAGATTATTGATTAAGTATCAGTATATTCAATAGCTAACATCTAATCCGATGTCGTCCAGCGGTTAGGATATCTGGCTTTCACCCAGGAGACCCGGGTTCGATTCCCGGCATCGGAGCTTTTTTATTTTTTTCCCCAGCTTTATATCTCATTATTATTTTTATTTTTTTTAATTTTTTCACTATATAAAATCTTATTTCTGTTTTTAAATCAAGTTATTGCTACTCAATCTGGTCAAATTGATAATGAAGATTTTAAAAAAGCTGACCAAAAAAGAAGTGAAGACAAATGAAAACTAGTATGAAACTGTTAATATGAAATCGGAGGGGGAATGAAGGAAGAGAGTTGAAGATTGTATTTACTATGGCTAAAGAACAAACACATTACAATTTTTATCATATAATTTTCAAGATTCTTTTTAGTATGCTTCTCCTAATCGCATGATTCACATTTACCAAGTGATCTGAAACAAGGCAGTCTGCGGCCAATGTGGATTTTGTCAGTCTATTTGTTCTTCTCCATTGACACCTGCAAATGAGGAGAGTTCAAGCAAATACAAATCAGAGTGTACAGAGAGAAGAACAAGGAAAGGGGACCAACTTTTCTTATAGAGAAGATTTCCAAGCGTACATTCTAATGATTTGCAGCTGATTTAGATGGATTTCCATGAATAAGATTCATTAACTACCAATGAATATTTCCTGGTTCTTGATTAATTCATGCCTAGAGTAGTGATGGATAGTTAAGCGTGTCACTTACAGTGATTTAGCCAAGAAAACTTGAAACTAGACTCGTTCTACGCTTTTAATCCCAGCATTCTTGTCGAATTCCTCCGAAGGAACCACGTCCGCAATAATCTTTTCTTGACCGCGCCAAAGAATCTGTCAATGATTATGAGACCATCTTTACTGATAAATATTTTTCAGTAACCAAGACATTAAACTGGAAACTTGGAAATTTTAAACTCAGTCAATCAATCTCATATATCTCTGATGAACCCTAAACCACGAGGAAACGAAAAAAAATTAAGCAATTTTAAGGTCTCAAATTTGAAGGAATACGTGTCAGCCAGATAACTTTCTACGAAACACTAATGAGATTATGAAAAAGGTAGTCTCAGAGGGAATCTTGACTGGAAAGGTTACTTTGTTTGGTGACGATATATAACCTTAATCTTTTAGTATGTGCATATGAAAAGTAACATCAAAATTTACAGTGCCTAAACTTACCTTGTCAATGACTCCAAATTCTTTAGCTTTAGGTGCATCCATGTAATATGGCCTTCTCATTACGTTAGCTACAGTCTCCACGGACTAAATGACATATTAGAATGTTTTAATCAGCTATTAAATTTCTCCACTCAAAGTTATGTAGTAAACGAAATGTTTGGCACTCACATTCCCAGTATGCTTTGCTAGTAGTTCCACAAGTATATCCCTGTTTGTTATGACCTGCAATTGCATAACAGGAATGAGGAGGATGAAGTAAACAAACTCAAATTCTTCACCTCAATAGGTCATGAAATTCGGAACCAAATGCTTAAGTGAGAAATTTGTGTCCCAAATTATCAGAGATATAATACAGGAAAGAAGGTAGAAGCAAAGTTAAAAGAGTAAATCTTGGTCAAATTTAAATTCCCAGAATATTAAGTATGTAGAGCGATTCATCAAACCTCTTTGGCACGTATCAGGACATCGCTGGCAGGCATCAACCCAGAAGAAGGCACACGTGGTTGCTGGATCATCGCTGCGACATAATGAACCAAACGTTTGAGAGGTTCTGATTATCAATGGTGGGCCATAGAGGCGGCCAGAATGTAGTCGTAGTATACCTTTGGCATGTGGCATCATAAACCGGTTACCCTTGGTTCCCGCTGAAAGTAATAGACAGGCCTGACCTATGGCTGCTCCCACACATACTGTATGTACCTGTACAAGTAAGAACCAACCTGCTCACATGAAAAATACTGGGGAGACGAAAAAGTGCTTATCTCGATGACAGATCAAGTAGCTTGAGCAATTTCTAGCAAAACTTATTACTTATATGTTTACATTTCAGGAGCAGAGATAAACATTACCTCATTTTTAAGTTGCATCAAAGAGTCATAGATCGCGAAACCTTCTGATTCCATTCCAACCTGTTTAGTGAGTTGTTCACTGAAATTAGAACTAACAAGAAAAATGGTTGAAAACATTCACAATATTTTCAAACTCACCGTCTCTCCATCATCACGAGTGGTCCCTGTGGAATTGATGTAAATGTATATGGGTTCCTTGGGATCTAGCCACTGAAGATACATTAGCTCTGCGACAACCAGCTCTGTCACTGCCGGCACAAGCTGAAAGCAAAATCCATCAGCACCACAACATCAGTCTATGCAGTCCCAACCAAAAAATCCATAACAATCCACATAACTTACAGGCATTCCAATGTAAACAATTCTCCCGTCAAGAAGCATAGAAGGCAAGTCTGGTGGAGGAGTTCTCGGTCTGTGCTCATTATAAGCCACTGATCTTTCAACCTAATTTCAACCAATAGATTCCGTCAGCGGATTTGAAGCAGTGAAAATCAAAGTGATGTTGCTTAGTCAAGATCAAAGATGTTGATGGAGCTCTCTATTACGCCCATATATAGATACACAGTATATATCAAAGTTAAGTCAGTCTGTGTGTAAGAACTCGAGGCTGGATACTTGACGATTTAACTAAACGCAAAGCACCTATGTAAATCATCGTGTCGGGAATCAAAATAGACGAGAATAGTTCACCTGAGCAGGAGAAGACATGAGCTGAGGGGAGTCAAAGATGTCAAGATACGGAGGCACATCAGCGTTAACCGGCCGATTGAGAAGTCTTTCCGGAGAATTTGCTGCAATAGAAGCGAGCGTTGAGAGGAAAGGATCCTTAGGATTCATCGGAGGCATAGGGATTTTAGCAGAGGCTTTGGCGCGAAAGGCGTAACGAAAAGTCTTCAAGTTCCTTCTCCCGGATGAATTCAAGGATAGAGGAGGATGAGGAGAAAAAGAAGAAGAGCGTGGTAGCAGAGAATTCATGGATGCTTGTACGCAAGACGCCATGGTCGAGGAGCTCTTGAAGACGGAAGCTCGCGAAAATGGACTGGTTGGAGAAAGCAAACCAGAGGATTTATCGATGCTTTGGGAAGGGAGAGACTAAATTACTGGGTCGGGTTTCGGCTTGACCCGCTATCTGATGTTCGGGTATAGCCCAGGCCCCATTTTCAATAGACTCGTGTTTTTGACTAATTGCAATTATTTTGGGCCTTCTTTAGTGCTATGGGCTATGATGTGTTGTTACTGTTGGTGTTCAAACTTGAGATAGTACACAAAAGCAAGTTTTTGACACTGCAAATTTAGTCTAAGAGAATCATAAAAGACACCACAGTTCCAGTAGTTGTAATGTAAAAAGATATGTATGGAAAAACCTCAAAACATAACCAACACAACATCTGATAACTTTTAATATGCAGCCAAGACAAAGTTTCTGGCTTTTTAATGACACAATAACAGACCAATTCCATGTTCACAACTAAAACTTATTGGTCGTCCCATACAAGAAGACCAGTAGAATAATCCCAAATACGAATCAGATTCTATTAGCAATGGACCCTGAGAAGCATGAGACGATTCGGGTACAGCCAGTCACCAGTTTTCATTTTCAATCGGATCTCACCTGTAAAACAAAATTTGTAATACCGTTAAGTTTAAGTGAAGAAGAAATGATGACACAAAGGTAGATTATATTGCTGAGACATTGGGAGAGGTGATATTTAGTGCAGGCAGAAGGTGGGTGAGACCTAGTCACGCTACAAACTCCTCAAAGTTCTCTAGTCTTTCTCATGGTTTGGTTAAGTTGGTGTTGATTGAAGAACAAACAATGTGAGCAGCTATTTAAGTATACTGAAGGGATTGTGAATTAAAGAAAGTTCAGCTTTTAGACTTACGGGTGAAACTGGAGAATTTGATCTTGATCTTGATCTTGATCTGGACCTGCAGCAAGACAAAAGCAAAAAACCATGTAAGTGTGGCATAACAAAGCAATTTACTGCCCATCTCCCATCTAGTCTCGGGAGCTTAAATGCTGGCCTAGAAAAGAACTCAACACATAATCCAGTATTGTCAAAAAGATAATATATTGAGGAATCATATTCCAAAACTTTTCGATCAGATCCTCCAGCTGATACGCGCTGAGTACCAGACCAGACCAGACCAAACCGAAAAACAGAAGTTCAAGTTCATGCTAATCCAGCTTTGTAAATCCAGTCCAAGAATCCATCTAGATGACCCATCAAGTCCCTAAGATCCAATCCCCAGCTCGCAGCAGTGAGCCAGATCTAGAAAACAAACAAGGCAATACAATTGTAATCACTGTAAATGATCAAGGACAGGCCTCAGAAATCCATCTTTCCCCTTCCGATAGAAATAAATTTTCGAAATATGAAAACATCTAGCGAAGTGTTCTTTAAATTATAAGTCAGATATAGTAGATTGATTAGTAATAAGTTCACCGTCGCTGGACAAAGTTGGGAAGGAAAGCTTCTTTATCTGAAGGAAAACATCCAGAAGAGAACAACACAAACAGAAAGGAAAAGGACAAAAGATAACGGAAGCATCTCTGTCAAGAACTTGAAATGAAAAAGGAACTCTGGAGATCACAAACGAGGAGGTAACTTTCACCTATACTGGAGCTTGTATGACATAGAAAACTTTAACATAGGAAGACAATTCAAGTGGCAATCAACTAGTCCACTAGGCGGGTAAAAAGAGTCAAACAAATTCAACTGAGTGCGGAAGCAACAAAAGGTGCTTAGTTGTAAGAAATTAAGTCAGTGAGGATTCCAATATGCAAGAGCTAGTAATCCATGAAAGAGGAATAACATATGTAATAATTATAAAGATCTAACACCCATACCTTGAGACAGAGCTGTATGGCGAACGAGAACGACTAAGGGACCGTGAACGCGGGGAAACAGATCTAGCAGGTGACACACTGCATTGCATTTTAAGTCAGTTAAACTTTCATAAATAAGTTTGAGCAGTAGAGTCCCATCTATGTATTAGTTTTATGAAAGAAAAAAAACAGACCTCCTGCTCCTGCTACTATAGCTACAGCTTCGACCACGGCTCCGACTCCTGCTTCTATAACTTCTAGAATCATATGGGCTGCGACTCACACTCCTCGACTCATATTCTCTCACCTGAACAGTAAAGTCAGAGATGACTGCGTGCATATCCATCTGATGCTTAACAAAATCATAGAAAGCAATACAACATACCCGTATATAAGCTCTAGAGAAAGCATTTCGGAACTCAGTGTCATCAAGTTTCCTTATCTGTTAAATAAAAAAATTGAAGGGAACATCAAAGATCCAACATTGGCCTCCAGGAAGATAAAATTCAGCTCGGTATACTATGAAACAAAAGCAGACTTAAGGCATACGGCCGGGAACTTTTACGTTGCAAAGATATACAACTTACCGCGTACTTCATATCATCATAGTTGCTATAATCCACAACCCCAGACATGCCTACAAAGAAATGTTAAATGTGAGGTTTTGCAGTTCAGATGCCTAAAAACAACATAAGCACATCAATCATGAATCAGATCTAGTCTCTTTCACAAACATTAAGTTACTAATAAATCTATCATAAGCTTATCCAAACTATCGGAAGTCAACTCACCACCACGATCACGGAAAACTTCAGAGAAGCAGACATCTCCAGCTTTTCGCATGTGATCCTAATCACCCATACATAGCGAAAAACATCAGTTCAGAAGAAAAGATAAATCCAAAACATGATATAGAGAATCAACATCCAGAAAAAAAAAAGACTATACAGTGTCCATTAGACTATTACCTTAAGGTCCTGCCACGAAGCAGAAGGCGGTAATCCGGTCACAAGCACTACATGTTTAGGTAGTAAAAATGAGTTTTCAAATATAAAATTTTTTAGAACAACAAATAACACAATCGAGAAGACTCTACGAACCGCGATAGTCAGAGCGTCTTGAAGGTGCACGGCTCCCACTGTAGCTGCTGCTGTACCTATCAACTGATGATGAACCTCTACGGCCACCATGTGCAATCTCAACCTAAAACATAACACAAAGATAACATCTTCATAAGAAATTAGATTAAAAAAAACAAGTTGGTAAAACATGAATGCGTTTACTAACCCGTAGACGACACCCATCAAAATCATAACCATCACGTCCATAAATTGCATCGTCTGCATCACGAGGATCTTCAAACTGCATCAATAACAAACTCTCTTGGTCATTAGACTATAATATTACAATAATAAAAGAAAAAAAAACAAATATGAACTTAATGAAGAATGATAAATAATATACCTCGACAAAGGCATAACCAGGAGGTCTCGGTGGAATCTTCAAATCAATGTCCACAATTGGACCGTACTGAAATACAGATACATAAGCGCCGATCAAAATTGTAACCTCAGAGCAAATTTCAGCAAGATAGAATTGCAAATTTGTGAACCCAAACAAGATATTATTGCTGAGAGTACACAAGTAGTTCTAATGAATTCAATTTTTATTAAAAGAAAAGAGGAAATTTTGAAACCTTGTAGAAGAGATCTTCAACCTCACGCATGCGAATATCTCCAGGCAAATTCCCAACGTAGATCGTACGATTCCATCGGCTACTCATCTGATACCTCAGAGCAAGACCAAATTTTACCCAGGAAATAAGTTCGAATAGAAGAAATTGATGACTGGAAAAATAAATTTAGAAAACTCACATTCGCAATCGCAGAGAGAAGAGAAGAAGATGTTCGAGAAAGCGTTAGATTGTTCTGGAAAGAAGACAACCACCTTTCGTTCGTTTTCTTTAAAGAAATTAGTTTCCTTTTATAAAACGGAAGTGGATTTAATCCTGTGCGGCCTCGTGTATAAACGATATCCTGAATCTAACTGGTGATGAATAGCCCAATTGATCAAGACCGGCCCATATGTTTTAATGGGCCAGTAAATGGATCGAATGTGTTTTTTCTTTTATTCAAACCGCGAATTATGTTAGTTATTACAATTCTAACCAATTTCGAATTGGTCGAATCGGATTCGGACCATCGGGTCATTCACTGTCCTAGGTTTTTTTAAACACTGTCGTTTTTGGTACAAAAGAGAGACGGACACTAGATCGGAAAACACTTGGGGATTTTTGGAGAGAAACATTCTCTCGGTTCCACTAATACCTTTCAAATCTCAATCGCCGATTAGTATCTCCTCCGTCCAGCCCATTCTCTGCCAGGAATCTTCCGTCACACCGTACCTGGTCTCTCTCAGTCCGTGAGTTACTCCTCTGTTCCGTTTGGTTTCAATAGTCTTGGAATTTCAGTATTTTTCCTATTGAATTTGTCCAATTTTTGGTTTGTTGTGTTATGTTCCGAAAATCTCTGTTATCAATCAACTTCCAATGTTCGCTTGCAGGGAAGACACCATAGTTAGAAGTTGGTGATCATTTTCAATAAAACTTCCAACATGTTCAAGAAGTAAGCATCTTTCTCTCTTTCTAGATTCTTTCTACTCTTTTTTTTATATATCAACTGTTTTTCATACTTCTATCATCCACCACTTACTAGGATTGTAGAATCTAAGAATTTATGTTTTCAACATCTCGGCATTGTTTATACTAGTTGATAAAGAATGTGATAGGTCTCTTTATTTAGTGTCCACTCTACCATAATAACGTTTGAGAACTCACAACCTTCTCTACTTGTTGTCGACCACATTGTTAATTCGATTGCTTAGAATAGTTTTGATATGGGCAGGTTCGTTGTTATATTTTCTTCAAAGTAGATAGTCTTAGTTTCGATTTTGATAGTGTCACTATTTTATTTACCAAATCTTTCAAAGAATTGTGGGTCACAGAGGAAAGTTTGGGTCTAGATTTGACCAGTCTAAACTCTACTATCATGGAGTTTTTGTTTATCCATCTCCTCAAACATGTTTACACATTTCTATTGAGTCTTGTATAAAGTTTATTTCCCTACTGCTATCAAGTTTGAGTGGCTTTTTGTTATAAATAAGAGTTTTCTACTTGGACAGGCCTTTAGATCTATTTGATATACCAGTATGTGTATGAAGGTGTTATTTATGTTCACTATTTATTACCTAGGTTCTGTTTGGAGGAGATTTCATCACAAAACCAAGTGAAGGCATCTGTTCAACGTAGGATCCGCCAGAGTATTCAAGATGAGGTATGCCTGTTGTTTCATTTGTCTTTTTTTACCTTCTTAAACTTTTATGATTTCGTCTAGTTTGTTAGATATTAAGATGTTTATGTAAATGTTGCAGTACCCGGGACTTGAATCAGTGATGGAGGATCTACTTCCCAAAAAGATTCCTCTTATCGTTGTGAAGTGGTCTGTAAAATTACAAACTCATAAATCAGTGTTTTGTTTTCTGAATTTTTTCTTACCACTATCTATTTCTTAAAGTATTTCTGACTATATCTCTCGTACAGCCCAAACCATCTGACCCTAGTTGTTGTCAACAATGTCCCCCTCTTCTTCTGTATCCGTGACGGGCCATACATGCCAACACTGCGGCTTCTTCATCAATGTAATATCACTTTTCCTTCACACCATCCATGCTTTATGGTCTTGTTATCAAAGCATAACATATTCGGGTTAGCTGACCCTTATCATAGTGAGAAGGTTTTGGCATTGGCTGTTACCGGAAGAATATAATGTATTCTTGGAAACACCACTTTCCGCTAATTTTTACATATTTGAATGAAACATAGAAAGAAACTTAGATTTTTATCAGTTAGCAATGTCAAGTTTTGGCAGTTGAATGTTTGGAGTTTTGCAGACCCAAAAATAATGAAGAGGTTTCAAGTTGATAGAGGTGCCATAAAGTTTGTTCTCTCTGGTGCAAACATAATGTGTCCTGGTCTTACATCCCCGGGAGGCGTTCTGGATGAAGAAGTGGACGCTGAAAGGCCAGTGGTATGAACAAAAACACTCTTTCCCTGGAATGCATTTTTGCTTGTTTATACTGATCCTAAACCATGAATCTGTATTTGTTTAGGCCATATATGCAGAAGGAAAGCAACATGCCTTAGCAATAGGCTTCACCAAAATGTCAGCAAAGGACATGTAAGTTAATTTTTACCTTACGTAGGAATAAATTAGGAAATTCAAACATATATAATTTCGTATCTAAGCCAAAGTACAGACACTTGGCTCCAGGCCTCTCTAAGTAATATTTCTGTCACTTTATTGATTTTCCTTCTTCACTGAGATACACATACCTGCACCAGGATCAATTTTGGTTGTGTTTCCCCTGTTTGCTGCTCATAAATCTACCGTCACATCAATAAACTTTTCTTGTGTATGTTCCCAGAAAGAGCATCAACAAAGGAATTGGAGTGGACAACATGCATTACCTCAACGACGGTCTCTGGAAGGTACCAATACTTGTTTCTGGCTTTTCTATTGGTATTATTGCCAACCAGTCTCATCGATGATATTCAATCGATTTTTGGAAGAGCACAAATCAAAAGTTTCTAAAATTTGTGTTGCAGATGGAGCGGCTAGATTGAGGATGATGTCAAATGTCAATGTGAATCAGTGTCGGAGAGAGATAATATGATCTCATTTAATGTTCTCTCTAAACTTATGGAGCTTTTGTCGGGATCAACCTTAGCTTTGATTTGATTTGTTTTCAAACATTTGATACTTATATTATGAGGGAACATCAACCTTAGCTAAGGTTACAGTTTCTAATTCCGTATAATTATGCATGGCTTTACGCCTTTTTGCTTTATACGATCACTTAGCAAGTCCTACGTAATTGTTATCTTTTTCAAATTTTCTCTTGGACCACTTATATGTTTAATTGATTTTCTATTTTCAATCTTTTAACGTTTGGTTTTGTTTACTTCTGTTACGTTGAAGCTTTGAATTTTCCAAATATGAAAAACAACATCAAACAAATAAGATTAATAATCTGTTCAATTTTTTTTGATTATTTCGCTCAGAAATATATTTAGGTTATCCTAATTGAACTTCCTAAACAAATTGCTATAAGCCTATAAAGTATAAACCATTAGGAATAATGTGCCTAATATCGATGTACATATTAGGTGTTAAAGATATAATAGTACTACATACACGTGCTTGCACGATATAACAACGTTGCATTAACCAAATTTTATGCGCCACCTAACATGAGATTAGGTGACACTAGAAATTCGATATGAGCTAAGAATGTCCTCATCTCTTTTTCTCTATTGTCCCATTCAATATTAACTTTCACTTTGGTAAAGCGTGGAAAACTCCCTTTGTCTACTATTTTTGCAAAATGTCATTAAAACAGAATTATTCGTATTTGTACAACTTATGGTGATTCACTACTTATTATGGATAATACTTTGTCGCTGTCATTTTAAATATAATTGACAGAGATGTTTGAACAAAATGATACCTAACGGATATTAATCACTTTTCTAATTCTGTTATCAAATAAATGTCAACAAAAGAAACTATAGTTTACAATAATACGCCATGCGAACCAAATATTTGACAATTCGTAGTCTCTTTTTTTTCTTGTCAGATGACAAGTCTTGGTCTACTCTACATGCATAATAATGTATTACTCAATTACGGTTCTTATTACCAACCCACCAAAATAACATTCTCATCTTACAACACATTCTCATCAGGTAAACAAACACAAACTTTGGCACTCATCTTTAAGTTAGTCCCTCACTTTTGGGGGGTTTAGTTTAGGCCTTACTTCAATCCCATCAATCGTAATCCCACCCTTCAATTGATAACCTTTAACTTCGGTCAGACTCATAACAACCTCCTTGTCGTCATCACCTTCTCGTGATCCTGTCTCGAACTCTCCAAGCTCTATCTCCATCCACCCGTCCTCTCTCAACTCTGGCTCCCTCCGATTACTTCCAACAACCTTGTCCATCGCCATTCTCTGTTCTCGCTGTCCGTAAAACACCCGTTCCATTTGTTGTTTCTTGTTATCCAAGCAACTTAGATAAGTTGACCTTATTTTCTTTTCACCATTTCCCACTTTTATCGAAGTCTCTGCCGGAACTAGGTCTAGTCCATAGGCACGTGACGTCACTTTCATAATCAAATAAGCTCCATAGTTTGTGTTCGGCGATAAAACTCCGGTTTGGATTTTTCCGATGATTTCTAACCAATCCGTCATAATAAGTTCGACTCCTTCCGAAAACCTATAATCCAAATGTTAAAATAAATTACTGCTTACACTGTTACACCAATGATATGATTTTAAATTAATACTGACCTTGAATCTGATCGAGGGCTCCAAGACCAGTAATGTCGCTGGTCGCTCCAAGTTATAGAAAGATCTCTTGTCGACAAAATATACGATATTTTCCCTGAAAGCTTCTCGATCTTGAAAATCTGAAATGAATTTAATATTTCTTGTTTATATACAAGAAACCAAGAATTGATTCACAGAGACATCGATAAAGATCACAAACCTTTCTGCCATTATCGATGAGAATTGATTCACAGAGACATCGATAAATCTCCTTTTTGGAAGAGAAACTCCGGTGAGGATCACTCGATCTAGAGATGACGTGGCAGTAATCGGTCGGTAAAAACTTCTCCCAGACAAAGTCAGAGTCTCCGGCGACTCGGAAAACTGATGAGACAGCCGCCGACGAGAAAGTGTCAGCTGGAGTTGTGAAAGAGAGGATATTCGCCACGCATGCTTCTGGTAACATCATCCTTCTTCACAATTGAAGTAATCTTCTCTCTCTTTCTGTTTTATGAAGTATATGTTTTGTTTTGTTTTGTTTTTTTTTGGAGACGACAAACGTGACCGATGAGCTAGTCACAAATATATAAGCGTCCTAGTAGTTTACTATTTTGGACCGAAGGGCACTGAAAATTAATATCATTGCCTTCTTGGAAGAATGGTTTGTGGTCAAGAAAAAGAGGTTTGTTCTCTGGTGTCAAAATAAAGACATAAAAGTTTGTTCTCTGAAAACATAGTTTGTGTTCTGTATTTGAGGTTTTTGGTTTAGATCATTATGGAAAATATTCACCTTTAGTTTTTTCCAATGAAAAATATATTTCTTTCTTACGGAAAAAGTTCTGACAGATATTATTTGAAATATTCGTTTAGATAATATATAATTTTAGACTTTTGTTTGGCTATGGTCAAGAGATTATCTTAGGCTCGTAGTTTCTACGTGCCAAAGACCAAAGCAGGTTAATTAGTCTCTTCTCTCCGGCAACGAGACTGAATCCTTAGGCTTGAAGCGCATTCTCACTAGTAGAATTATTGAAACTCGGTTGATGATTTTTATGTGTTTTGTCATTTCTTGAGAATTATTTGCATTATGTATCAACATCTTTGGAGATAAGATCATAATAATTTCGGTGACATGAACTCGAGTGCATCTCGACAAACAAGCTCACCGACCTACTATTTTGTAGGACATAATATAATGAACAGGGCCGGTCCAACGTTTTCGGATGCCCTACGCAAATTAAGAAAAACATACCTTTTTTTTCCATTTTTATACAAAATTTTTTTTAACCTATGTTCACTTGTTAAATTTACTTTATCTTTTACATTTATTTAGTAAGGTTAATTGATCCTAAACTATTAAAACTCTTTTGTAAATTAACTCTTCATTTGCTGGAAAAAAATAAAATAAAAACTCTTTATTTTTAATAAAATTCACATATTTATCAAAAATGATTGAAAGAAGCCCACCAAAATATTGATATTTTAAAAAAGAGGTTTATAATATAATTTATATATATAAAATTTTAAGAAAATTGGCCTAAAAAATGTCCCCAAAATTTTGATGCCCTAATCCTTTGCTTCACATGCTTGGCCTATAAGCCGGGCCTGATAATGAAATATATGTAAACAATGAAAACGTGTATATTAGGCTTTACTGAAGAAATTATTTTCGCAAAACTCTAGAAGACAGATAGTGGATTAAATTCAGATAATCTAAATTACAAGGCAAATACAAAAGAAATAAAAAAAAATCACAAAACAACAGAAAAGTGAGATTAATTATGTAGCCATGCATCCAACACCGTATCGAGTGGTCGGAAAAACAAGAAACAAAGCACTGCAAACAATTCCGACCATTAACGGAAAACTCTCCATAACTTGATCCATCTCTTTCTCTTTCCCTGGAAACAAACACCCGGTGACTCTCCGATCCGAAAACGCAATCGCCATAAAAACCAAAACACTCATCACTGCATGCACAAAGTCATTAACCCTCAACTTATACCTCTCATCCGTCACCGGAATCTCCGCCTCCGCAATCACATCTCCCCCTCCAAACTCCGGCGAAGGCGGTTTCATGAACACCGCGAGTCCACGTGGAGTCACGAAACCGTAGTAGATTTTCCCATCGGAGGCTTTGAAACTGTCGGTGAAGTGGAAGAAGAAACAAGACATTGCGCAAAGAAGCAAGAGAAGATGAATCATGAGTGTGTTGATTCCGTTACAGACTCCGTCACGGTAGATTGACGGAAGAACCATTTCGAACATCAAGAGAGTTCCTGTCGGAAGGAAATTGACGAGCATTGATGTCTTCGAAACCGTTTTTTGAACTCCTTTCGCCACCATGCGACGTTTTCGACCTTTTCCTCCTCCTGCGGCGGCTCCTGCCGGAAGTGTAGGCAGTGAAGAGAGTGGGACAGGTTTTGGCGACATAGACGGTGGTGGTGATGGTTTCTGCGGCGGAGTCGCCGTGTAAACTCTGATTCCGACGCTTTCCTCTGTTTTCTCCATTGTGTGTTTCTGTTTTTTTTTTTTTTTTTTTTTTTTGTGATTCAACAGTTTTCGTTTGTTTTGTGAAATGAGGAAGAGTGTTTGGGATTTTTATTCGAAGCTATCTTTTGTACGACGGTTTTTCAATTTTTTTGTTTCCATAACTGCTACTACTGCGGTAGACTCAAATGGTGTCCACGAAAATATTTCAGTCTGTAAACCGAAATAAATAGAAACCCTGATTTTCTTTTCTGCTGGGTAACCGGTGACGTCTGAACCAACGTAAACCGGCCATATCGAACCAGGTAAACCATACAACCACAAACACAAAGATTCTAGATTCAGAAGAAGAAAAAAAGATTCTAGATTCAAGACCGCATCTTAAAGCATAGACCAAACGAAACAGTAGTAATCACAAAACCAAGAGTTCACGGTCACATTGGCTCATTTCGCATAACCAGAGGAAAGATATAAACCGAAACAAACTTCAATGAATGGGTGCAATACTGCAATAGGATTCACAATAACCAAAAATATGAATTCTACTTACAACTTAGAAACTCTTGTTAGTATATCAGCAATTTCGCAAACAAAAACACATCTACGAAGGTAAATGGTCAGCATAAAGCCAAGAATGCAATCCAGGGAAATCTTAAACAATGGATAAGAATTGGATCTATTGTCTCTCTCTCTCTCTCTCTACAAACATTTGCATACACTTCTACTATTACCACTACTTTCCAATCATTTCCTGGGAAAAGAACACAAAACCAAGAGAGCACACCAGAAGAAGGTAGATAAGAAAACGAGAAACATACGAATTTCTTACCGGATATTCTGTTTTTTTTTCCTGCAGACAAGTGGCTTCAAGTAGTCACTGAAACTTTGCTTGGTCTTTTTCCTTCCATGGCGTCTTTCTTTTTCTTGCATATTGTGCACAGAAAGGGACCTTCCCATCGTTTAGATGCTGAGGAAATGATGGAACCCCCATTGCTTGATAAATCTTCACCCGGAAATTCATCTGTTTGGCATACAGCACATTTTAAGAGCCCAGTCTCCGTATGTGAGGGAGGATCCTTTCCCAATCTACATTTCAAAACAAGAGTCAACAAAGACTGATAGTCAGGATCTAAAGTTTCCGTTACTTAACGGGTAATGGGTTGGATAAGAGTTTGGCAATATTGATTCTTACCTATCTGCAAGTACAGCAGAACCTTCTTCAAACAATTCTTCTACAACTCCCACAGCAGAAAGCTTGTTGCCATTTTTGTTGTTGGTATCCGTATGGTTTTTCCTAGAAAGAAATGAGGTGAATACGTTCTGCTTCTTCATGGGTGCTGGAGCCAAGGAAAGATGACCAGATGGAACTATGTCAACAACTACACAAGTCGTATCATCCTTCAACCCTTTAGTTCTCAATGCTTCCTGGTAAAACATATGATTCAGAGAATAAGAGGAACCTAGACCGGAGGAAGAACACAATTAAATCAACGGGGTTGATCACCAACCTTAACAACAAGTTTAGCAGCAAGCTCGGAAGATAAACCACGACAAGCTTTGGCAGCCATATCAGAAGACAGTATATCCCATATACCATCTGAAGCTATGATGAGTCTCCCTCCAGCATCTGGAAGCTGAATGTACAGATAAAATTTTCCTTCTTGTTGAATGTCTAATATAAGAATTGATGAAAAATGCACCAAGGCAAGGGAGCTTACTTTCACTTGCTTAACGTGTGGTATAGGGACAATAAATTCTCCCACATCCGTATCACCAATGGACCTCGAAAGACACAAACCACCGGGCCAGCATCGTAGTGGGCCGACCTATTGCATTGTCCACATGAAAGCACATTATATCATCAAAAATCCAAGACTTATCACAAATTTCAAACCCACTACAGCCAAAACACAATGAAGCAGTAACTGGACATGATCATACCTCATTGCCACCAAATACATTGAGCCTTCCAACCTCACCTCCACTGGCAGTTATGCGTTCTCTCTCTTCAACATTCTCTTCTAGCCTGTGATCAACAGTCAGTAGAGAAACCACACCACCTTGGGTGTCTAATATGCAGCGTGAGTCACCAACAGAAGCAACAGTGATAGTCCAACCATCAATTATAACAAAAGTCACGGTTGTTCCTGAAGTTTCCCCTGTAAGCACAACAGATCTTAACGGTTAGAACATGCTTGAATATGAAAGCAAAGGCCTTTAAAAAACGAGCATAAGGGTAGACCTTTCTGCTGAAATTCAATGTCAGTTTTGACAAAGCCTGCAACTAAAGCCCTAGGAAGAGCTTGAAGCCACTCTTCCCTGCTTGCGCCTTGAGGAATTGCACTCACCACGTTGTCGAGAAGATGTTCCTTAGTATATATGGCAGCTGAATTACCATTGTGTCCATCAAATATCTGAAGACAAAACAAAAAAGGGTAAGCTCATGGGAGTTTTGAGTTAAGAGAACGCTATGCTTCTACACTACACAGGGGTTCCTTAAAGGGAAGAATGGCTCAACAGAGTGAAATACCCCGAAAACTGAAAAAGCTGATGATGGATCACCAGGTACCCTCTCACAGTCAGTTTTGATCAAAAAGTAGTCCTCTCCTTTCTTAGCGAGAGCAGCTTGACCATACTTGACAAAAGGCTTCTCTACTTTCTCGCTCCTCAGCTCCCTACCGATCAGGGTTGCAAGAGGAACAAGCGAATGATTCGTCCTCGATGCTTTTGACACGCTCATTTTAGTCTAGCCTTCAGCATTGGCTGGAGCAAAATCTTGTTCATCGCAGAAAAAAATTATTTAGTTGGTGCAATCATTTAGTATACAATTCTAATCAATGAAATTAAGGAACAACTTAGTACAAATTCCGATTCTCATCCAAAAAAAATGAATTGGTTTCAACGGAATTATTCTCATAGATAAACTCTTTTTGGTAAATGGAACCAAACAAAAAGAAAATCTAGAGAAAATGCAGAGGAAAACCCTAATCTACAGAATTCTAGAATCTCCAACATTTGCCTATCTTTGGAGATGCAGGAAAATGTATCGAAAGTAGAATCGAGCAAAAGCAACAGAAAAATCAGTAAAGTAACACTAATTGAGGCTTCTTCACCATTCAAAAGACATGAAACTCACCAAAATGAAATCGCGAGTAGCATACACAACAGATCTAGCAGAGAAGATGACTCGTAGATAATGCTAAGAACCTCGCTGCTTCTCCGGTGAGAATTTCCGAGCCGTCGTAGGTAATCGAACGGAAGTCTGAAACCGCGTGAGAGGTTTTAGAAAGAAGAAGAGAAAGGAAGTTGCAGAGTGAGTTTTGTGGATTTTCTCAGATTGGGAAGAAAAAGCGACGCGGGGGTTAGAGACAGCTAATTTTTATTAGGAAAAATGATGAACTTTAGAAATTACGGAATTACCCCAAAAAAGTCCCGCTTTAGGTAAGTGTATATTTTTAAGTTTAATTATAGAAATAGTATTCTTTTTGGAAATGATTCGTGAAATCTTTTTTAAAAGCATTAACCATTAAGGCATTTTTGTAATAAAAGAAAAAAAAATTCCTTAAATATATAAGGTTATTTTACGGTAGGGAGAAAAAATAAGTTGATTAACTCTGACTAATAGTGAAAATAATACCATATACGTAGTAATAATTAATAAAATTGGCTGTTTTTGTAAAATCTTGTGATATTGGACACAGTATTCAATATTTGTTTGACTAATTTACTTGTAGCAGTTTTACATCACCATCCATCTAGTCAAACTGCCATTGAAAAATTAATTCGGTTCTTATCAACTAGCTTAACAAATATCAAATTTGCTACCTTGACAAATCATTTGTTAAAAAGTATATATAAATCGAGATTATGGAAAGTAAAACAGAAAATGCAATTCTCTTGTGATGAAAGTGGCAGTGAATGAGAAAATACATTAGCTTCGACAAGTACTGAAGTAGTAGTATACAAATATACAATACTGGCCACATAGAAAGAATTGAATATTCATTCTAGTAAATGCCACCCAAATCAAACGAAACATAATCAACCTATAGGCTATAGTATAGTACAATCTATCACTCTCATACGTATTCTACTCTTCGTATACGGCGTCTGTATATATATGACCTCATAATATGAATATGGGTCCGCCAAAAAATATTTGGTATTGTACAAAAACTCACAAAATGTTTTCATCATTACTTGGGATTTTGTCTCTTCTTCACAACTACTGTACTGTTGTTATGCCTTGAGGAAGTTTGTCCTGGTGTGCTAATTGCCCCAAGCGATAATCTCCTCGTAGGCGTGGGGATTAAAGAAGGTATCATACTCCTGATCATCAACATTCCATTAGCAAAAACATTAAAATAAAAAATCCAATAAATTGAAATTAAATATATAAAAAATAACTCACCTGGTCTCAGCAGCAACTCTATTTTTTGATTGATTCTTCTTTAGCTTAGTTGAAGAACCATTAGAAGCTGGTCTAGGCATATTCACTTGAACATTCAACTGCCACATCAAGTTAGTCTCCGAGCAATCACTTGTTGCGGTTTCATCTGACTCATTTGCTTCTTCTTCGTATGGAATCTTACTTACCTCTAATCCTTTATCTACATTATTACTGCACTTATTATGGTCTACACCTCGCGCTGGCTCACGTTTCAAGCTAGACGATCGCTTGTCAAGCTGTGTATGTGATCTGTTTTCAGGTTTGCTACTACGTGTGATTTCGTCCTCGTGTTTATCAACCCATTCGCTTCCTGGTATAAATTCTATTTCCTCCTCTTTGTCATCTATCGACGGGCTTTTCCATGACGGTGAACCCACTAGTCCTTGTAAGTCAAGGCTAGATGCAGAGTCACTTTGACCCTGCAAGTAATTTCACTGTACATTATGAAGTAATCACTGCAAAACGTATCTACAAGTTTATTTTGTGTGATTGGTGCATGAGTTTTCTTGTCCCCTTTACCTCAATGTTGTTGACATCATCAATCTGTGATGATGGCTTATGTTTGGTTTTGAGTTGCCTTGTGTTTGCTGATTTTGAGAATGAAGACGACACGCCGAGTGACTTTTTTCTGAGAAGTTTGTCAGGCGTAAGGGGTCTTGGGAGCAGTGTTTGATCTGCCCCGCTCTCCTTTCTCGCTAGCGCAAGTTTCAAACTAGCAATCTGAAAGCAAATAACAAAGGTAACTGATGTTGATAATGTATTTTGAGAGAATATATTGTAAAATAATGTGAAGACAAGTATGGGAGATAATGACCTGTTCTTTGAGTTCTTTAACCTCAGAAGTGTCTTTGTTGACACGAGCAGCACCGAGTTCAACAGTGGCCACCCTCTCTGCAAATTTCAAGGTGCTGAGTGTTTCTCCCAAATCTTCTAGTTCGGGGCTAATGTGAATAAACATGAGCGTTTTCGCTTGTCCTCCTACATAGACACACATACATTGTTTTAACACAAAATCATATGATTTAACTTGTAAGTAAAGAATTAAATGGAATATTGAAACGTAGAACTATATGTTATACTTCAAATGGAAACCATTTTAACAATTGGATGTTGGAGTTGCATAAATGTTATGCGTGACTAGATTCAGATTGAACTTTTAGTCTAGCACTTGAGTATTGCTGGTTACCTAAAGCGTCTTGGAGCAGTTGAGTAAGTTTACTATTGCGATAAGGAATGTGGTTGTTTTTCTGAGAGAGAGATGCAATCACGTCTCCTAGAGCAGAGAGAGACTTGTTGATGTGTTGTGCCTCTTTTAACCTATCACCAGTGACCTCAGACTTGTCGATCCTTTCGCTTCCCGCAAGATCAACCAAATGCATTGAACCCCTTAGAGTGACTCCTGATGTTAGGTCTTTTCCTTGGACATGTACAGTGAGACAGCTGCAAGTATAAAGATTAAAACATGTAAGTGACTATTATAACATGAACTGAGGAAGAGTGAGTACTTGTTCTTATAAGTGACCATAATATTCTCTCTTATGCTCTATGTTTCTCATTTCTCTTTTAATTTTCAATATACCAAATTTCTTCAAGTCCAAATTCTTTTCTATTTCACACAATGACACTAAAAGTATGCTTATACAAACATGAAAAAGGAAAACCTGTGAGAGCGGCTGCTGCGGTCATTCATGGCTGTGGCGCTGACCGCACGGTTCTTTTGACCAATATTCATCAAATAAATGACATCGGAAGTTGTGGAGACTGGAACCAATGTAGCCTCTGGCACGTTGATTCCATCTTGTGAACTGTTTCGAATCTCTAATGTGTTCACAAGTCAAGGAAAGTAGGTACAATGATCATATGAAAGAAGCATTAGGAATCACTAAAGAGACACAAGTCTTAAAAAAGGATATCTGCTGGTTTGGCCATTAGTGGCAAGGAGATCTCGAACTTGCTCGTTGTAAATTTCTAGCATTTGAACTGAAATGTTATACGAAAAGGTTTCTTTTCTCACACTTGACAAATGAAAGAGATCACTCAATGCTCTGTAGTTTACTCCTAAGCTCTCGTCCGTGAGCTCATTAGGTCCCATCTGATTTCAAATGAGGATAGTTCAGAGTGTTTTCGTTTGAAAATATGCATACACAAAGTCAATATTCCACAATAAGCTGAAGTCTTCGAGAAAAGTACCATGGTGAAAGTTTTTCCGGATCCTGTTTGGCCGTATGCAAATATACATACATTATAACCATCAAGAACAGACCGGATCAGAGGTTGAGTGTCTGCAAACACCGCCTCTACATATTGAAAGTTAAAAATTTCTGTGAGAGCTGACATAAAATAAATCTAAAAGCCAAAAGTTTTCAAGTGAAGAGCATATAGATGCATCTTGATCATGATGTCTATACAAAATTTAGATGCATTTTCAAGTTGACGTCTTGATGAATTTACATGAACAATTTAGATGCATTGTAAAACTGAAAGCAGGATAAGATAAATTTCAGGAATCAAATCACCTTGTGATGCTGAAGGGCCAAACACTTTGTTGAAGGTGAATGATTTTTGACCTTCTTTTCCATACTTTGAAGGGGTTGCAATTGTTATGGTTGACTCCTCCAAGTGATCCACAGTAGTTAAGACACTTTTTTGTCCAGGTAAGAATGGCCTCACTCGACAATAAACTCGTATGCTCCCTGTTATACATTCGTTAGACTTGATATTGCAAATCTTAGTAACTAAAACTATTTATACAACATGCAAATCCAAGCTTGGTAGTGGTAGCATTATGTATTGTTTTATCAACACTATATTTTACCTTTGAGGTCTTGGACTTGATTATAAAGTTTCCGGTTTTCTTCAAGAACCCTTTGGTATCCTGTAGCTGCATAAGCAAGTCCATGCAAATGCTCGCCTAACCCAAGAAGAATGATCTTACAGTTAATCTCTTTGAGACAGTGATTGCAATCAAAATTATATTAAAACGGAATATATAACCATCTCTAGGTACATGAGATTTTTTATCCACAAGGTCCAAATTATGTTGCAGGGTAAAATCTCACCTAAGCTTGTAAACTCTTGCTGGTATTTCATCTGCAAGAGACTGAGACCTGTTTTTACAGCCTTTAGATCATGTTTCAGTTCCTGTCAACACATATACACTCTGTCTTGATAATCACCAAATAAAAATTCTTAATAGAAACATGATGCCATATATAACTATTTACATTCAACTGAACTATACCTCAGTATGAGTTTGTTGTCTGTCGATTATCATTTGTTGTTTCTCGGTCTTCTCTTTTGAAATTACATAGAGCTCACAATCTTGGCTTTTCGATTCTTCAACGTTATTATCTTGTGAAGCTTCCATGTTGTTGTTTACAATCTTTGACACATTTTCTTCTCCGTCCTGAAAAATATGTAAACCAGTTTGCCATATAATACATTGATGGATAAACAGATCCATGAAGAGTAATATGCTTATATGGATAGCAAGACCACCAAGTTCATGGTTGGCTTACCGAAGCATCACTTAGCGTCTCTTCATTGCCTGAAATAGTTCTCCCAAGATCGTCACAACCAAGCTTATCTTTGTTTCCCGCGCTCATATGGATCTAAATAATTGCATTGCATATTCAAGATGATAATCCAAGAGACATGAGATCAAGATCATAAGTCCATATAGATCTTAAGGGCGAATAACTAAAGTTACTTACCAATTCGTTTTGTGTTGCTAATCTACGTTCATATTCTACCATGACACTTTTCAGCATATCTTCCACAATCTGGAAATAAACAAGAAAATCACAAAGTGTTATTCTAAATCCGGCATTTCAAAATAATATTGATCATTTGGTAAGTTTGCAGCTGATGAAGTGAAAGAATAATAGGAAGGTAGTTAGTGCTTACTCCGGGAATTTCTTCTTGCTTCATATCAGAAAAAACCGCGCGGACAATGGCATCTATTGAATTGGCAGTTCCCTAAAAAAACTGAAAATGTAAGTTGAGATTTTTAACTTTAATCAATACTAGGGATTATATATTAGGCATTGGTATAGGTCACTAACTTCATGTTTGGTATTAGAATCACATTGATCAAACAAAGGTTGTTCACTGGATTGAGTGCTAAAAGGGCTACTTGTGACCGCATCCACATGTGCTTCTGAGTCTTTACGTTTGTATTGTTTTGCGATTCCAAACGTGGTTGGTTTCGAGTTCAAAATGTATCTCCATGTACCGCTTCCTCCGCTCTGTTTCCACTCACGATATGACTTGAGAGCCAAAAGACACTCCACAATTCTTGCGGATTTACCTCCCTGGGAACACATCAAACACAAAACAGAATGTTAATTCATTTCCACATTATCAAAATGTAGATTGGTACAGCGAGTTATTCTAATTGCTAAAGTAATAATCTAGGTAGCCCATCCGGCAAGGTAGTTCAAGCTGCCTTGAGCCCTTGAATAACTATGATGACAATTGATTCGAACCTATCCTATGCTAGCATCAATCCTACTGTTCCTTGGTGACATGTTTCATCTATTAAGCCTAAATCGTCAGATATAATTTGTTACATTACCTTCTCAAAATCGGAGACTTCAAACGTTGGAATACCCATTTCCTCCACAACCACAAGAAAATTTCGAAGATTCTCAAAGTACTGAAACGCAGATAGAGCTGCACCGTCTTGATTAACAAGAGGGTCATTTGGAGCTTCAACAACCTGAATCAAGGCTGAAATAATCAGAACAAACGGTCCTAATTACACACAAAAATATCGGCAACAAAATAGTTAATTCCTGAAACTCTTTAAAACAAAATATTATACACAAAATGGTACTAATCATGCTTGCACAACTTTATACAAGCAGGCCTTAACGTTTCAAAAGTGTAGCTTAAATATTTAATCCTTGACAATATTCTGTAATAAAGTAATTAGGTGAGAGACATTACTTTTGGTACAGCACCAGGTTTAACTCTGTTGAGGACATTGCAAAGCAAAATTCCACTTCTTAATGCAATTCTGAAATCATCCTCTGAAGGATCAGCTGGCAAATCTCTTCCTCCAACTACACCAAGTGTGTTTCTTACCCACCTTGCTGCTTCATACCTTCTCAAGTCTGAAGGATCTACTGGCAAATCCCTTCCTCCAACTACACAAATTGTGATTTCGTTTTCTCATAATCGATGTCTATTAATCAAGTGAATATAAAATGTACAAGCCGGAAGTGAAGAACATCTAGACAATAAAGCTTTCTCACAATTGATGATTAAGCATCATGATGATCCAAGAAAAAAAAAATGAAGATCGTAGCAACAAAATTGCAGAAAATCATTGGTCAAGCGAGAAGCTCATGCGGTATATGGATTCAAAGAATGCGATGGATCATCCTACGATTTATATAATCCATCTTATATTCCCTGATTCGATTGTCAATTACAAACCCTAATCTCTAAAATCCACATTCAGAAACTTCCTATTCAAAAGTGGACCAAAGAAGAGAAATGGAAAAAGAAAGAACAGAGGAATTGACGAACGTACAAGTTTCATCGGCCTTTTTCGAGCTCGAATCCGCACCAACGCGAATGTTTCGCTGTTTAAGAAAATCCTCCAGGATCGATGCCAAAGAGAGTTGCGAATCTTGTTGCTCCGTCGCCATTGACAAGAAACGATTCAATGCTTTTAGCTTGATCAACAAGATACCTCGAGATTTTCAAATTCAACTCCCAAATCTCGCCGCTAGAATCTCACAACCTAAATTTTGAATTCTTAGCTTGAAACAGATTTTTCCAAAATAGAACAAAGAAGGGAAATCAAAGCTGTGTAGATACAAGAATATTCACTTATATGTGGAACATTGCTCTGATTTATAAGGAAGAGAAAAGAAAGTGAAAGAAATCGATAGAAAAAAAAAATTGTTTGACCCTCTCTCTCTTTTTTTTTTTGTATGAAATTAAAACAAGAGAAAAGAAAACGAAGAAGAAGAGCGAGGCATGATCCAGATTCCAGACTCCAGAGGCCCCCGAGTCTCCTGGGTTTCTTCTTTAGATGGACAATTTCAATATTAATAATAAACCATTTTTCAATTTTTTGTTTATTATTCTTAATTGATCCGTTTTAATATCTACGAACATATCTAGCTATGGAGTTTATAACCCGTATATATAGTTTCAACCATCCACTAGGTTCTATAATGGTTATAACTAAATTAGTACTATATATGTTTTAACAAAATTCGAATTGATCTAATTATACGGAATTTGTATCCGAATGATTTTTACTAATATCATTGTCTTATTAAAATCTATGTTTAATTAGAAATATGCATGTGTTAGCTTTACATACCAATAAAAATGTGCAATTTTCTATAGCTTGACTTAACTTCCTACCACTATAATAATCAACATCAATATTATGCAGAGCTATTTTCCCTTGTAATAAATTAGAAAGTGGAAAATAAATTCTGGGGATCCCTAAATTCTATGAAGAAATAAAGGCTTATTATGATGAAACTCATTTGGTTGGACAACTACCTTGTTTATAGAACTAATTTTTCTTGCGTATAGAGGTGTTTTAAAAGCCAATATAAACATGATATCATGACTAGATGGTTTTATAACCAGCTGAATAAAGGTCGGCATGAAAATTTATTTTTAGTTTTTCTTCAATATATATAATTCGGTCAACAAGAAATAAGATATATATTTAGAAATATAAACGAAAAGAATTTTTGCTATGATGATTGTAACCACATCTTTTGAAAGTGACCCTTTTGATTATCCAATTCATTGAAAATTATATGTTTCAATTTCCTGTAGACTTTTTTCAATATTATTCTTTTTTTCTCTTTGTGATACATTTATTGAACATGATACCAACTCATTCAAAAATGAGTGAATATATAATATTTTAATGTTGTTAGTATATATATACACATAAGATATTGGAAAAAACAGACACGTATTGCCACGAAGTTTTTTTTTTTTTTTGTCAAACGTATTGCCACGAAGTTATATGTTGCTATCGTATAATTTCTTGGAAACTTAGGATTAATTAGTTTAGCACATGTTGGGAACCTGATGTAGATTATTGTAAAGTGATATGTGATGCGTTTTGCGGGTCGTGAACGGAATGAGAGGAAGATGGACATTGACACATTGTAATAGGTTAGTTTACACACTTAGTTAACGCATGATTATGCCTGAAAAATGAAATTCAATGGAAAGTAACTAGACTCATACAGAAACTAAACGAAATGAAACCAATAATAGAGATCGTAATAGGCTAGTTTTGATACTTAGTCAATGTTTGTGTTTGTATTGATAGTGTCTAAAACAATTGTACGTGATCACTACATGATGTGTAAAAATTGAACCAAACAAAAAATACATAAAAAGATAGTTTTAGCCAGGCCATATCCAAAATCTTTTTTCCTCATGGGACCTATGAGCCGGGCAAAAATGTTGGGCCTTTTCATACCAGAAAAAGTTAGTTGGAGGCCTTTCCTTAGAAATTTTAAAAAGTTGAGGCTTCGACACCTTACTAAACTAAACGAAAATATTTCGCTAAAATTGCTCTATAGTAGTGGCATCCATTTATTTTTTTCTCAAGAAAATGAGATTGATTTTAGACGTTGACCCGATTATATCCGTATAAATTATAAATAGAGACCTATAAGGAGCAGTACACAAAAAGGCGCATTTTTTCCTTTTTGTTTAGAGTGGTTAAAAAACATAAAAGATTGGTATGGAGATACACAAATTCATGAAACCAATGGCTCACGTATTACTATTATTACTAGCAATTCATGCGCATATCCAAGCCGTTGTTTCAATCACAAACACTTCTGTCTCAACCATCCATCTGAAACCTAATTCCATCTCACGAACTAAAAACCCCTTTTGGCGGCGGGAGCTTCGAAGCAGCGGTGGTAGCGGCGGAGGAGGTCGTGGGGGTGGAGGTGGCAGCAGTGGTCGAGGCGGAAACAGCGGTAAAGGCGGCAGTAGAGATGGAGGAGGTAGCGGTGGCGCTGGGAATGGAGGATCTTCTAATAGTGGCGGCCATTATAATGGCGGTGGTAGTAGCAATGGTGGCCATTCTGTAGGAAGCGGCGGTGACTGCTTGAAACACCGTGGTCTCACCGGTTCTACATTATTTCTCGTCTTTGTAACCTCTTTGATTCTTTACACGTTGAAACAGTAATTACATTTTATTTTATTTTTGTTTCATAATTAAATATTGTATATACACTTTGATAATGTCTGATGACCAAAAAAAAAAAATTCGTATGTGTTTGAATTTTTTTTTTCTTTTTGTCGTCCGTATGTGTTTGAATTAAATGTGGCTACCTTAACCTCGTCGGCTCATAAATAACTTGAGGAGGAAATAAACCCTCGTGGCCATTAAGTTTTTGCCACGTGGTATTAAGTTATTGGTTCTCTTAACCCACAATTTCTTTAAAAGTCCAACAACACTAACGTAATAAAAACATCGCAACCGCAAGTTCTTGGATCGGACGGTTCATATTGATCGAATGACGTCAACGACAATGAGGACTACCAATCACAAGATTCCACATCAATTCACTAGCTCCCCATCACCCACGTGTTTTTTTCTTTCCTTTTTTGGTATATATATATATGATAATGTTACGACATAGTTATATACCTCCATCAACGAAACTAAACTTCGATTTTGGTTCTTCATCTCTCCCGATTCTGTTCAGGTGGTGTCTATTGTGTGTGGATTCTAATAAAATCTGAGGAAGACGACGTCATGTTTTTGTTCGATTGGTTCTATGGAATATTGGCCTCGTTAGGGTTGTGGCAGAAAGAAGCGAAGATCTTGTTTCTAGGCCTCGACAATTCCGGAAAAACTACTTTACTTCACATGCTCAAAGACGAGGTCAGCTTTTTTACTTGTACGTACGCTCTCTCTTCTACTGATATAGATATGTATTAATCTCGAATTTGGTGTTGCAGAGATTAGTTCAGCACCAGCCAACACAGCATCCCACTTCTGAGGAACTTAGCATTGGCAAAATCAAGTTCAAGGCCTTTGATTTGGGTGGCCATCAGATTGCTCGTCGGGTTTGGAAAGACTACTATGCCAAGGTTTACATCATAATTCTAACTAGATTATATGTTTTGTACAAATTGCAAAGAAAAAAGTGATAATCTCTTTGTTGATAGATATGGTGGAAATAGTTCACAATATTGATTTGCACATGTGTACATGTTTGCTGATAGAAGAAACTCCTTTCTGTGTGTGTGTGTGTAAAGGTTGATGCTGTTGTCTACCTAGTGGATGCTTACGACAGGGAGAGATTTGTGGAGTCGAAAAGAGAACTAGACGCTCTTTTAACAGATGAAGCCTTAGCAAATGTTCCCTGTCTTATTCTTGGGAACAAGATTGATATTCCTTATGCATCCTCAGAAGATGAGCTCAGGTATCACTTGGGTCTCACCAATTTCACTACCGGTAAAGGCAATGTCAGTCTTGAAGACTCTGGTGTTCGTCCCCTTGAGGTCTTCATGTGCAGCATCGTCCGCAAAATGGGTTATGGTGAAGGGTTCAAATGGCTATCTCAGTATATCAAGTAGACAGCATTGGTGATTGCTTCACGGTTTATAAATGAGACATCTCCAATTTTTCTATTTGAAAAGACATAAACTCTCTCTATTCTAGTTTTCTCTAAGTTTTAATAGTAGTAAGTCGACTTCAAACTTGTTGTGCATTATACTATTGGAGTAGTTGTGTTTCTTTGTTGAATCAAACCGAACAAAATGGATTCTGTTCTAATCATTTCATTAGAAATTAATCAAACATCCATCTTCAGCGCCAGAAAGATAAAAATGTGCTAACAAATGATCTTGATTACCGTTTTTAGCAACAAGCCTGGCCTCTATTCACAAAACCAGCTACTTCTCAGACTGGAACATCGCAAATGGTGCTTTGGCCAGTAGTCTTTCTAAGGCGATTCTTTTTCATCAACGTTCGTACCTTCTCCACATCTTGCCATCTCCCTTCCTCTGCATACAAATTAGATAACAACACATAATTCCCCGAATTCCCTGGCTCAATCTTCACTAACTCCATTGCTGCAACTTCTGCTAGCTTTACATCTCCGTGGCTGCGACAAGCACTGAGTAACGACCCCCACATTGCCGCATTTGCGTTGACGGGCATATTTCTGAGAAACTCAAACGCCTCTCTGATTCGCCCACTCCTACTCATTAGATCTACCATCGCCCCGTAATGCTCGGTTCTCGGCTCAAGTTTGAATCTTTCCATCATCAAAGCAAACAATTCCTCTCCTCTTTCCACCTGACCTGTGTATGAGCAACATGCCAAAACCCCCAAAAATGTCGCTTCATTTGGAGCTACTTTCCCTTCCTCGATCATAGCATCAAACAAGTCTATCCCGGATTCTCCCTTTCCGTTCACGGCTGATCCCGATATCATTGTGTTCCATGAAACAACGTTTCTCCGCTGCATTTGTCTAAATATAGCCGTTGCTCCCTCTAAGTCGCCGCTTTTGCAGTAAAAATCTATTAAAGCGTTTCCCACGGTGATGAAATCTTTAATCAAACCACTGGATTCTGCGGTAGAATGAATCCATTTTCCGGTATCCAAAACTCCGAGAGATGCAGAGATTGGCAACATTGTAACCACAGTAGCCTCGTCTGGATCGAAACCTTGGTCAATCATTTCGCAGAAAAGCTCCAAAGCCTCACGATCTCTACCACATTTAGACAAGCTAGATATCATCGAATTCCACGACACAATGCTTCTTTCTCTCATCTGTTTGAACAAACTAAGACCTCTTTCAACGTCTCCAGAATCACAGAACCCGCGAACCATAAGATTCCAGACGACCACGTTTCTTTCAGGCATTTCGTCGAACACTTTCTGCGCATCGCCCATTCTCCCACCGGAAGCATAAAGCTCCACCACCCCAATCCGTATTTTCCCAAGCCGGTGGAACCCAGTTCTAATAACCTCACCATGAACACATTCCCAAACCGCAAATCAGAAAGAGACGAACAGGATTTGAGCAAAGGCGCGTAAGTATACTCGTCAGCCCAAATTCCACGGCTTTTCATGGAAGAGAAGAAAGATAAAGATTCTAGAGGCGGACCGACAAGAGAATAGCATTTGATGATGGCGTTGAAGACGAGAACGTTAGGGTTTTGGATATGAGAGAAGACGCGGGAGGCGTAATCGGAGTAGCTGAGGGATCCGCAGATGGAGATGAAGTGGGCAAGAAGGAGATTGGAACCATGAAGGAAGTGACGGAGAAGATGGGCATGGATTTCGGGTAAACGGGTTCGGGTATTGTGGCCGTGGAGAAGACGCAGCAGCTTACGCTCGACTTCCATTAAACCTCCTCTACTCCTCTCTACCGCTCTAGCTCAATTATAGTTTGCTTTGCGCCAATTTCAAACGCTATTGGTTTAACTACCGGTTAAGTATCGGTTTAATTCAACATTTGCTTACTGGTTAATTGCCGTTTAGCTACCCTCGACCATCTCGATTTGCTTTTGTTCAAGTAAGTTGCTTATTGTATCCACTTCTTCTTATCTTGGGGTGTTTGTATTTTGTACTAGGATTCAAAATTTGGTATCTTAAATTTTTATGATATACCAAACTTGTTTTTATTGTAAATATTAGTTTCAGTATTCATTAAGAAACCCCCAAAATTCTGAAAATTTGAAATCTCAACGTTTTCAGATATTAAAACTTGTCATTGGTTGCTTCTTCACAATGGTAGTAGCATTTATCAGATGAGAATCAAGGGCTTCAACCGCCCCAGCTTCATTCACTTGGTCCTGCAGCCATGTGTAGACGTCGTTGATTCGCAGGCAACCATTTCATCATCTGCTTGAAAACCAAATGCACATCCAGTGGGAAAAGATAACATGGAGTCAAATTCAGGGAAACACAACTAAGAAGTGAGAGCGGAAAACTTGTGGTAAGAGGTTTTGTTGACCCAAATAGTTAGACAATGACAAAATGTATTGATACAACAAGTCCGTCAGGGTTGGCTAGGATGCTTAATTACCTCTTTTCATTAGACCAATTCATTCTGCGTGCAATCATAGTTTTACCATCAGTTCCTGGTTTAAAACTGCAAAATCATGAATAGCTAAAAATCACCTGACGTTTTCGACTTCACATATTGGACAACGAAAAACTCCAGGAAATAAACCAACAACTCTCTGTACCAAATGATGTAGAGGTTTAGTTCTACAGTGACAGGGGAAATGGTTTATGATGGATTGATGGTTATTATGTGTTAGATAGCATGCTTTTTGATCTTTGATGCAGAGAAAGTTTCTCATACCTGTGAGAGCTACCTCAGGTTTGTCATACCGATGATTCATTGAGCTTAGATACCGTCTGATGATTTTCAGGAAGGAAAAACAATCACCATTTCCTTTTTGTATAGCTGCTGAGTTCAAAGCAAACAGATACGAGAAAGTTACATATGGAAACTTTGGATACATAAGCTGTTGAGGTAATGTTTCCACTGTTGTCTCTGTTACTGTTTCTAATCAATCATACATATTTGCTGATAGGTGACAGTTCATTGAATGAAATTCAAACATTTGAAAATCAAAGAGAAACTGATCGAATTATTGGGTAATGAAAGTTTACCCTTTTAAAATGCTCAACTTCTTTCTCCAGTTGGGATTCATTAGAGTTTTTGTTTACTTGATCTTGATAACCAACTTCTACGGGTTCCTGGTGTTGTTTTTTTTCTTTCAGCACCTGTAATCAAACAAAGAAAAATCCTAGTAAAGTGACGAGATAAAGATTTAAGACAATGATGTTGGGTTGATTGGTTGAGATAGAAATATCCATTCTAGCCCCAGCAAGGAAATTAACTCAAAGTTCAAATTTTCACAAGACTCAAATGTATAGACTAAGAGGTGATCAACAAACCGAGGTACAACGGGGTTGATTGTAGAGTTTGAAAAAATTATTCTATGGTTTTCTCAGTGTAGGAAGTAGAATGATTAAAAAGATGTACTTACGAGTTTGAAGGTCTCGGAAAATTCAAGAAATTCAACTTCTTGGAGATCCATATTCTCATTACGTTGAAGTATAACCGATAATCGTGTAATCAAACACAAAATTATGAATTTTCGCTTTGCCTGCAACAGACAACATAAGGATGACAACAACCACATCAACAAATTGATCCTGGTTTACTAAGCTGATATATGACACACTACCTCCTCAGTGAAGTTCTTAAGAGGTGCACGATCAAGCTTGGGAAACTTTTTTCGTTGGTATCTCACAAGCATAGCTATAAGCTGAAAATGATGGATAGTAATCAGAAAAACAGTAAATCCAAGACAAGTGCTTCCTTCTAGAGGATTAAATACCCTACCTCGATTTCCTCAGCAGTGTAGCTATGGAGATGATCCCCATTCTACGAAAGAAGAAACTATTAATAACAATGAGGACAAAACAAATACTGAAAACCTACAAAAAAGTTTATAATAGAAACATAGAGTACTCTAGGTGATAAGCTTTTGTGAGTTGCTTTTCCAGCTTTGTAAAGAGCTGTGCTTATTGAATGGTATGTTTGACAGCGTTGGATGAACTAACCTTGATGATATGATAAGACTGCTTATGATATCCCTTTTTCCCTGTGATGATTCCGATATTGTGCAAGAAACAAGCAGCTTCGAGATACTCAAGCTCCTTATCGTCTAAGATAACCTTAAAATCATTGCACTTCCTCAAACCTACATAGATCTCCTGGAAAATAACTGTAGTATCAAACCTACTGAATTAAACAAAATGGCCAGATTCGGTTGTGCTGAAATGAAATCTGAAACCATTAGGCACTAGCGCACACACACAAAAAAAGAGAGATAAATATGACCAGAGCAATGCCTATTCAAAGGATATGACAAAAAGCTATAACCTTTATGAATGTTTCACTATTAAGTTGCTCATGAAAAGTAATGTACCTTGGCGATCTTGGCACAGTGTATCGCGTGAGTCATTCGCTTTTTACCATTGAAGCGCGTGGCAAGCCGCATGACTGACCGCCACCTTGCATTGGCATTCAAATCATATGATCCATCAAAAGCTTTGGCCAGAGAATCAGCAATCACACCCTCTGCCAATGCATACTCTGAGACCTCCAAATCCTCTATACCAAGAGCCTTGAATATTTCCTCCAACAATACGGCCCCAGCAACAATGAACTCTGATCTTCTCTTGAAAAATCCCTCCCTCCGAATCAGCTCTTCGTCTCCTTCACTGCATAGCTTCGCTACAACGCTGCTCAGCTCTCTTGTGCCAAATCTCCAGTCCCTCTTATACCCTTCCAAATTGAATTCACACAAATCAGCTCCATAGCCACTGAAAACTGCATTCTCAATAGCTCTTATAGTTCCAGAAGATCCCACAACCATCTCAAAGCCATCGGATTCCTTCAATCTATCTGCTAACCTAGACTCATCAATCGCATGACGGATATAGTCTCTCATTTCCTTCAATCCAATACCACCATTTTTCATAAACATCTGTGTCAAATTCACATGACCTAGCTTCAAAGAAACAGCAAGCTTCACATTACCACACTTACCAACCACAAATTCAGTAGAACCACCTCCAATATCAACACACAACACAGATTTCTCAAACACAGGTAGAAACTGAAGCACGCCTAAATAAACTAACCTCGCTTCCTCTTCACCGGAAAGGACATCGACCTTAAGCCCAACATCCTCGAAAACCGCATCCACGAACTCTTTCTGATTCTCTGCTCGCCGTAACGCTTCCGTCGCGACGCATCGGATCCGGTCAACGGAGACATTGTGCGAGAGAATCAAACTTTTGAATTTCCGTAGACATTGAAGCGCGCGAGCCTGAGATTGAGACGAAATTGAGATCGGAGATTCACGAGACAACACCACTGGCTCTCTGAGTCTCTCGATCGGAACGAAAGATCTACCAGAAGGATCAGCGTGGACTATAAGAAGCTTGAAAGAGTTTGTTCCCATATCAATGGAGGTGAAGAGCTCCGATGATATAGGATTCGATAGCAAATTCGAATTCATCGTCGATCGAATCTCAATTAATTTACAGTGTTCTTCACAAATAAAATTGAGCTTTTATGAATTAATTTGTGAACTAGCACAATTAAACCAAACAATTAGGTAATTAGTAAAGTCAACAAAAAAAAGTCAAAATTAAAAGGCGATAATGATAGAAGAAAAGATAATTGATTGGAATTAATATTGAAACCCTTGGATTAACTTGAAATTTTACATTCTTATCGTTCTAAAGAAAAACAAAAGCCACCAGAATACTTAGATCTAAGCTCTTTCTCCTCTGATTCTTCTTGCGAGCTGGATGTCCTTGGGCATGATCGTGACTCTCTTGGCGTGAATAGCGCAGAGATTGGTGTCTTCGAAGAGTCCGACGAGGTAAGCTTCAGCAGCTTCCTGGAGGGCGGCGACGGCACTGCTCTGGAAACGGAGATCGGTCTTGAAGTCCTGAGCAATCTCTCTCACAAGCCTCTGGAAAGGGAGCTTACGGATCAGAAGCTCAGTGCTCTTCTGGTACTTCCTGATTTCTCTTAGAGCTACGGTTCCGGGTCTGAATCTGTGAGGTTTCTTCACTCCTCCGGTGGCTGGAGCAGATTTCCTCGCCGCTTTTGTCGCCAATTGCTTCCTTGGAGCTTTGCCTCCGGTTGATTTCCTTGCAGTCTGCTTGGTACGAGCCATTTCGTAAACTGGAATTAAGAACTGGTTGATTTTCTAGAGAAGATGATGGAAGATGAGAGACAGTTGAGATCTGATTTGTGATTTTGATTGGGCTGAGGAAGGGGATATTTATCGTCTGGGAATTACACAAGAAGCGGGAAAAAGTTTTCGCGTTTCTCTTTAGCGGGACTGAATCTGAATCGTTCATCTGTTTTTAATCGACGGATATAAGAGGTTTATATCATGATCCGTGTGAAATCATAACTGCCGTCGATAAGTTTAAATCTACGGTTAGATTTCATTCTTTTCTGTTACTGATCCGCGTGAAGATGCGTAGACCAATAGGAATAAAGAAAGAATTAAAAACAATTTTATCTTTTCCAAAAACATCTAATTTGGCCTGCGTAATCTTTTTTTCTTTTTCTCAAGTCTCAACCATGAGACATGAATGATGGTACCCAGACCCAGACACATGGAATTTGGATATCTTTTTTTGTTATACAAAGATTATATAACTTCATTGATTCCCAAGGGCCAAGGATGAACAAAAAGTATTCGTTATAATTTCTGTATTATCCACATATCTATCTTTAAAAGGAAGTCAGTCCAGTATATCATGTGGAAATTGATCGTGAAGCTAATGCATTCTACATTACATTTCTAGTATTAATCAACTAGCGGGAAATTGGGTTATCGACTTGTTGGTCTGTATTGGCTGACATGAAGATAACGGGTTTCTCAAAAGAGTGGAGCAGTGAATTAATATACTAGTGTAGAGAAACAAGAGTAGAGAAAGAGATGCAACTGCAAAACTTCTTCATGGTGTGTTTTTTCAAGTCTAAAAGGAGCATCCGACAGTCATCATTGTATCCCCATTTTAATTTTGCTAAAACTTGATTCTATCTCTCCGACAAACTAGATGCTAAAATACTTCAAAAGAAAAGGATTAAACAATAAAGACTCTGAAAACTTTGGTCTTCAAATCTTGAACGTCCTTCCCCTACAGCTCATCCTGCAAAACCAAACCACACAATATAAACAACTAAATTAAAAGAACAAAATTTGTGGATGGTCAAATATTAATGTGACATTATGGTAACATACATGAGCGGTGGCATCTTTCTCAGCAGTTTCCTCGCTAACTTCTGATTTGCTCTCCTCAGCCTTAGATTCAGAATCTGATTCATCTCCATCATCATCCTCTGGTTCCTCTTCAGCCTGGAAAATGGGTTACAGATATAATATTAGGACCTTGACAGAAACATAGAAGACTCTGAATCTTTGATCAATCACAAGTGCTTACATCAGAATCTGCAGGTGCGTCCTTGGATTCCTGTATCAGCACAGAAAAAAAAAAGGATGTCGTCTCAGATTATTTTTTCACTAAGTCAAATAATTTGGTTCGTCCAAACTACTTGTTTTGATAGCTAATTAAGGGAGATATATGGTTGACAAAGAATTACCTCTTCCTCGTTCTTCTTCTCCGCCTCATCGAAAGCTGCTTTTTCCGCCTGCAATGTGATATTAGATTGGATATTCTGATCAGTAACCAGAAACAAATAGCTGAGTTAATGGAGATGTGTATACTAATCACGTACATCCTTGAGCTTTCCCCATGTCTCCTCTGCCAACTTCTTGGCGTAGTCTGGGTCATCGCAGATCAAGACATTATCAAACAGAGATCCTGATTTCACCTGAAAGAGTGATAATTATTTTAGATGGGATTCATGTGGCCAAAGCAGATCTTGGAAGACAAGAGGTCATATAGTGACAAGATCTATCACCTGCCACAATTCGAGTCCAACATACTTCAGCTTGGGGAAGACATAGAGCTCTGGGTCATCCTTGAAGTCTGCGTGAATCAGTTTAAATTAGGCACAGTAGTTGTTAGATATTATGTCTTGGAGAGCTAATTTTAATGCACGTTTATGCAAACAAGAAAAACATGCGAACAAGAAATAAAAGTGTAGATTAAGGTAGCAAAAGATATAAATGACTAAATGTGTCAAATTGATGGTGACCTTGGGTTAAACGATAGAGAAGACAAAAAAAAAAATCAGACTGGTTACAAACATGTTTCTATTAAAATAGGTATACCAACTGGGTTTTAAACACAGAGACACCCTTAAACCATTTGAAAGCAAGACATTACTTCAGCATTAGAAATATAAACAGCAAGAGATTTGCAGCCATACCAGAAACCATCAAACAATAAATAACAGAAGTAGAACCACAAATTACATGTATATAATGCAACAATAAAAATATGGACAAAGGAAAATAGAAAGGCACAGAGAGTAGTAACTTACCAGGGTTGTCAATCATTGGAGCCTTCCACTTGCCCTTGTAGTTGGGGTTCTTGATTTGCTACAGATATAAATGACAACCTTGAGAGACGAAAAAAGTTGACCAGGTTATGTATACTTTTTGAGAGCGAGATTGACAAACCTTAGGCTTCCATTCACCCATGTACTCAGGGTTGGGGATGGTCGGGGCAGTCCACTCACCATCTTCTTCATCATCCCAGTCCTCAGGCTAAGAGAAAAGACAAAGAAATATCAGCAAATATGGAATACAGCAACAGATTTTATATTTTCCATCAATTAAAGACAAGGTAGGAACCTTCTTTGAGTCGGTGTCTGGGATCTCCTTTGGGATATCATCGTACCCGTCAGGTTTCTTGTCTTCTGGGTCAGAAATGTATTCTTGGTCGTCCCAGTCCTCAGGCTGTAAAAAAAACGGATCAATTTGTTATGGTATCACAGGAATAGTCAACAAATTCGAGCAGAGACTCATATTTTCATGAGCTTTAGTCTGGTTGGTTCTAGTTCGCTCTATAAGTGATGTATAAGTGGCTGGTTCTTAGTTTAGTCTGGTTGTTCATAAGTTACTGAATACCTTCTTGGCGCTGGGGTCCTTGATCTTCTTGGGTGGGAGAAGATCCCAGTCAGAGTAAAGGCTACCGGTTTGCTTCTCAACATTGTCGATGAGAATGCTGTAAGTTGCATCTGGGCGGAGGATGAAGGTGTACACATGGGTGAGCTGATCAGTTTCACATGGAACATCCTTCTTGATCAGGTGGTTGGCTTCATTGTAGGTAAGGATAGCATGCACTTTCTTTGTGCTGTAGCCACAGATATCGGGACCAAACATGATACTGCGGGTAAAACCAGATGGGTGTTATTTTTAAATACCGATGTCAGTTGAGAATGCTGAGATGATTAGAGTAAGATGAGACAGGAAATGTACCTGTATGGGGTGTCTCCACCAAATTTCTTCTGGTCAACATCACCACTGAGCAGCTTCATGTAGCCACCACCACAGTCAAGCTTTTGCTCGTGCTTGACTGAGAATTGGAAGACTAAGGTTTTGTCCTTGTTACTGAATTCAGGGAACTCAGCTGAAATGGCGTAGAATCTATAGTCCTCACTGGTCTGGATACCTGCAAGACAATGGTAATTGAAAACAACGCATTAACAAAAACTAGGAATATGCCGGGAAACAATAAATCATGAGTCTGTGACTAGCTCTGAAGGCTGAAACATACCTTTATCGTTAGAGTCACCAGACCAATTTCCCGCAGTGTGTTTCCACTCCCCAGCAGTGTTATCATCCTTCTTCCACTCAGATTTAACCCATCTGCTTTCCCATCCATCTTTAGAAATGGAAATAACGAAGATAACAAATCAAGACAGACACCAGACAAGAAGAATTACAAGTTTATATATCAAGTCCAGAACAACAAGACGTAATTAATCAAACACAAGAGAAACGAATTCTTCAAAACCAGATATTGGTTAGATATTTCCTGGACCTAACAAACTCATGAACGCTTCATTGAACAAAATTTCTCCCGCATAAGACCGCAAATTTACTGTTATATCTTAGAAGAAAACTAACAATGATTGCACCAATGGTTTAGAGTGAAATTAGTATTCTAGTGTCGAACTCGCAAGGAATCATAACTTAACTTCATTTACGTTAAAACATTTTAACGAAAAGTTGGCGGCCATTTCCAGGAACTCCAATTAGAATTTCGAATTCATAAAACCCATACAAACCAAAATCAGCAAATCCATAGATCAACAACCATCCTGATCAAACATTTGAAAATGATCTATCTGATGAAAACGAGGATACCATAGGTAGCAATGATCGAAAATGGATCTTAAACTCGTAGCATAAATCACATTAAAACTCAAATTGACGTAAACATCGCAATTCAAAACACAAACAAACGCATCCATTGGAACCTAGAGACTAGAGTATAGAGATAGAGATGTAGAGAATAGATACCATCGAAGCGCTCTTCGAAGATAACTGCCGCGGAGGCGATCGCGACGAGACCGATAAGAATCAGAGAGACGACGCTAGTGATTAATTTCGCCATTGCTAAAAACTCAGATCGGAGCTTCTCCGAGATCGATCAGAAGATGATGTACAAGACCTGGAGTTTATATACCACGAGGAGCTGCAAGTGAGCTTTGCACTCATGGATTTTAGCCTTTTCCTACGTCGTATTAATCTGCAGCCACGTAATCCAATCAGTAACCACCACGTCAGATACATTTGTCATTAGGAATGACATGGCGTTATGGTATTGGGTGAAACGGGAGAAAGATTGACACGTGTCAAATCTTCAGCTTAAGGCTGGGCCTGGGAATTTAGATTCCAACTGATTTTTCTTAATTTAAAAAACTCTAAAAGCGTGGGCTGAAGAACATTGATGTGTGTACTCTGGGCCGATAATATTTATATTTGTGTTGTCGTTGGTCCATCTCACGATTTTAGATTCTTGATCTCTTTGAATGATTTAAGGCATTTTTGTTACTGTAATCTCAATGAAAGAATCAGCTAATATGAAATTTCTGTTTAGCAGCCAACTGATGAGAAGACATTAGAGAGGTTCGAAAACTTAGGGAATTTATGATCAGAACTTATCGAAGATTGGAGTCTTAATTACAAGGATACTTTTATGGTCTGCTATTTGTTACTGTCAAAAAGTTTATGGACTTGATGGTCTGTGTTGATTTTATGACAATGGATGTAACGGATTTTTCAAAGCTTGGAGCACTGAAGTAATACACCACAATCTGATTTTTGGCGGGCTTTGGCTTAACAGAGAACCAGAAGTAGAGAAAGAGACGCAACAGCAAAACTTTTTCATGATGTTTTTTTAAGTCTAAAATAAGCATCTGACAGTCATTGCATCCCTCTTTTAATTCTTGCTAAAACTTGTTTCTATCTCCGACAAACTAGATGCTAAAATACTTAAAAAGAAAATGATAAAACAATAAAGACTCGAAACGTTGGTCTTCAATCTTCAACTTCCTTCACTTACAGCTCATCCTGCAAAACCAAATAACACAATGTAACTGATTAAGTTAAAACAAGAAGGTTATGGATGAGTGCAAATATTTTAAAGTGACATTATGGTAACATACATGAGCGGTGGCGTCTTTCTCGGCAGTTTCCTCGCTAACTTCTGATTTGCTCTCCTCATCTGTCTTAGATTCAGAATCGGAATCATCTCCTTCATCATCCTCTGGTTCCTCAGCCTGCAAAATAAATCACATACAGTATTAGGACCTTGACAGAAGCAAAGTAGACTCTGAAATTTTGATCAATCACAAGTGCTTACATCAGATTCCGCGGGTGCGTCCTTGGATTCCTGTATAATCACAGCAAGAAAAAAAAGATGTCAGTCTCAGATTCAACAAGGTTTTCACTTCCTATTTTAGAGAATATCAGGAATTGTGATAGCTAATTAGGACAGCTATTTGGTTGAAAAGTGTTACCTCTTCCTCTTTCTTCTTCTCAGCCTCATCGAAAGCTGCTTTCTCCGCCTGCAATGTGATATTAGATTGGATATTCTGATCAGTAACCAGAAACAAAGAGCTGTGTTAATGGAGATGTGTATACTAATCACGTACATCCTTGAGCTTTCCCCATGTTTCCTCTGCCAACTTCTTGGCATAGTCTGGGTCATCGCAGATCAAGACATTGTCAAACAGAGATCCTGATTTCACCTGAAAGAGTGGAAATTATTTTAGATAGGAGTCATGTGGCCAAAGCAGATCTGGGAAGACAAGAGGTCATATAGTGACAAGATCTATCACCTGCCACAATTCGAGTCCAACATACTTCAGCTTGGGGAAGACATAGAGCTCTGGGTCATCCTTGAAGTCTGCGTGAATCAGTGTAAATTAGGCACAGTAATTGTTGGATATTATGTCTTAAAAGAAAATAAAAACAGTATGTTTAGTATTACAGTCAAATCCATATGACCATGATATTAAAGTGTAAATCATCGTGAACAAAAGATATGGGTTTCTATTTTAATAGGTTAAACCACTAAATACAGAAACACTTTTCAACCTTTTTGAAGTAAGGAATTGCTTAAACATTTGAGTTTATAGGAACCCTTAGATAGCCAACTACTTAGTCAAAAGAAATCTAAATTGGAAGAGATTTCTAGGCATACCAGAAGCCATCAAACAACAACAAACAGAAGTAGAAACACAAACTACATGTATATTATGCAACATGAAAAAATATGGCCACAGAGCGTAGTAATTTACCAGGGTTATCAATCAATGGAGCCTTCCACTTGCCCTTGTAGTTGGGGTTCTTGATTTGCTACACAAATATATGATAACCTTGAGATGAAGATAAAGGTTGACAAGGATTTAGATACTTTTTGAGAGCGAGATTGACAAACCTTAGGCTTCCATTCACCATTGTATTCAGGGTTGGGGATGGTTGGGGCAGTCCACTCACCATCTTCTTCATCATCCCAGTCCTCAGGCTAAGACAAAAGAGACAAAGAAAAATCAGCAAATATGGAACACAGCGAGAGATTTTAGATTTTCCATCAATTAAAGACAAGGTAGGAACCTTCTTAGCGTCTGTGTCTGGGATCTCCTTTGGGATATCATCGTATCCGTCAGGTTTCTTGTCTTCAGGGTCAGCAATGTATTCTTGTTCGTCCCAGTCCTCAGGCTGTTTAAAAAAAAAAGGATCAATATGTATGATGGATGGTATCACAGGTATAATCAACCAATTTGATCAGAGACTCATATTTTCATGAGCGTTGGCCTGGTTGGTTCTAGTTTGCTCTATAATTGATGTATAAGTGGTTGGTTCACACTTTAGTCTGGTTGTTCATAAGTTATTGAATACCTTCTTGGCGCTGGGGTCCTTGATCTTCTTGGGTGGCAGAAGATCCCAGTCAGAGTAAAGGCTACCGGTTTGCTTCTCAACATTGTCGATGAGAATGCTGTAAGTTGCATCTGGGCGGAGGATGAAGGTGTACACATGGGTGAGCTGATCAGTTTCACATGGAACATCCTTCTTGATCAGGTGGTTGGCTTCATTGTAGGTAAGGATAGCATGCACTTTCTTTGTGCTGTAGCCACAGATATCGGGACCAAACATGATACTGCGGGTAAAACAGGATGGGTGTTAATTTTAAATACCGATGTCAGTTGAGAATGCTGAGATGATAAGAGTAAGATGAGATAGGAAATGTACCTGTATGGGGTGTCTCCACCAAATTTCTTCTGGTCAACATCACCACTGAGCAGCTTCATGTAGCCACCACCACAGTCAAGCTTTTGCTCGTGCTTGACTGAGAATTGGAAGACTAAGGTTTTGTCCTTGTTACTGAATTCAGGGAACTCAGCTGAAATGGCGTAGAATCTGTAGTCCTCACTGGTCTGGATACCTGCAAGACAATGGTAATTGCAAACAACGCATTTAGTAAAAACTAGGAACATGCCACAATATATCATGAGTCTATGACTAGCTTTTTTTTTTTGGGACAGAGTCTATGAGCTATGAAAGGCTAAATCATACCTTTATCGTTAGAGTCACCAGACCAATTTCCCGCAGTGTGTTTCCACTCCCCAGCAGTGTTATCATCCTTCTTCCACTCAGATTTAACCCATCTGCTTTCCCATCCATCTTTAGAAATGGAAACAACAAAGGTAACAACAAAGAGTCAAAGACAGACATCAGACAAGAAGAATCACAAGTTTATATGTCAAGTCCAGAACAACAAGTCGGGATCCAACGCAAGAGACACCTTCAAACTAGATATTGGTAAGAGTAAATAGTCTTTACTATTTCAAATAAGTAAAAATTGACTAAACAAACTCATGAGTGTGCTTCATTTAACAAAGGATCCTACCTAAGACCGCAAATGATACGACCATTACCCTGATGCCTAAGCAGAACACTAACAATGATTCATCTATGGATTCAATTGAAACTACCATCTCAGTGTTTATAACAGTTAAATTATTGCTCCAGTGATCTCCGAAACATCTCAACAAAGAGTATTCTTCACCAAAAGCCGGCGACGATTTCCTAGGATCTCCAATTATAATTTCGATTTCATAAACCCAAGAAAAACAAAATCAACAATTCAAAGATCCACAATAATCCTGATCCAACATTTGAAAATGATCTATCCGATGCATGATCGAAAGCAGATCTTTAAACTCGAAGCATTATCACATTAAAACTCAAATGAATTAAGAGATCGGAAGCTAAAACATAAACAAACGCATCACCAGGAACCTAAAGGTATAGAGATAGAGATGTAGAAAGTGAATACCATCAAAGCGCTCCTCGAAGATAACCGTCGCGGAGGCGATCGCGACGAGACCGATAAGAATCAGAGAGACGATGCTAGTGACTAATTTCGCCATTGCTAAAAACTCAGATCGGAGCTTCCCCGAGATCAGATGATGATGAAGTATAAGATCTCGAGTTTATATATATCGGCGAGGAGCTTGCGAGTGAGCTTTACTCTCATGGAATTTAGCCTTTTTGCTACGTCGTGTAAATCTGCAGCCCGTAATCCAATCAGTAACTGACACGTCAGATACATTTGTCATTAGGAATGACATGGCGTTATGGTATTGGATGAAACGGCGACACAAGGGCTTGGAATAATAAACCTTAATCCAAAGATTTGACACGTGGAAAGATATTAGCGGTTGGTGCGGTGATATTAACAAAAAAGAAGTGTGCTTCTCGTGGAGAGAGTATTGTAAACAAAAGAAGCAGATCTCTCGGGTGTTTTTCGTAAAAACATCACTTGGTTTGTTGGATTTAACGTGATCTCAGCCGTTGGATTCCAACTGATTTTTTTAATCTAGAAAATTCTAAAAGCGTGGGCCGAGGAACATTGATGTGTGTACTTTGGGCCGATAATTTTTATATTTTGCGTTGATGGTTTTTTCGTGTGAAAGATTAGCGTAAAAGCAACTTAAAATCTGACTTGGATTGATATTTGATGATGACACCCATTGAAGCAAACTTTTTTAAAACAAAATGAACTACTTTTATGTTTTTGTTACTCATTGATCCAGTTAGTCTCATGATTTAATAATCTTGGTCTCTTTGAACGATTTAAGCTCCACTGTAGATTATACATCTATGTCACTCTAATCTCAGCTAAACTGAGACTTCATTAGAGAGCTCACCAAACTTTGAGAGTTTATGATCAAAACATTGAAGACTGGAGTCTTCATTACAAGAATTATTTATATGCTATGCTATGTTAATTTTGAATGTCCTTGAACCCTCTCAGATAATTTAGCATCATCATAAACGCTACAAGCTCCAAGAAGCATTCTCCAAACCACGGCCTTTTGGTCAGTTGGAATTTCCAAAGCAATCTTCTCTCCTTCTTCTAGTCTTCCTTTTCTTCTCGATGAGCCATAATTCATGGACAAGGATTCTTAAATGCTCCGCTATGTTACTTGTGAATGTCCTGGAAGTTTAGCTACTCCTCTAGCATCCATCTGTTTCCGAAATCTCTGCGCATCTGAAAATCTTCCATTACCACAAAAGATGTTGGACATAAGCACATAGTCTCCTCCATGCCATCTCTCTAGCTCCGTTAGCTTCCTAGTAACCCTCTCAGCCATTTCAGCATCATCATAAACGCTACAAGCTCCAAGCAGCATTCTCCAAACCACCGCCTTTTGCTCTATTGGAATCTCCAAAGCAATCTTCTCTGCTTCTTCTAATCTTCCTTTTCTTCTCAACATATCTACTAGACAACCATAGTGCTTCACATCCGGCGTGATCTTGTACTTGTTTACCATCTTGTTGAAAAACTCTAGAAACTCTTCTTCTGCTAAACCTCCATGGCTACAAGCGTTCAAGACACTGATCATGGTCACTCTGTTGGGCTTCAATCCTAATTTTTCCATGTCTTTGAACATATTGACCGCTTCTTTGCCCAATCCGTGCATTGCAAACGCCGAGATCATCGTTGTCCACGATACAAGATTCTTCCTTCCGTTGGGAATCTCTATGAAAAACTTGAACGCGCTTTGAATACACCCACATTTTGCATAAGCGTCGATGAGAGAGTTAGTCACACGGATATCACATGGAACAAACCCTCTTTTCCCAACATAAGCATGAACTGATCCGCACATCTTTAGGTCTCCCAAGTTCCAAACAGCTGGGAGAATGGCGAGAATGGTTATCTCGTTCGGCTTTATTGCGTCGCAAGCAACCATTCTTGAAAACAGAAGTGTAGCTTCCTTGGGTTTATTTACTCGTGCATACCCATCAATGATAGTGGTCCAAGACACTACCGTCCGATTCGGCATCTTCTCCAAAAAGCAAAGAGCTTTTTCAAAATCTCCCAAATTAGTCAGGCCAGTGATCATCACATTCCAAGTTACCGGATTTCTCTCAGGCATTTCATCAAACACTTGGTGAGCATCATTCACGTTTCTAGCAACAAGATACATTCCAACCAAAGCTGTCTGCACGTAGACATGAAATTCAAAACCCAGTTTTAGAGTCAACCCATGGAGTCCAATTCCCAGTAGTAAATATGGGAACCGCGGATTCGAACTCGCTTTCAGGAGAAAGAGGTAAGTGAAACTATCAAAAGGAGGCAGTCTCTTGTTTTGATCAGACAAGAAATGGAGTCGCTGTAGTTGGTCGTAGAGGAAGTAAGCATGAAGAGGGGTTTCGCCAAGAGAATAGCATCGAAGCAGAGTATTGAATAGGAAAAGTTTCCCAGAGTTTTGCTTCTGATGAAGGAGAAGAAGCCCAGAAGTAGTGAAGTGAGAATGGAGCTGGTGGATGATTCTAGGGTTTGATTCATATTTTTGCAGAAGAGAATGAAAGTGTTGAATCGAGATGATGTTACCATCAGAAACCAAAGTCGAATAAGAACAAGCATGCTTGATTCTGGTGTAAGAGCGTAGAGCTGTGGTTCTTCTACATGACGAAAACAAGAACATAATTGTTTGAACACAAGTCTAGCAAGAAATTATTTCAACTGCTCATTAATATTAGGCAGCGATATATTTTATTGACTTTGATCTGAGAGTCAAAGAGTTACATAATGATACACAAAAAGAATTTGCAGCTAATCTTCAAAAACCTTTGATTTTATATATCATCATCATTCGTTTGGCTTGGCTGCTCCAGGATTCCTGCCAAACTGGATTATCATTGGTTTTCCTTTGAACACAAAACCATTTACAAGATTCTGCAAAATCACAATGAACACATCAGTCACACTTTTGTCTTATCTTCAGGCACAAAATGAATGCTTGTCAATGATATATTATTCTTCACAGTATTCAGGAATTTATGCAGAACAAGAAGGTGTTGTTAAGGATGATTACCAGAGCACGATGTGCGACTTCAACTGATGGAAATGTCAAAAAAGCTTGCCCTCTCATCCTTCCTTCCTGTAATATTATTTAATTCACACATTCCATCAAAGATTGATAATAATCAAAGGGAAGTTTAAGGTTACAGATGCATCACCTGCATTAGCCTCACACCAAGACTTGATTTAGCTGCTTCCATGCTTTCAAATTGTGACCCTACATGAATGCTAATATTTAGCTATGAATCGAATTCCAGAAAGGAAAGGTGTAGTAAGGAGGTAACAACTTGTAAATTAACGACTCTAGATTGTACAAGATTTTGATTTTGACTAGCAGAGCTACTTCTTACCAAATATGTAATATAAATCATCAATAACAACATCTTTGGCAAGGTTTTTGATATACAGCACAAGCGACGGAATCCCAGCTGTGTAGTTCTGCTCGCAATAAAAACAAAAGGCAGTTTCTCTCAGTGTATATGTTTTTCAGAGATGACACTCTACATTTGGAATTATAACATGAAGTAGGAAAACAGTCATGAAAGAGCTGCATAGGAAAAGAGACATTACTACACAGCAAATATCTTTTCATGCAAAGAGAGAATCCCTTGTAACAAGTATGCATAGCCAATGAGCCAAAGTACATCCATACCCAAAGAAAGGCTGGAACTGATAATCAGGCTCACATTATTAGAAAAGTTCTACTCAATACAAACATATTATGTAACTTAATCCTAGTTTCCATACCTTGAACATAGGGAGTGAAAGAATTTCCTGTGGAGGTAACCTTCCTTTCTCCAACTCCTCTAAACTCGCAAAGGGTTTTAAATTTGAATCTTCTTCTTTGGGCTCGTCTGCAGGGTCTTCATTCTCACTTTCCTCTTTATATTCGTCTTGAGCAGCTTTTGGGGTAATCTTGATCTATCGGCATATAGACCTCACAAAAATCAGCACAACTACGCAGCATATTATTATTGAAAGGTAATTATGGATAATAGGATACCTGCATAACGTGTTTATTCTTTCTTATTCGAGGGATCTCTTTTGGGGTCAAAGACGAAGGTTTCACTGCAACAGTCTCAAGTGGCACATCCTTATCCATACCAGGACCAACAAGAGTTTCATGTCTAGCACGCTTCCTTCCTGATTTTGATCTACCTGTATCCTAAACGTAATACCATCACAATTCTTACCCAAGTACTGAATATCAATGAATATAAAGAGTAGAGAAAATAAGAACAAACTCTAAGGACGTATATGTGTCGATTATCACATAAGTTTACTAAGTAAAAAGAGAACAAAGCAAGATGACAACAACGATATGTAAATCTAAGCAACCATAAGGAGCTTGGCATGAAGCCATTTTACTAATATCATAAAATGCAGACATGGCATGACGAGTCATACCTCATCAGATTCCATCTCTGACTCGCTACTAGATTGATGCTGCAACTCAGTTGGTTGGGGGGCTGCTTTAGGTAGAGGTGGTGTGGGCAGGGCCAGGCGAAAAGGAGGTGGAAGATTCATTTTGTTCATCAGATGTAGCACCTATGATCAAAAGGTCTAAAATTAAATTTCTAGTTTTTTCAGCACTCCATGATAGTTGATATCTGCAAATTATAAATGAAAAAAAACACTTCTATCCACCGGTCATATACAGTGATAGTAGAGCTAACCTGGGTGTATAATGGTGGGACAGCGATAAGGGCATTAGTAATGTTGGCTAGTATATTTGCATCGGGTGGCGGATAAGCGTATCTGCAAAATGAACCCGAACAAACATAGAAACACCTGAAGTCGACAAAATGTTTAAAGAATCGTGTTGTGTTGTCACATTGTGTTTTAGAAGGATGAGGAGATAAACATACAGACACATACCTATGGGTTTTTGAATTAAGTGATAAGAAATGGAACAAATTTAAAATAAGTATGAGCAGCAAAACTTACTGCAGGTGAGGAGGAAATGGATAGTTAATGCCGAGTTTTGGAGCTATCGGTTCGCCAGAAAGCATCTGCCCAGATTTTGAATCATCGTTGGTGCTAACTGTAGAGAAAGGATTCCCCTTGGTCACAGATTCTTCGATTTGTCGAGACTTCTTGTTCTCGTTAGGTTTATTGGCTCTCTGTACTTGTAGAACCTTGCCAAGAAACCTTAGCCTACACAACCATCAAACCATAAAACAGCTCAATAATTGGCTTCATTGCCAAGAAACAAAAAGAGTCTGAGCAGATTAATTCCAGCATATTAATGGAAGATGAGTAAATCCGAAACTGGTACCCATTTAACTGACGATGTGCTTGAGAAGCAAAAGCTTCATTCTTGAAATCCACAAAAGCAGCGTTTCTCAATCTGTGGCAAATATTATCTGTCAAGTTAGATAATTCCACATTATTCAATCTCTTCTTCACACCTTCTACCCTAAACATTACAAGAAATATACCCTTCAAAAGCCTTATGAACAAAAACTAACTACGAATTTTCAGTGTCCAATGTCTTCTACAGAAATCTAGAACCTTCTAATTCTTATGAATTTCCAAGTAAATAGTAAGGAAAAGGTTGCTGGAAATTTTACTTTCCACCGGAGCAAGGACGAACAGCAGAAGCTCCGTACTGAGAAAAGAGCCGAGAGACGATATCATGAGGAATTCCGTCAGGAAGATGTCGAACCAATAGAGTTACCCCAAACGGCTCTGTGACCTGAGATTCAAATTGCGTCGCCGGGAGATTCACGGCCGACTCCGATGTCGCATGTGCAGCCATTAGAGCTCGAAAACTCAAACTCAGAACGATGACAGGTTCTTTTCAATAAAATTGATTTGTGCGATTAAACCGGACTAGATTTTGGAGTCATTAATCGAACCAGATAAACCAAGAGAGAAAATTGAATCAAACCGGGACGACGTTTTGTTTTAAAGTTTATGGGCTTTTCCACACATGTGGCCCATTAAAATGTTTTTTGTCGGTTAACAGACCTGTCTCTTTTGCTTTAGCAACAATTTTTTATAAATCTTCAGAAAATATTTTATTATTTTGTGATGATAAATAAATTTCAACAATACAAAAAAAATAGCAATAAATAGATGTTAAATGTAGCATGAGGAAATAAATTTATTTGCCCACCAAAAAAAAAGGAAATAAATTTATTTTGAAAAAGAAGAAGAATAAACTGTGAGATGGACAATGCAATTCAATAAGAAGATAGAGTTGATAGTGAAGTGAGCATGACTATAACATGTTACTTGACCAAGTATACTTTCCTTCATCCGTTTCCAAACATTAACATTGACAATTTTTTTGTAAGTTTTCGTACAATTATCAAACTGAAACTTCAATTTTTGGAAATATTAAGAATATGTCCGTTTCACTGAGAAGATAATATCTTTTTTGGCGTGTGCCTTCCACACACTTCTTATGGCTCTCCTTATGGCTACTCATGAAATTTCGCAAGTTCTTCACGCAATCATTTATTCATACAGAAAGAAAAAGAAAAAAAAAACAAATCTTCTTAGCATTTTTACAAAAAATAATAAATATGGAATCCATTGACAACCACAAAAAAAGAACATATACTATAAAAGTTAATGTTGAAATTGAATAGGAGAGAAACAAAATAAATGTAAATAGTGTTGTATGAATTTTGTTGGCATATATAATTAATCAAGTTGGCCGTGGAGTTAATACAAGAGGCAAGAATGCATAGATCGAATATGTTTTCTTTTTTCTTTTTTTCGAATATGTTTTTTTGCATAAGAAATAAATATGATGTGTCATTTACATAAAAGAATATCGATTTTTTCAAGTTGGTGTGTGTCTTTAAGTACCTCTTAATCTCTTATACGTGTTTTTTTTGTCAACGTATTCCATATATGCTACTCTCAGAATTCCTAAAAGCTATATTGGGATAAGTTATATATTTATTATACTTTCTAGATAGAAAAATATAAGATTGCGTGAATAATTTGAGAAATTCATGAAGCATATCAAAAGAAAACAAGGAGAGCCGTAAGAAATTTGTGGAAGGCACACGCCACGAAGAGATTATCTTCTTCTGAAATTCGCATATTCTTTTCAAAAAATATTGAAAACTCAGTTTGATATTTGTAGGAAGTCTTACAATTTAATTCCAAAGTTGATGTTTGGAAACAGACAAAGGACGTTTGCTTTTGGTCAAGTAACTTGTTATATAGGTTAGTAGTTACTCCATATATTTTTTGATGTTAGTTAGGTACACTTTTTGTGTTGTTGTAAGTTTTTTTTTTGTTGATAAATTGTGTTGTTGCAAGTCATGCACACCTACTTTCTAAAAGCTCTTGGTTATATATTTAGAACTGCGCAATAATATATAAATGGACTCTTTATTGTTGTATAATTATGTGTTTATCATGCTACGTACGTACATAAATGATAAGGCATCAAACTTTTTTTTAGTTCTCTCATACGAGTTCGAAGGAAGTACTACACGGACACATTCAAACCTTATCTCATTTTTTATATACAGAAGAATTGAAAAAAAAAAAAAACAAATTATCTCAGTTAGCTTTCATGTAATCCATCAATTAATGGAGATTATACGTTTCATATAATCCATCAATTACTGTTCATCTTGCTGGGTGTAATACAATATATCCAATTTATAACATTTTTGGATCTAATCCATGTTCACACAAGTCTTTTAATTTGTCACAAACAGGATAATTTTGAAAATGATGTAAATTTAATAGCAATTAGGAACGAATGAATTTTCTAAAATCTAAATCATCAACTCTAAACCCTAAACTAAAACCTTAAATCTAAATTAGAAATCACAAAAACTAAACCAATACTGTAAACATTAAACTATATAATATTTTAAACTTAAATAAATCTTTTACTTCAAAACCTAAATACTGTATAAAGGATCTAGTCTTAAGTTAAACACAAAAAGAAAAGAAAACGCAAGTGTTTTTATATATTTGAATAATGAAATATTAAAATAGTTAGATTCTTTTTCTAGTTGATGTAGATCTCCACCCCACGCCAATAAATATCCATCCCTCCAGTCTAAACAGTTCACACCACCCAAGAACACACAATTATTTACCAAAAAAAAAGGGAGAAAAAACCAATAACCTCATAGTGTCGACATGGGCTACCAAGACGAACAATTGGTGCAAACAATATGCGATCTCTACGAAAAGATCTCAAAGCTCGAGAGTCTAAAACCATCCGAAGATGTCAACATTCTCTTCAAGCAGCTTGTTTCCACATGCATCCCACCAAACCCTAACATCGACGTCACCAAGATGTGTGACAAAGTCCAAGAAATTCGACTTAACCTCATCAAGATCTGTGGCATAGCCGAAGGTCACTTAGAACATCATTTCTCTTCGATTTTGACCTCTTTCCAAGACAACCCACTTCATCATTTAAACATTTTCCCTTATTACAACAACTATTTAAAACTCGGAAAGCTCGAATTCGACCTCCTCACACAAAACCTAAATGGCTTTGTCCCAAAGAGTGTGGCTTTCATTGGATCTGGTCCTCTTCCTCTCACTTCCATCGTTCTTGCTTCATTCCATCTCAAAGACACAATCTTTCACAACTTTGACATCGACCCATCAGCGAACTCACTCGCTTCCCTTCTGGTTTCCTCTGATCCAGACATCTCTCAACGGATGTTCTTCCACACCGTTGATATAATGGACGTGACAGAGAGCTTGAAGAGCTTCGATGTCGTGTTTTTAGCTGCTCTTGTTGGAATGAACAAGGAGGAGAAAGTTAAAGTGATCGAGCATCTGCAGAAACACATGGCTCCTGGTGCTGTGCTCATGCTTAGGAGTGCTCATGGTCCGAGAGCGTTTCTTTATCCGATCGTCGAGCCGTGTGATCTTCAGGGGTTCGAGGTTTTGTCTATTTATCACCCAACAGACGATGTTATCAACTCTGTGGTGATCTCTAAAAAGCATCCTGTTATTTCAACTGGGAATGTTGGTGGACCTAATTCATGCTTGCTCAAGCCTTGCAACTGTTCCAAGATCCACGCGATAATGAACAAGAACATGATGATCGAGGAGTTCGGAGCTAGGGAAGAACAGTTGTCTTAAAGAGGACGTTTCTTGCTTCTTAATTCTCTATCTTATGGAAGCTTCTAATTATGATTTGTGTCTTTGTGTTGTATGTTGGTGTCTTTTCTCAATTGTTCTTTGTATGTTTTATTTTCTTTCTATATTTCTAGAAATGGATTTGCTTCCCGCGACACTGTTGGGCTGAAACAGAACACGATTTTGTCTCCTGCTCTTAACTTATTTAATTATAATCAGATTTAATACAAAACATAACATAACATCCTATACTATTATTTGGGGAGTACACTTTATAAGATACCCTTAACTAACCTTCCCTTTTGTAAAAAATTACTTAAGAATGCCATTAGAAATAAAATTTTATAGAGTAAATTAATTCAACTCATTAAGGATAAACAAGTCAAATACTATTTTGTGTAATTTAATTAATTTAATTTAATTATAAAAACGAAAATCTATTATTAATTTCTTTAAAAAGAATGACCAATCAAAATGAACATATAAGATTTGATATCTAACTTACCATATTAATTTGTTATTAATTATTATACTTCACCTCTCATCTTTATATGATTCTATTTCTATAAATAAATAAATCATTATATCATCTATATAATAAAAAAAAAAGTAAATTTTTTTCCGCATATACCAAGATTTAAATTTTTAAAAACGAATATAAATTATTCAATGTATGAAAGAACAAATTTAACGGGTCAAAAATTCATATTTGAGTAATATATTCCTTTTTTTAATATGATCAATACTTAATAGATCAAAAATTTATGAAGTATAAATACTCTAATTTGATTTTTGAAGCAAATATTTATAATAGGCGACGGGTTGAATATAATATATTATATGATAAAATGAGCTATGATCCTTATAACTATTTGAATATTTATATTTAATTTCATATCATTTTTTTTTAATTCATAATTTTACATACTACAATAAAATTTTTAAGGATTTTAATTTGGAACATTTTAAAATTTTTTAATTTTATATATTAAAGAATATCATAAATATTTAATAGATTAAAAAGATAAAAAAAATTATAAATACATTAATTTGATTTTCTAAAAAGATATGTTTAAAATATTTATAGTAGGCGGCGGGTTAAATGTAATGTAATATATGGTAGAAAGTTACGATCCTTATAACAGACGGCATTTTAAGATTTTATGATGAGATGGGTTAAATAAGGTTTGACACTTCTAAATATTTGAAAATTTGATTCTGCAAGCAATTTTGAAAATAATAAATAATAGATTGTGCCGCAATATTTTCATAGGGATTGTAAAATGAAAATATAGACATTACACACGGATTGAATTTGGTATTATTATATACCAAATATATGTTCATAACATATTTGATTATGTGAATAATTGGTAAATTCCGTAATTAGCTCAAACAAATCTCTATTTCAACAACCAATGAATCAGAATTTGAAAAAATAATTTCCTAAATTAATTCAAAATAATAGCTAATTTTTTTAAGTAATTCAAAATAATCTACGTTTTAGATGCGATTCATTTATGATATTTTGATTTTTGATCTAACTAAATTATATGCACTCTCATTTTGTGGTTGTTAACATAAATTAACTCATTGTTCAAACAATATTAATTTTTTTATAAAATAATCTTATTTTTCGTTTTCATATCTTTAAAAAAATATCCATAATTGAATACTATAGAAAAAGGAAAATATATTCATTCTAATATTATATATAGGGACTGACAAAAAAATATTATTTTTCACTTACTATTATAATATATCACAACGTTGTTCTAAAACATAAAATTTATTAATTTTGTAATAAATGAAATTCAACCCGTACTATAGTACGGGTGATGATCTAGTATATATATATATATATATATAAATATAAAAGGGATTCATATTTAATTTCCTATATAAAAATTATAACCATATGTTATCTAGAATGTTGACGTAGATTATAAAGATGAAAAAAATATCATTTTCATCAACATTACTTAGTTTTATTCCATGTATGATGGAACGTTGGTGGCGGATGCATATTTCTCATAAGGTAAATTCCATCTTTTCTAGCAAACCAATGACGTATAGCACCACATCTACGAACGTTGCCCATTCTGTATGCTATAAATTCTTGATAATATCGCATGTATAAGCCGTGTTTCAAAAGACAAGTCCATCTTGTTCTTCTCCCTAACTTGTCTCCGAAACGGATTTGTTTTAGTTCCTTGAATTGTAAATTTTGGACGCCTAGATTGTCATCTCTTGAATGACAATGGTATTGGAGAACCAAACCAGGACCAAGCTCGTTCGAAATTATAATTTCATTACTCGGACATGGGAACATGTCAAATGCTACATTCAATCCAAAACACGTCGCAACAAGCCAACAAAAAAATTAGAAAACGATTCATTTTTCGAGTAATATGAAACTCCGATTTGAATCTAAAGACATCAATAGTACAGTATATATAGTTATGTGTGTGGTTAGTATTTTCTTATGGCCCTTTAACTAAAATTAGTATTTTCAATAGTTAGTGTCGAAAAGTATGGTTGACTTGACCTAATATTTAGAAACGGGCCAGACCTAAAACAAATGGGCCACAATAGCTTTCGAACATCATTGGTAAAACCGACCCGTTTCTTTGTTGTTGTTTCTTTCTTGAGCAAAGGAACTTTGGTTGGAGCAAGAAGAAGCAGATCGTGAGACATTCGAGATGACTGTAAGTCGGATCAATCTTCCAATTGCTCATGGATTTTTATGACTTTGATCGTGTTTTTCTCCTTGGCAGTTCATGATTCCGATTGAGAACGGGAATGGAGTGAAGAACGCTGAGGCTGATTCCCAAAGAACATTGTAAAACTTCTCTTATAGTGTTCTTGATTCTGAGAAAAAAATTGGGTTTTGGTTTTCATATTTTTAGTTAATTTTGGTAGGTACCCGTATGTTACTGGAACCTCAGTGGTAGCTATCAAGTACAAAGATGGGATTTTAATGGCTTCTGATATGGGAGGTATGATACTCACTCTACCTAGTTTCAGCTCTCTAGTTGTCTTGTGGATGATTGATACTCATTGTTGCTTTATTGGTAGATTAAGCAATTTACTCTCTTAGGCATTCTTCATTGTTCACAAGAGTGCTTGTTATATAGATAATAATCCGGAGTCAAGATGTGTAAATTTTTTATATGACCTTGGTTAGTTGTAACACACTAACACTTGTTCACCTGATTTCCTGGATTTTCGGCTCTAGATAATGGTGAGACTGTTGCTTTAAATCAATCTCAAACTTTTGCTGATGTGCAGGTTCATATGGATCCACCTTAAGGTACAAGAATATTGAGAGAATGAAGGCTATTGGTAAACATTCTCTTCTTGGTGCCAGTGGGGAAATCAGCGACTTCCAAGAAATTTTGCGATATCTTGATGAGCTTATGTAAGAATTTTGTTTGATACAATGTTTCTTTTCTTGTCGTTTCCTTCTTAACTATTCCCTCTTTGGCCCCTGATTTTAAACTCTTATTGTTTTCAGGCTGAATGATAACATGTGGGATGATGGTAATTCCTTGGGACCGAAAGAGGTTCATAACTATCTGACCCGAGTTATGTATAATCGCCGAAACAAGTTCAACCCTTTGTGGAACACTCTTGTCCTTGGAGGTGTAAAAAATGGGGAGAAGTACCTTGGAATGGTAATGCCTGTTAAGACTTTTTCGCATTTGAACTTCTTAGTGAGTGTAACAGTTTTGAAGTGAATGTTATGATGTTCTCTAGGTCTCAATGATTGGTGTTAGTTTTGAGGACAACCATGTTGCCACTGGTTTTGGGAATCACCTAGCTAGGCCCATTCTTCGTGATGAATGGCGTGAGGACCTGAGTTTTGAAGAAGGTGTCAAGCTACTGGAGAAATGTATGCGTGTACTTCTTTACCGTGACAGATCTGCTATCAACAAGCTTCAGGTCTGTTTAACTTTCAGTATTTCAACTCCATCTAATTGAGAATCAGATCATTGACCAGACTTGTTCTCTCTGGGAACTTTGCAGATAGCAAAGATGACAGAGGAAGGCGTGACGGTCTCTGAGCCATACTCGCTTAAGACATTCTGGGATTTCAAGGCGTTCACAAACCCAACAGTTGGTGCAGAAGGCTCCTGGTAATAACTGAAAAACAACCCCAACCACTTAGCTAAGACAAGTTACTTCGATCCAAGAGAGCTGTTTCCTTTGTGTGATGTTGTTCGATAGTGACCGCTGTGTTTTATGAATTCCTGAGTAAGATCTAGTCTTTAACTTCCCCACCTTGGATATTGTATTCACGAATGGGCATGTTTTTGTTCCTTGGAGATTCCATAATTGACCTGATGCATATAGACATTTCTTTTTCTGTCATATGTGCGTTGTGAATCTTTGTGATATCTAGAATCTAAAAATACATGCACAAGAAAAGCTTTCGACCACATATATTAATTCCAGTTATAAAAACTTGGTGAGTATTATTAAAATTGGTACATAGAGATAAGAGTCAGAGAAGAAGTATTTGAGCGTGGTTAAAATATTAAGAAAAGGAAGAGACATGGAGATGATGTCTCAATTAAGGGGGCAAGCCTCTCTGGCCAATCACAGAGAAAAGGGCCCTTTTAGATTCTCTTCAAGATCTTCTTCTTTTTTGCATAAATAAACTCACACATTTACTACATAAATGCACTTATATATAAGATTTACAATTTAGTGTCAACTCATAATTTCTCGACATTGCTAATTGTGGGTTAAGAATTTTTTTTTGTTAGGTTGCAAACATTTTCCTCGTGATTCCACAGCAATGTGCCAAAAACAAATTGAATAAGAAAAGTAAAATATAGTATTTAGATGTTTAATCCATTGTCATTCTATCCATTACTCTAGAATTTTTATTTTTCCTTTTGAGACCACTCATTACTCTTTAGATTGAGGTATCAATTAGAAAAATACAAATCACACAAAATAGTGGAAACGGCAAAAGAGAGAATTTGTTGGCGGAAAATTGTCCACAAATTTACAAATGAGTAAAGGTTACACAAAAGAGACCTTTTTCTCATATGGCAGCGCCATGAAAATGGTCACATGGAATGCTTTTTTGTAAATTTTCTTTTCTCTTTTGCCTATTTCATTTTCTGAATGCTTTTTTCCCTTTCTCTGCTTACCTTTAGAATTTTGTTTTAAACCGACATTATTCATAATCTCGTGGTTATACTTCTCTGATATTTAGCATGGATTAGTTTTTGTGCTTCTTGTTTGTTAAGTATCAGTGTATCACAACCATTTATGTATTCATCATTTCTTAAATGCATATTCGTTCTGATTAAAAGTTGATTCTGCCGCAACTACTGTAAACAAAAGATTCACCATCACACTTCATTCATTTCTCAACTTTATAATATTTTATCGATGTTAAGTTGTTTGTTTGTTTTTTTCTCGAAAATATATATGTATCTTCTATATTCTTTGACTTTTGGAGTTGTCACTCTTTACAATGTATCGTTCAGCATTTTGACTATTAAAGGGCATAATTTTGGAGCTTCATGCCACGGCAAAAAGGTAAAGAACAATCACCATAGGTTATGACGTAGATTATTATAAAGATGAAATAATATCATTGTCATCAACATTACTTGGTTTTATTCCATGTATGATGGAACTTTGGTGGCGGATTTCGATTTCGTATAACATAAATTCCATCTTTTCTGGCAATCCATTCACGGTAAGCACCACATCGACGAACGTTGGCCATTCTGTATGCTATAAATTCTGAATAATATCGTATGTATAAGCCGTGTTTCAAAAGACAAGTCCATCTTGTCCTTCTTCCTAACTTGTCTGCGAATACGATTTCCTTTGATTCGTTGAATTGTAAATTTGCGACGTCTAAGTTGTTGTCTCTTGAATGACAATGGTATTGAAGAACCAAACTGGGACCAAGCTCGTTCGTAATGAAAATTTTGTTTTTCGGACATGGAAACATGTCAAAAAATGCTACATTCAATCCTAAACACGTCGCAACAACAAACATAAAAATTATAGAACGATTCATTTTTCGAGTAATATGAAACTCCAATTTGATTCTGATGACATCAATAGTGCAGTATATATAGTTCTTTGTGTGGTTAGTATCTTTCTATTGTCTTAATTAAAATTAGTTAACCTGAAACGCAAATATGAATTATTAATAATAGGTAGTATCGAAAAGTATGGTTGACCAATAAAATAAAACCAAATGAATTCTACCGCAACCACATAAAACATAAGATTCACCATCACCTTTTATTTCTCAACCTATATAATCTTTTATCGATGTTAAGTTGTTTATTTATGGAAAAAAAAAAAGTTGTTTATTTGTTTTTTTCTAGCAAATATATATCTCTATCTTCTATATTCTTTGACTTTTGGAGTTGTAAGTTGTAACTCTTACAATGTGTATAATAAACTTAGAAAATATATTTGCATCGTTCAGCATTTTGACTATTAAAGGGCATAATTTTGGAGCTTCATGCCAAGGCAAAAAGATAAAGAACAATCACATGAATGACATAAATGAAAAACAAAAGATTTAACTAATGAAATAAGAATAAAACAAATACCGGTAAATAAGGGCAAAAGTGGCATTAAGTGTTATAGCTCCGCTGGCGATTGGGCAGAGATATATAAACTGCGTCTCTCTCCTTTCATCGTCTCTTGTTTCCAAATAGTCACATTCAGAGAAAGAGAGAGACTCTTTAGATTCTGAAGAAGAAGAGATTGTTGTTTTTTGCCTTTATCATCATCGGTTTATTTGAATCTCTGGATTTAATGGTGGAGTCTCTGTTTCCGAGCATAGAAAACACAAGTGAATCGTCTCCGGAGTCGAGACGAAAGAAGCCGAGGATATCGGAGACGGCGGAGGCAGAGGCGGAGATAGAGTCACGACGGATCAACGAAGAAAGCTTGAAGAGATGGAAAACGAATCGTGTGCAACAGATCTACGCTTCTAAGCTCGTCGAAGCTTTACGCCGAGTTCGTCAGAGGTCTTCCACCAGTACCGAGACCGATAAAGTCGTCTCCGGCGCGGCGAGAGAGATACGTGAGACGGCGGATCGAGTTCTGGCTGCGTCGGCTCGTGGTACGACTCGGTGGAGCAGAGCGATTTTAGCGAGTCGCGTCCGAGCGAAGTTGAAGAAACATAGAAAGGCCAAGAAGTCAACCGGAAACTGTAAATCGAGAAAAGGTGTGACGGAGACGAATCGGATTAAATTACCGGCGGTTGAGAGAAAACTGAAGATTCTCGGCCGGTTGGTTCCCGGTTGCCGGAAAGTCTCTGTACCGAATCTTTTAGACGAAGCGACCGATTACATCGCGGCGTTAGAGATGCAGGTTCGAGCCATGGAAGCTCTAGCCGAACTTTTAACCGCCGCCGCACCACGAACGACGTTGACGGGAACTTAACGGCGGCGGCAGTTAGTTTGTCAGTTGTTAATTAGCTTTTGTTTTTTACCTTTTTACCCCTTTATTTTGGCTCAAGTGTTTTTTTTTTTTTTTAATCGTCGACGCGATTTTAATTTATTAAATTCATGTATTTTATTTGTATACATCAGTTTTTTATTTGTAGCCATTTTGATCTTTCTTTGTTTTTTTTTTTTTTTTTTTTTTAATCTTTCTTTGTTTTTCCTTAGATAATCAAAGTTATCTAAACAACAACAACAAAATGCCAACTAATCTCGATTCCAAAAATTGTTTAACCCTTTAAACCAAATTAGACCTAGAAATTAAAGAAAAAAAAAGAAGTAAAGAGAAGAATAAAAGTTAAATAAATAATTTGCAAGTTGAAAGAATTAAAAAAAAATGAGCATGTGCGTGTAACGTGTTGAGGACACCCACCTTAATTTTGGGGCCAATGGACTCCATGTGATTCTCGAAGACTTTTTCCGACGTTGAAGTTTATGTCAAAAGTGTATTTTGCTCAAAATCTTTCAAACTGATTAACAAAAACAAAATTTACTTGAATGTCAACATTAATTATGATAACAAGGAGTAGCATAAGACTCTTCGAGAGAATTGACATTACTCTAAAATTGATGATTATGGTATAAATACAAGTTAGTAAAAGTAAGTTGTCAGAAGAAATCCACTAGGAATGACATTGAAAGAAGTGGTGAGAGCAAAAGGACCACAAGAAATGGAACCAAAAGAAGGGGAAACAATAAGATTGAGAAATGAGTCTCTTGGAACATCTTTTTTCCCTCTTTAAGACTCCCCACGTGTGCTCTTTCTTTTTAACACCCGATATGTCTTTCAAAAGCATTCGCACTTTTTTTTTATATCAAATTAAATGAGCAACATGTTTGTGGGTCATTGTGTCTAAGTGTCTTCCGAGTTATAAGAAGATTTCTCCCAAATAGTTTTCACAAAACCAGTCCTCATAAGTCGTTTGGATCGAGCTTGTAGGATGTGATATAGTTTCGACCTATATTGTTAAGTAAATATAGATGAAACTAAAGAATCTATAGATAATTCAGAATTTATGGTTAATATTTGTCAACTGATATAGGTCATCCAAATGTTATTTATCGACACGTACATTTGCATCTTTTGTTCTTTTCTAGTTTCCTTAATACGGCTGATATTGTTTTTGATCTGAAATTCTGAATGTTTCACATGATACGGTTTTGTAAAGAAAAGCGGAATTAATAGATGTGAAAAAAAATTAAGTATAAGTATGTTTTGTTAATTAACTAATATAAAATGCATCGAATGATAGCTACAAAACAAAACAAAAGAAAAAGAGAAAAAAAGAAAGAAAAGGAGAAAACGTGGAGTTGGCCATATGTGGCTAAAAGGTAGACCCAATGTGATCACATGCAACCATGTGACTCCAATTATGAACCTCATATGTGAATGTGGCCGAGGAGATGCCAAAATTTGAAGAATCCCCTCTTTCTCCCTCTTTACACAACGCTATTTACAAACAAAAACAAACACTAATTTTACATTACAATTCATAATTATCAACTCGCAAAAACAAAACAAGAATTTTGTTTTCAATTTTCATCTCACTCACTTTGTGCTTGAGTTTGGTTCCCTAAACTAAAACCAATATTAGAGGATAACGCAGTGACTAGTGGCTACCAACGAAATGGCATAACAAATTTTGACTAGATGATTATATGAGGTTTTTTTCCTCACATTAACTTATGGAATCCGTAGACTGATCAATAAAAGAGAAGGGAAATACAATCGGTTCACCGGCAGAAAAGACCGGACCCGAATGTTGAGTAGTGGAAACAATGGGTCCGACGACTAGAGAAGCAAACAAAAACTCATTTCGACAAAATTTAATTCAACAAATACTCTCATCCATATCTTTTCCTTTCAAGTACGTTTGGTTCTACACACGTAAAAGACTTTTGCGTGGTGGAATGAGATGGAACACGTGGCAAGACAGCATGCACTCGCACATGTCTTTGGTCAGACAGATTTCGTTGTCTTTGAACTGTGCTCGTGTTTTCTTACAGTTCCGCACGTGGTCTCAAGAGTCAAGTCAACCATTATCCACTTCAACTCCTACAATTTTGTTTCTATATCACTACCTCCATATCTATACTTCTTTTACTATTACATCGTTCGGAATCTTGCATCCAAGCTCTTCTTGGACTTGCGTCAAACAATTCACTCTTCATGGATTCCTCCCGTCGAGTTCCTTTTTACAGGATATGATTGACAATGTTTGATGATGGTGAAGGAAAACATGTGGACAGATAAATTGAAGAGTAGATAGTTAAATTTTGGATTTATCAAAAAACAAAAATAATAGTTAAATTTTGGTTTTTATTTATAATGAAACAATGGCCGTTTTCAATGACATCAAGTTCATTGAAGTGCACTGTTAGAATCTCTTTCTGCCAACCTAATTCGGAACATTAATGAGAGGCTATAGAGAAGCAAACTAGTGTCGGCCTTCCTTGATGTAAAAGGTCCCAATCTAGAGCAATGAAACACAAGACAACTTTCTTTAGACAAATTCAATCTGCCATTATTTATCTTCTTTTTTTGGTTATTGGAACTATATATTTCGTTTCTACAATGAAACAAGTTAAATAACTATGGTGCTTTCATTGAGCAACTAAACAGCTACACAGGCTACACAGCTACAACTATGTAAGTGGATATATGGGAAAGAGTCATGTTCCTACATTTCAGAACAAAGGATCGCTTTTATTGTGAAAGAAAATGATTAAACGAGGATAACAAATACAAAGACTTTAATTAATCAACTTATTTTTAATTTGCTCTTGTTCTTGATGTTTTTCCCCGCCACTTGTCGTGTTGGTGACGTAAGCTCAACGGTCCTTTTTTGGAACTCTTCCTCCGACAAGGTTCGAGATTTTTCAACCCGATACCGGAACAACTCTTCATCCTCCATCATCGCCTGTGAGATACTCCTTCATAGAAGCTCGTTTTACTTCCCTATCGATTTTTAAAATTTTCCCCTTTTTTTTTCTTTTGGGTAAGAAACTCTTATAAGAAAATCTTAAAGATCTATCCTTTATAGAGTTGTAAGTTTGATGGAATATAACTAGTTCGAGCGTGTTGCAATCTCTCATTATTTGCTATGGTTCCGAACAAGACTGTAGCTGGATGAAGAAACAGCAACTCTTTTGATGTTGTAGAACAATTTACTATTTATCAGACGCAATTTTAATTTACGAAGAGTGTTTAAAATATAAAGGTTTACTTTAATTATAGATGCTTTCTGTTTCCGTGAAAATTACTACTATTTAGTTTTGCTTAATACTGTATTCGACAATCAAATACTTTTTATTTTCATCAAAAAAGTTAAGGGAAATTAACTTACGTACTTTTTCTTTTAATTTTTTTTATGTCAAACTTTTCCTTTTTAACCACTTAATACTTATCACTATATTCATAAAAATAAAAATTCATTTTGGTGTCACATCTCAAAACCCTAGTTTTCGTGGATGTTTTTGTTTCTCCTATAAATTTATCATTAATCTCTCAAACTCATCATTAATTATCTCACAAACAACCAAACAAAAAAATGAACGAACCACTAGCAGCTAGAAGATTTTTTAAAAACCAATTAAATCTAGCGGAAGAACATTATCGAACAGGCAATCTCATAGGAGCCATTGAAATCGTGAATGCCTTAACATTCGGTCACCCAAACACATCTGCAAACCACCAGAAGATCTCACAGATTCTCGTCGCTTATCAAATCAACTTGACTAGCCGACAAACTGGTTTCACATACTACGATATTCTGAGAATCTCAAATCCGTTATGTAGCCATCAGACGATCCAGAGAAAGTACAGAGACATCATGGTTAAGCTCTCTCACGACACAAACAAATCTATTGCCGCCAAGTCAGCTTTCGAGATCATCAATTATGCGTGGAAGATCTTGTCTGATCCTCAAAAACGAGAAAATTACAATATCAAAAAAAGGTTTAGGAGGAGATGATTCGTGTCTTCAGAAGATGAACCACATCAAACGTGAGGCAGGAGAAAAGTCACTGAACCACATCAAACGTGAGGCAGGAGAAAAGTCACTGAACCACATCAGTTTTCGCTGTTGGGATACAAAATCTATTTTTCTCTTCTTCTTTTTTTTCTAGGTTAGTTTTGTGATTTTTCTTATATTTTAGTTAGGTATCAACCACAAGTAAATCTTGTGAACCTTTGGAAAAGATATTTTTACAAACCTTTACTGAATTTATGTTAATGCAAAATTTACTGAATATCATAATGTGTTTTGCTGCCATATGATTGAATATTCTTGATTTGGGCAAAAAAGTACGATTAAAATGCTATAGAGTTGCAATTCATGTAAAAAAAATTGGAATTACGTATAACGATAATTTTTTTTATGGTTTTTGTTTTTTTTTTTTTTTAACATCTAAACAAACTTTATTAATATGAATCAGAGTATACATGATTAACAATGAGATTACAAATACAACCAATAGTTTGTGTAACGAAAGACCGATGAAGCAAGATAATTACATATAGCGATGATTGGTTGCAAAAAAAACTAAAAAAGATTCGAAACTTGATTGCATATATAAAAAAATATCCAACAAAATCCGGAACAATTAAAACTGATTAAACAAAAAATATTGCGACAGCGTGGCAATACTTCTCTGTCAGAAGGAAGGATCCAAATAGGTCCAACAACCAATCAAACATCGACCCGGATCCGAATCCGAAAACACCAGACGACTCGTCCTCCACGATCCCATTTCTCCAATTTCAATTCTGCCAAAGAGCGAGAGAGAAGGGAAGATCCAGACGAAGTGGTTTCCAGGGAAGAGAGAGACTTTAACAAAGGATGTCGCTGAGGCCGAGCACACGCGCGGAGCTAAGGAAGAAGATATACAAGACAGGCGTCGATGCCGATGAGGCGAGGCGGAGGAGAGAAGACAATCTCGTCGAGATTCGGAAAAACAAGCGT